AGAGTGGAGAGTGGAGAGAGAGAGAGGGGGGACGGGGAAACGGAGATAATGAGAAAAAGGGCAGGTTTTGGTGAGTGCAGGGAAGGGTGAGATAGTGGAGAGTACCCATTACTCGCTGAAAACAGCCGCATTACTGACCAACACACCAACTTCCCAAACCGTATCCTCTGACCCTGTCGTCTCCTTCCCACCCCTCAGCGACATCATAAGCAACATGGGCATGAGAGGAAATACCACATCGCTTTTCAATGCGTAAGGAGAGAGCATGTACACTGGCATCGACATGGTGTACATTGTCAAAGGGAGTAACCGGGCTGTGGGTGGGGGAATATTGGAAGGTAGTGCAGTTGCACCATGATACAGTCGAGTGGAGTAACTGCTAACGATGAGGATGATTGTAGTTGGTAAAAGGGTGAGTATGGTTGTCATTATTGTCCACTGTTCCGTCAAAATTCTTCCTTGCTCGTGAAAAAGTGCAACACCTACATGAGGTGTTCTGATTTTAGAAATGAAACGTAATATATCATCTAACTTATCGAGGAGGTCGTCTTCTGTCATATTTGTCACTTGGACTGGAATGGAGGTTAGGGTGTGATGAATATGAGGAAGGATTCGTTCTACTGGTGGGAACATCCAAGGGGCTCGACAAAGAAAGAGGGAGAAACTGAGAAATATGATGAGAGTCGTAAGTTTTATTGCGTGAAGTATCCTGATATAAGCGGATCAAAATGAGAGGTAAAGGGATGAAATTACCCTCTACGAACTCCAAGCCAAATACATTTGCCACTGAGGTATACTGCGAAGATAGGTGTAAAACATAATGCAAATGGGGAGGGAATGGAAGCAAGGGCTAAAATACAGCATGCGGGGATATCTCGATTGTTCTGAAGACAGGTGAGGGAGAATAAGACGAGAGAGAGGGAAATGTAGTATGCGTTATATGTTGATATAAGACCAAGAGGCGAAGTTCGAGTAAGATCCGAGGTAAGAGTTCCGTAGGCGTTGATGAGGAGAAAAACTGGGTTCAGAAGAATGGTGAGTATGCCCGTGATCTAGCATCAGCATTTACCTCCATGTCTTTCTCAATGTGTATGGGATCGTCAATGTCCAAAAAAATACAGCTGATTCCTTCGACAGCACACATAGTAGACGCTCAGTTCAGATTGACAGAAGGGTTTGAAGCATAGTGTTGGTATGACAAGATGACTTCATATTATGCGAATAGGAAACAATGATTATTTACTCACCTGTGTCCTACTACTCCTCCCTTCCCTCCTCCCTTCCCTAGTTAAACGAAATACAACTCCACTTGTCCACATAATCTCACCTATACCCCAACCATACCTTCTCACCCCATCTAGTATCCTCTCGACCGTAGGAAACTGTCTGAGTAGGGGTAACCATTCTCCCGATACCACTTGCCCGTCCTCACCAGAAGTCCAATTCTTCAAGAAAATGATACAAACATGTAACAATCCTACACCAATGAGCGCAATTGGTAATGCCCATTTAGACATATGAAGACTTGCCATCCATCTTAAATATCGACGTATGGGACTATCATATTTTTCACCTAAAAGAGTACTTTTTTCTCTCTTGACGATTTTCCTTCTTTCTCGTCTTTCCGCTCGTTGGGTTCTTGCGATATCTGTATCGTGGTGATCCGAACCATTAGAACCAGATTGGTCTAGTTGTTTGGAGGAATGGGAATTAGAATTAGCGTGAAGATATCGAGGATCGAAATGTTGAGAGGATTGAAAATCCGGATTGAAAGATGGTTTAGAGGGTCCTGGGATATTTGAAGTGTCTTTGGAAATTGTATCATATCTCGGGTTTTCATAGTTGTTAGAGAGAAATGGAAGATTCCGATTCGAAGTGGAAGTTGTATGAGTAGATGAAAGATTTGGAGAATGAGTAGATACTGGGGCGAATGGACTTGAAAACGAATGTCGATCAGTTGAAGAATGCCTCAAGACACTAGGTCTAGAGGAAGTGGAAGATAAACTTCGTAATTTAGGAATGGGAGATGGAGAGAACCTATTGGATCTTGATTGTGGATGAGTGAAATGAGAAAGTTGTGAAGAATTTGATAACTGAGTTGAATGTGAGAATACAGAGTCAAGATCTGTTTCACTCCTAACATCCCTGTCAGCTTGAACTAGTACTGTTCGTCCGCTCTCTGAACACGGGGTAACAACCTGGGGGAGGTTAGGATAAATCAGGATATCCTCTGATCTTTAGGTATACCTCAGCACTCCAGGAATATACCCCCATGTGACCTTGAAGAGACAAGTGGGAGATAGGTCATGTTTCAGACGATAGTGGAGACGAGACGTTGGGCGAAAGAGAGAGGTTAGTCGGCGGTCGGCAATCGGCATAGAGGGTAGAGGTAGTGGTGGTGGTGGAGAGGTGAGTGAGGAAGACTCACTCGACTATACTACCTCTACGACGTAAAGCCTTTGTAGCTAAATAACGATCATAAGATCTTCGAGGCATGATAATCTATATGTTGATAGAGTGATAAAGAAGGAGACATGTAAAAACCAAAGTCAAAGATGTGTAGTGGCGACTTGATACCTTGCTGAGATGACGTCTGACTCGGCTACATTTCCATGTGTCTGGGTACATGATCAACCACATTGACAACTTTACACCATGTGATCTGGGGCGTACTCGACACGAGGTATGATATCACCATTCATTTCCAAGGTTGATACTCGAGACCACAAAACTACAAGACCTACTACATCTCATCTACAATTGTCCCCATACCGTCCCTTCCCTCTCCAAAGATTTCTTCTCCCCTTCAATACTCAATTGACTCGAGTCAAACCCTATTTCTCCCGGTCCACGCCAAATGGACAACATGACCTCTGTCGCCTTTTCCTTTTCTCCGGTAGTGAGACAACTTCGTAGTTCTAGATAAGCTTTGGTGAATGAATTACCCTCTGGAAGAGTTTTTCCTACGTTTGAATAAACTTCCGAACATTGTTCCCTCCGTTTTTCCTTTTCTTCAGAAGAGATGTTCATACCCATACATAAAGTGTATAACACTCCTATGACTGCGCGTAGTTGTTGAACGGCCGAAAGGAAAGAAATTGGGACTTTGTATTTTGTCCCAAGAAGGAACAACTCGACAGCTTTACAGCTTGATGTGTAAAGGGTTTGTAGGGTTTCTGAAGAGATGGTGGGTGATAATGGCGATGGAGCGTATAAAGTGGATAAAGCTGAATGGTATTGAAGTTCGAAATATGCATGAGAGGAAAGGTCGATTGTATGATTTGAAGAAGGGATGGAGGGGAGCCAACCGTCTAATTTGATACGTAACGAGAGTAAACGTTGTGGAGCATCGTCTTTGAAGACGGAAGGTCGACTGAGGGTGGAAGTGATTTCTCCTAGTAATCGACGATAATCGATGGTGCGTGTGGTGAGTGATATGGAGAATGTGTCCGTGGGCATCTATCAAAATGAGAATCGTTCCGTATTTCAATGACATATAAGGGACCTGGGAAGGAGGGGGAGGGCCGATTGTTTAGGGTACAAGGGAGAGCAGGTGATAGTGAAAGAGAGACGAGTTAACTCACCTCGACAGTGATGATATCATCGGATATGGCCAATGGTCGGTTCAAGGTGTACGCGACTAAATGTTCGAGGTTGTAAACCGCCCAGAAAAGCTTTTTTCTTTGTTCGACAGCATCGGAACTGAGCTTGTCATCGGCTTCACATGATCGGTGAAGGTTCAGAGCGGTAGCCACTCGAACAGCTAGCCCAACCACATGCCAAAGTGGTGCAGCAGAAGTGTCTAGTGTTGAGTAAATAGCAAGAAGCATCAGACTTTGCAAGCAAATCTCTTTATCAGCTCATTATCTCCTTACCGAAGCATAATTACAAAAGCGTAGTATTTGAAGGTGACACTAGAAAGAAAATTGACTCACTATATCTTCCGCATTCAGAGCAAACTTCAAACTAGATTTTGCTCTTTCGAACAACTCTTTTGAACTTCCCTTCACCCCGTCCTGTTGCTGACGTAATGCCATCCCGATAGCAGTGACCATCAAGAAAACGAATTCCCTCCTTTTCTCTTCCACCGGCATGATCGACTCTGTGAAAGTATATAGAACGCTCATGTTAGCCCCAAATTCAACTGGATCCAAAAATGGGTATGACATCTCGGTGTGAGCGAAAAATGCGTTTTCCGCTTCTCTAGCAAGTTCAAACGCAGGAAGTTGTAAACCTGTGACTGATGATTTGAGATCGGAAGAAATAGCCGACTGAACCTGGTAATTCGTTCGCATAGCAATGACGGTCTGTGCCAGGGTGGAAAGATCCGATGGGATATCATTGTCGAATTCTAAATTATGATCCGGCTGTGTCGATTCTGGAGGAGGAAAAGGTTCATTACGTTCGTAAGTCGAAACGAGCAATTCAAGATGATGTATTCTTTCTTCAGCCGTAGCTAATTGTGTGGCTATTTCTTGTTTCTCAGACTTTAAGATTTGAACAAAACTAAACCCATCAACATCAGAAAACAAAAATAGCAAGGAAGGAAATGAAATGAAATGAAAACTCACGCTGAAGTAGCAGGAGTCAATTCGAAAACACAAGGAACATCAGCTTTTGTACAACCCATACATCTAGGTTTGTTGGTATCGCATTTCCTCTTGATCCTATGACATCTAACACAAGCTTGAGAGGCGTTAGGACCAGGATGAACGAAAACAGGTCCTAATTTAGGATCTTGACTCGGATGACTATATTCAACTTCTCCTTCAGGTAAATCAGGTTCTGTATGTGCATGTCTTGTTCTTGTTTTCTTCTTTTTGACAGGTCTTTCATCTTCAACATTCCTTGACGATTCACCTTCTATACCAGCCACACCATCGATTTGAGTTTCTTCGTTCTGAGGAGGCTGGAAATCAATTTGAGAAGTATCCGTTGGGTTTTCAGGTTCGTATCCTTCTTCCCAAGGAAGTCTAGGGACACCATCAGGAGGTATGTCATATGATTCTGTTGAGGGAGGAGGAGTTTTACGTTTCCTATGCACGGGATCGGGTTGACCTTCAGCACCTAGAAGTTCGGGGGCGATGTCGAGTCCATAGGGATCAACAAGGGCGTGAAGGGTAGCATCTGATAGATGTTGATCGTAGTTTTGCTGGGTATGTTGAGGGTGTGAGTCAGGAGTTGGCTCTGGAGGATGGGACATGGTGAACAGGGTGGTTCAGGATGGCGGCGAGCACCGTGGGTATGATGAGGAATGGTTAAAGGCGGAGCATGCCGGGGGCGGGGGGAAGAAGAAGGAAGGGTCGGAGATGAAACAGGGGGGTGTGGGGAGTGATAAGTGATACCCCACGTGGCATTAAACCACTTCGGGATCCTTCCGTGATTTCCGAGCGAAGTAACGTCACATGGTGTTCTTTTTTTTCAATCCCTCTGTATATACAGTGGACCATCTCATTCCTCTTCCTATATACCCTCTGTCTGATCAGTGTCTTATACCACTTTCATACTCGTCTTGAATCGTAACCTCCGTCTTCTGTGTCTTTGTGAACAAGTCAAGATGACCGCCAACGGTACTAGCAAACCCCTTGAAATCCTCTTGATCGGTCTCGGTTCGGTAGGATCCGTCTATGCTTATTGTCTTGAGAATGTGAGTACTTCAATCCTTCTTTCTCTTCTCCTCGTTCTTCTCCTATCTCACCCCTCGCCTGCACTCAATGTAGTACGCACAACATCGCTGACATCCAGGCTGGAAGAGCCCGCGTGACAGCTGTCGCACGGTCCAATTACAAACTTTACACTACCACCGGTGTCACACTCAAAACTAACCAATTCGGGACTATCGAAAATTGGCGTCCTTACAAAGGTCAGCTCTCAGCTCCACCTCTACAGATAAATGGCTTCAAGCTGATGAAACAGTCGTCAAATCTCAGGAAGAAGCTCTGGCCGGGGATGTGAAATATGATTATTGTTTGATCACTACGAAATGTTTGCCTGATGTCAATCCGACAAGCAAGTTGGTCGAGCCGGTTATAAACAGTGGAAAGGTCGGAGCTTTTGTCCTCGTTCAGGTGAGTCTTTTATTTCATCTCAGACCCTCCATCTCTTTCACTCTGCCGAGTCAATCTGAAGGAAAGTATGTGAGGCAGGATATCTCTGTTATCTTAGAAACCGCAACAAGTTGCAAAGCTGACAGGTAGAACGGTTTGGATGTGGAAGTAGATTTATACGAAGCAGTTAAAGAAACGAATATTCCCATCGTATCAAGTTGTATCTGGATTGGAATTATGACTTCTCCTGATGGTGGGATCGTACATTGGGGTGGTGGGGTATGTCTCTTCTTTTCCTTATCTTTCCTCCCTCCTGTCATATATCACGGTCTATCGAACCGCGTGTACGTGGTCTTTCCCGGTATTCCCTTGCTCCTTAATTGGATTTGCGGTGATCGGATTTTGGTACTTTCTTTCCAGGCTTTCTTGTGTAGGTGAGGTGTATGCTGATTTGAAAGGGGACAGCAGTTATGGGAATTTATCCTCCTGCTGCAGTAAATGAAATCCCTAATGAAACGAGCAAATCCGCATTGGAAATTTGGTACGCTGCGACCGAAGGGACTGGTTTGGGTGCGAAAATTGCGGACAATATAAAATCTGTACGATTCACAAAGGTCAGTTCTATAACGTCCCCGTACACGCAACGCGCGGATTTCTCATCAAGAGCACCCATTTGGTATTCAAATGACATTCCTCCATTCTGTGTTCATGCTTTTGAGTGGTATCACTCATCCTCTCTTCGGCGATTAGCTTTGCTAACCCCCGTATGATATTGCCACGAGACAATCCTGATCGTACAATTGTAGATGCTGACAGCTGACGACATAGAACATTGGTAACGTAATGTTCTCCTCCCTTCAATCATTGACACGTACCACTTCCGAAGTATTTGATCCACTCCCACCTTCCATCCAAGCGCATGTAAAAGCGTACATGCACGAGATATTGGAAGTAGGGTTCAAATCTGGGTTATTGTACAAGGGAGCACCATTTTGGCCCTCTGGAAATCCCTTAGGAAGTTTAGACGAACTCGCAGAGTCTACTTGGGATGTGAGTCCATCTGGTCTCGGTTTCAATTCCCCTCCATTCACTTCACCGAGCATTTCCATGAAAACGAATTATGAAGTTCCGAATAGTGTCCTCACTCTCGTCGTTCTCGTAATCGTCCTACTTTATCTCAGCCTCCTTTTCGTTTTTTCTCTTGATGGAGTATCATCCCTCCATCCTGCCCGTCACTCTATGCAAGATCTGAGAAGTAAACGAGATCATACTGAAATCACTAGTTCATAACACGAGCAGCGGCTGCTGTAGCCTCAGGTCAAACCACCCATCGTATGTCAATGACGATTGATGTCGATCTTGGTCGACCGATAGAAGTAGAGGTAAGTTCAAAATACTCCACTTTCTTCTCCGTCCATGTAGTAGGTGTGAATGGTGATACTAATTTGCAGGTCATAGTCGGTAGTGTATTACGCTTAGCTGAAGAATACAAAGTTGATACTCCTCGTCTTGGATTGATTTACGCTTTGTTAAAAGCTTTACAAGGGGATTTAGTATCAAAACAGAAATCTAGAATTGCATGAGGGTGTCAAGGTTTTATCCGTGTCTAGAGTAAAATATCTAGTGAGGAGTCATAATCATCTTGATATATAAAATAGAATATCTATCCTTATCATTTTGATCTTGATAATCTTTGATATTTACTTGAATGATAGAAGGTATATAAGTACATACTGTAGATGGGTTTTTTGTTTCATACTTGATGCATACTAATTTGCATCTCAAACCTCTCTCTTCCATCTGGTACTTGATCTGATCTGGGAGTAATTATCCTATTCTATATTCGATATTGAATATGAATAATATGGATAATATGATTGGTTTACTAATGTTCATACCAACTACTAACTCTCCTTTCCCATTTTTTCCTCTTTAACCCGGCACTATCTCCACTAACGGTATCATCATTGAAACCCTCTTCCTCCCCATCTTCTTCCAGTTCAGCTCCTTGTTCTTTTACCTCCACACTTGCAGTGCCAACAGACATAGCATCCTGCATATGACTCCAAGCACAAGGTCCACAACATAAAACAGTATCACCAGGCGATCCAAGACCATGATGCCAATGATCTCCTCTAACTTGATTCCCACAAGTTAAACATGAAAGAGCAAAAAAAGAAGCACAAGATCGAATATGATTCTTTTGGTTCATATCACTTTGATTAGATATATTCATAAAAGTTGACATACCTTCTTCTCTCATGAGTCTCTGTTCTCCAAAAGACCTACCATCCCCAAGAAAACCTTCATCCCTCGAAGGTCTTCTAAAAGTTGAAGTAGAATAACGGTTCGGGGGAGAAAAAAGAGAATGATAAGTAGAACTTGTTGGACTGGAGATAATAGGTGAAAATAAAGAATCAGGTGTTGAGAAATGACATAGTTCATATTGAAAATGAGTAAAATAATCTTTTTCTTGTTCCGGTGTGAACGACAGGATCGTTTTTACAGGATCATCTCCTTTATTAATATATTGAGAGGGTTGTGATGTTAGAATTGTGTTGTTGTTGAGTTGAAGATCATCGGGAAATGTGTATCCTTGATGAGTCATATTGGTATAATTCAAGAGTTGATTTGGAAATTTCAAACGTCTTGTGAAAGTCAAATTATGTGTGTAAACGAGTGATGGGCAGTTGAGGAAGACTGGAAAGATAATTATCTGTTTATCTGTTCAGATGGATGATAGATGATAGTCAGTTGTATGAGAGATTAGATGCCTTAGAGGGGTTTTATAAGGATTAAACGAAGTGATGTGATATATGAGGAAATCATTTGTCAGAGAAGAGGAAAGGGAAGAAAGGAAATGAAAGGATGTGATAGGTCAGAGATCAGGTGTCTTCGTAGAAAACGTCATTGGTCACGCGACTTGCCTTCTTGTCAATACCGTTCAAATCCCTTCATAGTGAGGACACTCGAAGGGTGGATATAAATATGGGGATAGATGATGTTAGAGAGTAAGAAATAACATACTGTACTCGAGTAAAAGACAGATGGGAAGTTAAGAATATCAAAAAGTTAGAAGGTCAGAATTGACAAGTCAAACAGTTGAAGCATGGAGCATGGAGCTTGAAAGACTAAAGTGGTTTTTCGTCTTTGCAGAACTTTGAATCATCAGTGACAACTTTCAGGATACAAGAGTCAAAATTGAAATATTGGGAAGGATGAAAATGAAAATCACTCAAATATTTGTACATACTCAATGCAAGAAAATCAACCAAACCTATTCACACTAAGCTTCCAACTTGATACCTTTCTTCTCACGGAGACGAGCGCTACTTGCCGAAGCAGAGTTTTTGAGATACCAAGTCATTTCGTATGTTTTTGCGGCATCTTCGAAAGAAGATAAAATACGATTATCCGCTGGGTTTTCGATCTGTCCATAAGTAACGATTCTCCTTCTACAACTATCATCCAATCTCTCGATGATATCGACGCTTTGAATAGGATGTTCTAGATCCTCACTTCACCTCATCAATGGTATTATGATGAGGTTCAAGCGATGTCCAGTCACAAAGCTGAGGGATACAGCGCAGGAGTTAAGGAGAAATATCCTTAACGAGAATGAGATTGAACAACCATATGAGATGAGATGAGATGAGGTAGGTAGGGAGAGAAACCAGAAAGAAGTGAGGGACTATCAAAGGAGCTATGGAAGAGACTAAACTCACAGCATCGATAAACGCATCCATCTCAGTTTGATAAGGATCATCCCCCATAATCTGAATAACCTCAGGAATATCACTCCCAGGTTTCCTGACGGAAATCGAAGGTACTCCGAAAGGATCTTGCAGACTTTTTTAAAAATCAGCTTCCTACACGATTATACCGATGTTGAGATATACTCACATGAGTTGATGTCCGTCCGCATAGACTTCGATTTCGATAGCGTAATCTACACCTTGGAGAAGAGTACCATGGACGAAAGTACCAACGGCTCCTGATTCGTATTTCCTGTTTGGTCAGCAACAAGCAAGTATATCCCCATCATCCTTGTCCTTGCTACATACTCGCTTCTGCCTTTTACCATCTATTTGCTTCCAGGATGTGTGCGGCGGAAGATCATGTCATCTGAAGAGGGAAAACAATAAAGAGAGAGAGCGTCTCTCCGCTTTGCTTTTGCGAGAAGGAAAGTACGGGGAAGGGGTGGAGCAATGCATTTAGTGGCTGAGGAAGGTATTCAGAAAGAAGGGGTAATGTAAATGTTGTGGGGAATGAAGAAGAAGGCGGAGACTTACCAAGTAGCAGAAGTAGCACGAGGAACTCTGTGTGCTAAGGGAATACCTTCCTCGCTAAAAGACAACTTGGAAAGATTCGCAGCGGGTTTTTCATAGGCTTCCAAAGCATGAGCTCTATCTATATAAGTCATATTTTCCCACCAAATGAGGAACAACTCACTGCATGGTATCTGTGTCGATATCACCTCCGAAGAATCGAGACAAGTCGCCTAACCATCAGATTTGTTCCATACGTGAACCTGTCGAGTGTGACTGCATAGCGGCCGATGAAGCAGAGAGAAGCAGAGATGAAAAGTTGGAAGGTGATGTGTTGGATACCGATATCTCTAAGGGGTGATTATGGAAGAAAATGTAGACATACACAAATGCGTCCCTTGTTCCAAAATAGGTCCATGAGATTTAGATACGTCCCACCAATCAGACAAGTAGGCTAATTCGTATGCACCAAAGTATCTAGCAACAGTGGCCATCCTGATTATTTAGCTTTATAGACATTTAAAAATGGGGATACTTACACGGTGAGATGGTTTTCTTCCAGAATACGTTTCATTTCCCTAGCTCCACGAACGTATCGGAGTACGTAGCTGATGATCAGTGCTGACTCCTCATTATGACCGTCCCTGCCCTCGGAGTGACTTTACTCAAGAATAAAAAGTCATTCTATAATGTCCATCGAGAAGATACCACCAATCAGGTATGAGGGTCTCGATGTAAAGTACGTTTCCCACCAGTGAATTGAGTAATTTGCACCCTCGCTGATAAACGCGGAAGTTACAACGGTCAAGAAGCAAGCACATCTCAGGACTGATGGAATGATGATGATAGCAATACGACGAGTGGAGAAAAGTAAGAAGGGAGACGTGAGAAAACCGGAAAAGTGACAAGGAAAACGTGAGAGAAGTCACTCACCCTACAGACACTATCCCTTTATGTTTCTTCAACATCTCCCCGATGGCTTTAGCATCCTCCACACTTTTTTCCCAAGGTGCATTGGTTGCAACCGGTTTCTCTAAGAAAATGTTGGCTTCGGGAAAAGCGGTGACTAGCTGGACTTCGAGATCTTTACCGGGTTCTAGAGAACCTCTCCATCTAGGTGGAGTAGCTACGAAGATTGCCCTAGGGGTAAGTAAGGGTTCTTATGCATACCCTCTCTTCTCATACCCACTTCTCTTACTCCGTCGTAGTATCCCGCAGTATATTCCGAAGGCTGAAGTGATCCTATTGGGACAAAGCGAGATGAGAATGGTTGAGGATGAGAGATGTGGACAAAGATGATTTAAGAAAAAAAGATTTCAGGAGGAAAGTGGTGAGAAAGAAAGACGTAAGTAGGAAAGTTTAGGGAGAAAGGTGTAAGAAAGAACAATATGGAGCAGAAAGATGTGATGGAAGAAAGATAAGAGGAAGATGAAACGTTATACGACTTACTTAGGAGCCAAAACTTTTCCAGCATCTACCAACTCTTTATACGCTTTAACACTAGGAACAATGACCGTTTCCTCATAAGCACTCTTCACGAAAGTAGCTCTTTTCTTTGCTAAAGCAGCTTCGGCAACTTTAGGGTTTATATCTACAATAGCTTGAACTTTAAGTCTTGGTCCAAGACGGTTTTCAAGACGAAGAGCTATATTCCATGGTCCTTCATTCGTACCGAACATTGCCTGAAGGTCAATTTCTGTTTCTTCTTACTTGTTTCCCATTACGCTTTCCCCATGTTTCCGTCTTTTCGTCCCTTTCGTCTTTTACGTCCCTCAAACTAGGAGATTATAATCACAAATGTTTTCGATCACTCCCTCGGATTTCTTGGGATAAGATTCGAAAGGAGAAAAGGGGAAATGAACAAGAGAAGTCACAACTCGATATTCAATCCAGGTGGAAGGGTAAAAAGGGGATGTCACTAAGACATGATTTGAGGGAATGAGGGATGGTACTCACTGGTCCTGCTCCGATCAAGAGGACGGGAAATTCAGGTTCATCGCTAGATACTTCGCTAACTAATCAGTACAACTTCTCTTTCATCACCAAACGCCTTCTCATCTTCACTTGATGTGATTGCATGGTGAAAAAGTATGAGGGTCATGTAAGAAGGAAGCTGAATGAAGAACTCACGCCCAATCTTTAGGTCCTACAGCACTGATATCGCGTAAACCCATTGTGACGAATCTTTACCTATTCATCAGCACCCATGACCTCTCTCAACCGACACATGTCCTATGGCCACCGATCTCTTCCAAAAATCGCGAAAACAAAGAATGACGATGAGCAACACTGTTACTCTCGCCTCCGCCTTTGAACGACCAAAGAAATCAGCTCACGTCTTACAGATATAATAAAGTCGGTGAGTAGTAAGAAGGAAAAGAAGAGAATCATCCATCTATCCATACATGATGATATATATACCAAGCGCTCATACAGCACTTTATTGCAAGAGAAAAATAACGGAGATGTCGCCGAGACGGACCGTTATCGGAGAAAATACGGAGATTCATCTGATCAACTGCCGCATTCGTGGGCCCCAAGCTTTACACTCCTCTCACTCTTCACTCTCCCCGCTTACGCTTGCCAACTTTACCGACGGGAGCATTCGTTGTGGTTTTGAGAATACTGGAAGAGTTCGTGTGTTTCACCTCTTTTGATTGAACGGGTGGACCGAATGACACGCGTTTGATTTTCTTCGATTTGCCGTCGGCTGGAGAGGATACGGCTTTTCGTTTACCTTTGCGAGGTGGAGAGGGGATGGGATCTTCGTCATCTTCTTCGTCCGATGGGAGGTCGGAACCGGAGGAAGGTTCGGGTCCATCTTCTAAATCCAACTCTTCTCCATCGGCAAGATCTAGGAGAGCTTCTTCATCCTCAACCTCGTTTTCAGCCTCATCTTCGTCATCATCACTATCCTCCTCATCTTCGTCATCGTCCTCTTCGTCATCCTCATCACCGTCTCCCTCCTCGTCACTGGCGACTGACAAAGCAGTGTAATCATCATCCAGTATCACCTGCTGATTAGTTTACGACTCTCCGGTAAGGAAAACCCACATACCTCCCTTTCATCTACAGGACTCGCCTTCAGCCGGATCATAGCTTTGGTCTTTCTCATCTCTCGCTTGGGGGTACATAGAGATAAAACATGGGTCATGTCCGCTTGCCCATCTACCTCCATCGCCTCTCCCGAGGGAGGGGTGCAATACTGATGTAGATTACTGAGCGCCCAATCTCGGATCAAGATACGAGCAGCGCCATCCAAGCTTGCTTCTCCGAACTGAGGAGTCAGCCGCTCTTCAATTCTCATAAGCAAACGAGGACGAAGTCAGGCGCGATGAGGGAATGTGTTGAGAAGAGAAGAAGCGCTTGGTAGACATACTTTATTGACTCTCCCGTTAGCCCGGGCAAGGCAAGTGAGAAAAGCGTTGACATCCCCCTCCGAAAAGAACGGGAGATTGTAATGTACCATCAAATCCTGGACATTTGCACGCTTGAAGATCCAGTTCACTGAGGATAAGTCAAATGCAATAGCAAAGAAAGCAGATCTCACCAAGCGGGAACACGTCTTTGACTCTGTCGACTCGCCCAAGGTTACGACGTAAAAGATCTCCTGCCACAGTGTCTTCCAAAGCGTCCAATTTGGCCAGCTGTTCATCTCCTGCCTCATCTTCCCCTTCTCGTTCCTCACCAGCTTCGTCCTCGGATTCAATAGCAAATTCCCATCCGGGCGTGTCGATGATTCTCACCTTTCTGTCCCCCATCTCTAATTCTATTTCCGCGGGTGCCTTCGTAGTAGGTGCAGGTCGTTTGGCAGAGGAGACAGTTGGTTCCAGAGGAGCCGTTTCTAGTGATTTTTTCCCACCCAGTAGAGAATTGATTATCGAAGTTTTGCCGGTCATAGGCAATCCCATGAGTGCAACTACAAAGTCTTCGGAAGGCGGAGATTTCTCTGCTGCCCATGTTTTGAGTGCAGATACCAGTTCAGCACGACCAATAACGGTTGTTGGGGAGAGCGTCGGAAGGGGAGTTTTGGAAGAAGACGCAACGGGTAATGGTAAAGGAGATTTATATAAGAACGTAGGGATGTCGAGTTGCTTCAGCCATGCTTCTAGTGTTTCTCGAGGGACAAGATCTAAAGTATGAGTATTATTCTCGTATGTAAACATCGAAGTCTCACCAATTTTGTTGACGACGAGGACAGTCTTTCCTCCTGCGTCCTTGATCAACCCTTCAATATATCTACTCCTCCCTCCGAGTATATCTCTCGCATCTACCACCTCCAATATCACATCAGCTCTGTCAATGACGTCTTGTAGAGTGGCTAGCTGAGTGTCGATCAAATCAGGAGCATCATCTTCTGGAATGGGTTGGGCGGTGGAGATTTTGACGGTTCCAGTGAGAGGGGCGGTGATGGCTTTGGCAGAGGTAAGAGATTGGATGCCGGGGACATCTTCGTCTTCCTCGACCTCGCGTGCAGATTTGAAAGCCGCTTTCTTGGCTAGTTTTTCTTCTTCCAACTGCGTTTTAGCTCGCGTTACACTTGGCGTGCAAAGTCAAACTGACCTGCCGTTTCTCGCTAGCAAGCTCTGCAAGCACTTGGTCCTTGAAAGCAAAAGAATTGGGTACGCCGAGCTCCTTCTTCTTCTCTGTACGAGTCAGCGAATATCACACGATATGATAGTGTCACGCTTGTCAAGTGACGAGCCCAAGGGAGGGAATGAGTGGAATGAAAGACTGACTAGACTTCCAAGTTGGATCTTTTTTGGTATCCCTCTTCGACTTCTTCCTTGACTCGGCTGCTTTTTTAGTGATCTTTGCCCTATGTCGGGTGGTCCCTCTATTGGAAGTCTCTATCTGCATCAGCCTTGATACTCTTCTCTCGCCGATCTCCACTCACTCTTTCTTATCCTAGGCATAGTGTAGAGTAGATTTTGACTTTGAATGACGAAAATCAAAATTGTTTGAGGGGGAACTGCGTCACGTGACTCCACCCCTGGGCATGTAATTTGGGGGGATGGAATAAGGTTTCACTGTTTACACCCGACTGACTTTTCTTTCAACCATCACCGGCACACTACTCAAGAGTATCTTCACTCGCATAACCCTTCATCAACCCCCTCCCAGACATCATGGCGGCGGTAGCTTCTGCGCCAGGATGGCAGACAGATGAGTTGGGAGAAGAGTGGGTCGAAACGTCTCATAACTCACCTTCGACCGTCCCCATAGAGCTACCACCTCCTAGGCAATACGACCCAACTTCTCTCAAGGCCAAACGGGGATCGTTGCGCGTGTTGGGTCATGCTCCTTCTCGAGGTCAACCTTCACGACCATCCGACTCAGAGAAAGGAAAGCTGGGTAGGACGACCAGCAACATATCTGTTGTCTCAGCCAACGGTTTGCTATCCCCTCCTGAATCAAGAACATCGTCTGGCTCTGGTGGAGAGGAGGAAAAGGGCAAAGTAGAGGCCGTGGGAACATTCATGGTCAGAGATGACGTGGAAGATGATAGAGGACAACATCTGGCAAGGAAACCTTTAGCTGCCAAAGGTGGAAGGGACATTTTTGGACCTTCACCTCTTGAAAGAATGTTCGAACCACCTTCACCACCACAGCCGGCCGTGACCCCTGCACCACCCCCACCGGCAACGAACAATGAGCCAAGAAGAGCTTCTCATCAATACGCCCCGGTGAACCCATCTCGACTGAGTAAATCTATCACACCGTCCAATGTATCTCTTTCTATAGCCGATTCCACACAAGTTTCCCCCGAACTCACACAATCTGGATTCCCTGAACCCGCTCATGGACATGCCACATCAACCCCTATACCCAATCATGAACAAAGTATCGGACGTCTAGGCGAGATAACCTTAAAATCAGGAGAAGTGGAAACGGATTTATCACCATTTGCTCGATCCGAATCAAAAGGTTATCCCTTCACCTTCAACGCCCCCGTCCGAGCGACGTCAGGTGTGACGGCTGGGACTGGTACAGCGAGCGGAAGCGCAACGGTCAGAGGTCACTCCATTCGTAGTCAAGGTCCGTTTGAACCATTTCCAGAGACACTTGATGGAGAACCTTCTCATTCCACCATACATGAAAAACAACCAGGACGTGGCTTCCCTTCACATCTTACCCGTTCAAGTGTCCCTCAACACCCTCGTCTGCAACTCTTCAAATCACAATATGACACATACACTCGTGAACACCTCTCCGCCATAGTCGATTCCATTGCCATTGAACCTTCACCATCTCCTCCCAGTCTCCCCAACGTTCGTAATCTGCGAGAATGGTCACCTGCTGCCACCAATTCAGCCTCCCCAAGTACAGGATCCGCTAGTGGATCCGGAAGCGCGTCGAGTTTCTCCGAGTTACGGTCTTCAAAACGACTTCGATTGTCACCCAGAAGTCCTAGGGGTCGATCTGTTAATCTCAAAGATTGGGGAGCTCAAGGAAAAGCTATGATGGATCGTATAAAGGGCTTGGCGGCTGAGGTAAGTACAGCGAGTACCAGTGCTTCTCGCAGTAGAACGGAAAACGATCTGTCCTCTCAAACACATGGTGAGTTCATGAGTCGAATTCTTCACGCTTGGTCTGATGAGACAGTACCGGAACAAATTGATATACCGCCATCTCCTCCCTTGGTCAGTAAACAGGAGACAAAAGCCAATCACCGATCAAATCCTTCCACCGCTTCATCGGGATATCTTCGGGCCGCGGAAGAGATCATGACTCGAATCAAAAATCGTGTCGTCTCTGACTCGACTGGTGTTGACTCTTCTCCCGCCAATGCCCGACGGATCCTCTCAGACACGACGGAACAAGCGATCAATTCTAGTGAGGCGGAAAGACAATTTCTGGCCGCTGATCCTGGTAAAGGTAAAGGTAAACTCGGACCCAGTCCTCGTAGGATGTTACGTCGACTCAGTGCTTCCGAAGAGATCAAAAGATCAGCCGAGGAAGACAGTGAGGATGACGTTCAACCTATCAGACCAGAATCTCCTAGATCTCGATTGCAAGATGAGCGTCGACCGACTTCCGCTACTTCCGACCCCCCTCACAACGCAGGCATGGTTAGAGACGATCTCAACCGGTTCATGTCGTCTTCGACAGTCGCTACAGGAACAACCATCTCGACGTCTTTCGTCAAGCATCGTGGACCACGAATCCAGTCTGGCATGCGTATGATTCGACCTGACGAGGTGGAAGGTGTGTTGGCGGATCGTGTGGGGAAAATGATCTACGACAAAGTTTCCATGCGATGGGTAAGAGAACATAACCTTCCACAAGTGGACGAAGCGGGTGAGAGTAGGGCGGGTGGAAGTGAAGAGAGTGTCGATGTTTTCGCTCAGATCGATAGTTGGAGAGATCAGACACCACCTCAACCACAATTACTATCTCAGCCAGTATCCCCTACCACCGTATCAGAAGTGGATCACACACAAATGGATCCATCTCCTGAGAAAACAGTAACTCGTCCCATATTACCACATGCTGATTCAGCTCCGGCGGCTTTGGAGACTCCCGCTCATGGATCAATACCTAAACCTATCAGATCAGCTCTTCGAAATCCCAACTCTCTCACTCCAGGTCCTAAGAAAAAGGCCGGGTGGCATGAAGATTTGACACCTGCACATAAATTAGATCTCGTCAGTACGTTGAAAAGAAGCGTCAGTTTTTCAGATGGAAAGACGACGGGAAAGTGGGTTGAATATGATCATCTGGAGGGAAGGGCGCTTTTCAGCGATACAGAAATCGAGGGAAAGAGTTTGCTGCCTAGTACCCGGACAAAAAGGATACAAGGGATGTTGCAGGATATGCAGGAATTGAGTGAGTTTTTCATGTCTCTCTCCATTACGTTTGACTGACAAGGAAGGTATCGAAGAGGATACAAGTCCTTCTAAACCTGCCAAAGACCCTTTACCCATTGTCGATCCTTCAACCTCTCTCTCAACCCTTCCAGGACGTTCGTTCCGTCAACGAGCAGGGGCCAACGCCACTTTCCTCACCGAGTGTTCATTTGGAGTTACGAGAGATCGTCTCGTACAGCTCATCACGGATGTCGAACCTTTCGAACCTTATTGGGAAGATTTGCTCAGTATCGACTTATCTGACAAGGGAGTTGACAGTGTGGCTAGGTTGAAGGAATTCTTGCCGAATCTACGACATGTGAGATTAGACAGGAACGCTTTGACCTATCTCAGTGGAGTTCCCGGAAGTGTGAAAGAGTTGAGCGTCGCGGGCAATAGATTAACGGGTCTGACCAGTGTGGATCATCTGCGAGGATTGAGAATTTTAGATTTATCGAAGAATAAGTTGGAAATGGTAAACCGTGCGTGTCCAATTCCAATCACTCCTTGTGATCATCCGTGGCTATCACCTGACGCTCCTTCAACTTGGCCGTTACCTTTGTCGGACCTGGACTTTGTGATTATAGCAAGAGTGCGATATTTGGAGCAAGGTCGTCACTGACTCATAGAACTGGCTTGTCTGCATGAATTGAAAGAATTACGATTGAATGACAACGTTATCACCGATATAACCAGTATCATGAACCTGGAACACCTAACCTCCCTCAGCGTATCAGGAAACAAAATTTCTTCCGTTGACTTCTCTAAAGCTAAATGGTGCGTCCGTCCTTTTTTCCCCCAACCAAGCTTATGTATAGGGGTAATCTCGAGAACTTTGATCTCTGTAACAACTGTATAAATACCATCAAACATCTTGACAAACTCGAAAAACTTCTTCATCTGAATCTTGGTAAGTCCTCAATCATGTGATCACCAATATCTTGACTGACAATTAGATGGAAACCAACTTAAATCTCTCACAACAATCGAAACACTCCCCCAATTAAACATTCTCAAAATAAGTGATAATCAACTCTCTTCATTGAATATATCTTCGTTCCCCTCTCTTCACACTCTTCATGTAGATAACAACCGTCTATCCTCTTTACATAGGTCTACATCAATAACATCCACTATCGAATCCCTTTCCATAAGGAATCAAAGATCCTCTAAACCTTTACATCTTTCTTTACAAGATCTTCATTCTGTCAAAAGACTTTATATTTCTGGTAATCCATTAGAGTCAGATTTCTTCCCTCTTACTCCGTTGGATAACCTGGTATATGTCGAAATGGCAGCTTGTAAAATATCAACATGGCCGAATAAGTTTGCGAGGAGATTACCAAATGTCGAAATATTGAATTTGAATTATAATTATTTCGAAGATTTATCAGGATTGGAAGGGATGAGAAAGTTGAGGAAAGTCATGGCTGTAGGATGTAGATTAGGTGGGAGTGTTAAAGGGTTTGCTAGAGGTTTAGGTGGTTTGAAAAAGTTGGAAGAAGTTGATTTGAGGTTAGTCGTTTCCCTCTCTCTTCCCTCTTCCCTCTTCCCTCTTCCCTCTTCCTTCTTCCCCAGCCCTTCTTCCCCAGCCCTTCTTCCCCTACTCTATCTCCGTCCCCAAATGCCTCCTTCTCCCTTCCCAATCTTCCTTCGTCGGACCCAACTCAGTGGGATATTCAGGATGGACATTGATAAAAACAGGATGAACCCATCAACATTAAGTTTCTACCTTCCACTTCTCCTCACCCCTTCCAACCCTCCTACAACCGAAATGATTTCAGTTCAAAACAGGCCAAACGCCACTGCCATATTAACCGGTCAACCAGCAAATAAATCCTTTGCAATTTCCACCTCGGGCAAAGATCAATTACAAAAAAGTGAAGATTGGGCAGTGATGGATCGAGAATTCAGACGTAATTTACCCGATGGATGGTATGGTCGTCGATTACTCTATAGAGGTCTGGTGATGGCCGCTTGTCCTTCTTTGAGGATGTTGGATGGGGTTAAAGTGGAAGAAGGGGAAAAGAGGAAAGCTAAAGAATTGATAGCAAGAGCTGCTGCTGTGTGATTCGAAAAATGTCGCTCAACTTCATACCTCCGATTTGGTTTGGGTCGTGTTTCTGTCAAGGAATGGATTTTGGGGTTAGACCTGGGGTAGGAGAAAAAGATTTGATTGACATTCCTGTGACTGAGATGTTGAGAACAATCAGGAGGATGATAATATTATGGCAAGTCAGAGCGACGGAAAATGGGGGCCAAATAAAACTAGGAGTATACAATAGGTGTATAGGGTGTAAAATGTATCGAGGGGGTAGCACAGAAGAGGATCTGAAGAGTACTCGTATGATAGGAAATTGGAGAAGAAGAATGGGGATCCGGGAGGAAATGGACAACTTGGAGGGAGTTATGCAGGGAGGAATTCTTATCTTGCAACCAGGTCAGGTCATTTTTTGTTATGCTACTATTTGGAATCTCTGTACCATGTGAATACATTTATGCAACAATTGCCATTCTCATCTATAATCATTTCAACTTGATATTCCTATCTACATATTCCATAGTTTATCCGTCACTCTAAACAATTACATTGGATCATCAAAGCTACACATATTCCTTCCACGCCGAGACAGATTGGCGATACATGACGGTAGAGTACTCTTACACCTGGGATACAAATGGGGAACATGATTCTTTCCTAAAAGACTTCCTCGTCGGGTGAGAAAATTATCGAAGAGAGGTGGTTGACTCAATCGAGGAAAACATCGGCGTTACCTCTTTGTACACAGAATCTGTCAATCAGCTTTGACCCCTTTCTCTCCAAACACAACACATCGCATGACTGTCACGAATGACAAACACCCTGAGACTCTTTTCTGACCCCTGAACAAGTGGAAAGACAATGAGTCATACATGTGTTTGGCGAGTGAATGTGAGTGTCGACTGAGTATAGTGCGTTGAGGGGGAAAGAAGGAAAACGAGTGTCAATCATGTTAACGTGAGAAATGAGATAAACCCAAAACAAAGAGAAGAAACCAAAAAAAAAACCCACCTTCTATAATCAGGTTTAGGTTGATGACTATATTTTGGTAAACCATATTGACTCGTTCTTCCTCCGACCGTTCCATCCATGAAAGTTAAAGAACTTCCTGCTATACTACTTCCATCATCATAAGCATCTTGTGGACCATAACCCGTTACACTTGGTGCTGCATAAGCTCCAGGAAGAGGTCTATCATATTGTTGCATTGAAAATGCTCTTCTACGCATTTCCATATCGGGTGACATCATTATACCTAATCCTCCTCCTCCCATTTGCATATTTCCTTGAGGAAAAGGTGAAGGTGCTCTTGGTTGCATTGATAATGGTGGAGGTACTTGAGAATGTGAAAAATGGCTATGTCTGTGAGTCTGACTTTGATTTTGACTTTGAGTTTGATGAGAAGAAGAAGGAGCAGGATGAACAGAAGTTGTTTCTTCATTTCGATGATGATGGTGATGATGATGATGAACATGTACCGTACTTGAATCATCTTGATTAACACTTAATCTTTCTGATGGTGGAGGTGAATAATCTTGTGAACGACTTCTTTGTCTACCACTAACTCTTGGTGTTTCATTATTAGGTTCAGGACTTCCATTCTTTGATGGTTTACGTCTACGAAGATCATCAACTTCTGGTCCAGCTTTATTTACACTACTTGATCTTCTTGGTTTTTGACCTGATCCTTGAAGAGAAGATTGAAGTTGATTATCTTTCTCTGTCGTGGGTGATAATTTAGGATAATGAGAACATGTTTCTGATCTCGGTGAAGTTGGAGGTCTAGCAGCAAGAGGAGAAGGTGCTCCAGGAGAATGAGCATGTGAAGGTCCTAGTACTGGAGAACGTTGGTTTTGATTCATAGATGCCGAACGACGATGAACAGGTTCTCTTGGACTGGATGGTTCAGAACTGTTGGAACTTGCACTTCGAGGAAGTTTAGGACGTGCGTAATAAGACGCATCTGAACCTGCATCACTACGATCATCATGATGTTGATGTTGATGCTGATGCTGATGATGGTGATGATGTTGTGGTTTTGCAGTCGAAGTCGATACGTCATCCAGGACTTGAGTTGGGCCAGATGGACCGATTTGAGGATGTACGTGGGTGTGAAGTAACATGGGCGCGGCCCGACGAGGAGCGGGTAGGGAGGAAAAGGGTGTCATACCACTTTCAGAGGAAAGTATCGTAGATAATGGTGCGGGTGGAAGACGAGGAGAATGTCCTGCGTAAACGGAAGCTCCACCATAGATGGAGGGAGGTCGCATACCACTGTTCCATCCTGGACCGAGAGCGCCAGGAGCTTGGAAAGTAGCCGGTCGGAGGGTGGGGGCTGTGTAACCTGCATCGGGCAAGGCGGGGATTGCATGCATGGGGCCTGGGTAGTCAGCAATGTTCATTTCGAAGTATGTAATGGAGATAATTCAAGTGCTAATGTCGAATATGCACGACGATTATAACTCTTATGGCGAGGTCTTTTCTATGAATCATGGGCGAAAAGATGAGCGGACTGAGAATCAGGATGAAGTAGGAAACGAAAATGACAATGACAAAGTGAAAGACTAGAGAGACGACAAACCGGCAACACCACCAGGTGTAGGTGGGATTATAGCACTAGCAGCCACCGCCGCAGGTCCATAAGATGCTCCACTCGCTCCTGACGGTAGAGGCATACCATCAATATCTGGTCTTGTATATTTCGGCGAGAATGGTAATTGTTGATCGGCGAAAGCGATGGGAGAAACTGTACCCATTTCAGCGACCGATATCAGCAATCACGGTAAGGGACTCTCACCTTCGATAGGCATCCTTTTCGGCTTCTAGCGTAATACGATTATCTGATGGTCAGAGAATGTCAACTCTGAATAGCTGGAATCCAAGTTGAACAAATCAATAATGCCAAATACGGTCATAAACTTGAAAGACGGGGTTGGGTGGCAAGATGTGACAATACGGTGGGAGGACGGGGGGATTTAGGCAATGGGGGGGTAATGAGGACAGAGGATGAGACAAGGGGTATAGCTTCTCACCTTGAGAGAATCAAACGATCAAACGAAATGATTGCAAAACGTGGGAGAACCATTGTGTCAATTTTGAAATGTTCATGTCTCAGTCGTCTCGCCAGACCAGAGGGGAAAGACGGAGGAGGGAGACGCCCAGTCCTAGACGTGAAGGTCAAATCGGACGAGTGTGTGAACGATACAAAGGAGGTTGACATCCTTTGTAACCCGTACGGGGTTTTAGAACGAGGCGTCGAAGGACGGGGAGGGGTTCATGAAAATGGATCATCGTCCGCGGGGTATCGTAGAGGGAAAGAAAGCGGCACTGGATTTCGTCAGCCCTTGGCGTTTTCTCATGGACCCACCTTCCGGTGTACACATGGGGATGGAGTAATCAGGCGCCATGACACGGAGGGGTGATGGATCAATCTCGAACGAACAACTCACAATCATCTAGATCTCGCTTCGAGATGTCGTGGAGCAGAATCTTCTTTGCATAGCCGTGTTGCTGTACGGTGAGGTCATTGTGAGAAGGACAAGATCCGGCCGATTGGTACTCTTCGTGAAATCGAACATGTAAGCGAAGCGATGAGACATTCCAAGGACTTGACCGGTCCGGAGAGTGGGGTTGGAGGAACGATGAGAAAGAAAGTGGAGGAGGGGATGTGTAAGGGGTAACGTATACCAAGGTAGATGTTCGTTAAGTCTTCATTTCAAATCAATAACACAGCTTTCACTGCCCTTGGCAGTTCAACCATCAGTCATTCCCACGTCAGTAATCAACTTAGACATGCATACCATCTGTTGCGATGTCACTGTAAGGCTGCCTTTGCCTCGGCTAACGTGTCCGCGGGTTCCCAGTGATTGGGGCTTGGAAGGAAGCTACGTGCTCTCAGAGCTTGTTCAGTGAAAGAGTAAGGGAGGTATCGTAATCCCAGGATGATGGCGAGGATCAGAGCTGTGATTTGAAGCAATAACCAGAACACAGCCACCTCTGAATGATGAGCACAAAATCACAACGAGAATATGTCAAAACTCACTCTTCTCCAATGGACGCATCCTACGTAGAAGCTCCTCCTGCGAGACCTACGACTTTAGTCATGTTTTGACGTCGGCTATTTCACGCACCTGTTTTTCCTTCTTGTGGAGTTTTCGTAATTCCAAAATCCTCACAAACTCGGTGATATCTGATCCAGCGTCGGCTCCAGATCGCAGACCATCTAGGACGATGTCCCATATCGCGTACAAAGCTGACATCTCGCCCATGAAGAGGATCACGAATCGCAACGCGATTGAATCGGAGAGATACCAGGAGACAAAGAGTATGATGAGAAATAATCCAGAAACACCCATCATACTTAACGGTGAGCTCTTTGACACGATATGGGGAGGAGATAACTAACATGTCTAAAGACATCATGGCTGCTTTCCCACGTCGATCATCATCGGGACTTCGATCCGCTCGCCATTGTTTCTCCTTCGCCTTTGCGATTTCGTGCGAACGGAAGATCCGAGCGAATTTCCAGGCCACCCAGTCGTGCGTGACGATGCAGATAAACAAAGTGACAAGGAGGAGGGCACCGAGTGCGAGTGAGGCATACTTCGAGCTAGCTCATCAGCTTGTCAACCTGTTCTATGGCATTGATGCTTACTACAAAGCGTCGACTATTATGATCAGTAATGTAGATCCATTCTGACAAAAATGTCACTCACAACCGCAGAATACCAGTCCGCATCCTACGAAACAGCTGATTCTGTAATCGAGTTAGGTCGGAACTTAGCGAGTAGGGGTAACCCACGTATAACCAGCCATGACAGATGTCATAAACCTCCAGTCAGGCTTGAATCCGTTGGTGAATCCGGTATCACCTCCCTCCCACACTTTGAATCAGCTTCGATGATCTTCTGTAAATTCGAAGGGGGTTGGCAACGTACCATCGACATGGATATACCTCACACCTTGGTCCGGGAATCTGACAGAATCAGCTCGAGTTTTCCAGTGCGTTGATATGACTGACCCAACGATGCATCCTACAACGGCGTGTCCCATCGGCAACGTCAACGCAATTCATCTATTAAAGTGAAGGCGGGACGTACCTCATGGATCAGCACTGTGAGAATCTTGAACGGCCACAAGATGGGCGGGGATGCCCATTTGCTTTCTGGCCACCAATCTCGATCTACCAGGCGTCTCAATCCAAACAGTCCGTTCCTGTTCTGATCAGCGAGCAGAAAACTAAGCGTGGGTCGATGAAAGTTCACAAACGTGGGGGAAGGAGAGAACAAGCTCAGGGAGCGATTGAGACAGTTGGGGAGAGAGAGAAGGATGAATAAAAGCGTCAGTAGTGAGAAACGGGGACCTGGGAAGTGAGAACAGAGATGACAAGCCTGGGCTGAGAGAGAGAGAGAGAGATGACAATCTTAGGTAGGGACGGAGAACAAACACAAACCAATGAGATAGGAATAGACACTCACCAGAACGCAAAGATAGCAACGAAATACGCCACAATGAAATAAATGGTAGCCCTTTGCGCATCACTCAACTGAGACCAATAGATACTCGTACTCGTTTGACCAACGAGCCAGGGAGGAAGTTCCCGACTTCCCAATTGACCACTCATCTCATATAACGAATCTGACGATCACCCAATACCTAAGATCGTAGGATATGCAGGTCGTCCATGACCGTGATTGGTCGAATACATTGTTCATCAAAGGATGTTTTCTTTCCCCCCAAAGTGAAAGGATATGGTGTTTCGAATTCTTGACCATGTCCAATACTCAGTATCGTCCATATTTAACTTGGTTCTGAAGGGAACAGAGCGTTGACGACCTGATCGAATAAGTATGGTTTGATGAATGAAGGGAAGAAGAACGTACTTCATCTATGATGCACAAGAAAAGATGTTGATTCAATCTTCGATCTTGTAACACCCCAAAACCACGTCTGGCGGCTCTACGAGCATTATTACGTCCTATCATATTTGCTGCTACATCTTATGTCGTCAGCTTCCACCGGTACGAGTATCGTTGCAGACACATGATCCACATTGATCATTCGTTTTGAGCACATGAGTTTGACATGAGTACGAGATAGGTTCGGGTAGTGGGGGTTGAGGGAGTGAGGGAGTGAGGGAGTGAGGGAGTGAGGGAGTGAGGGAGTGAGGGAGTGAGGGAGTGAGGGAGTGAGGGAGTGAGGGAGTGAGGGAGTGAGGGAGTGAGGAAGACATACCAGGAATGAGTAAACCTAATTTTCGACTTGCTCTCAATCTAGTAGAATCTTTTTCCAACTCCGTCCTCGGTTCCGTCGCCGATCTTTTATTTCCTTCAGGCCACATGATTTCTTGAAAATTATACAAAATACGTTCAAGAGAATCATGGGAGAAAGCATTTATAATCGTATCTCTTACTTTTCTTTTTCTATCAGCCTTCTTCAAAATCATCAAATCATAAACCTTTCATAGAAGAAATGAATATGATAATTAAGATTGTAACTGACCTTTCTATAGTACCACCTAAAAATTGTTGTAATATAACTATTATAGCTTGTCGACGTAACCAATTATTTTCTTTCAAATCGAAAACTTCAATGAAAAGATCACAGATAGGTGATGTAAAAGAAGTCAATGCGTTTTCACCTCCCATAGGTTGAACCACTGGTAGACTCCCTTTGGAATGAGGATCAGGAACGAGGTTATTTGAAGTGGATGATGATGTTGGACCTTTCAACCATGTAGGTATACCATTTTGAAATGCTTGAGGTAAAAGTGAAGTACCTAAAGAAGTTAAATCATCTCCTCCAAACCCTGTCATAGCTCCTATACCACCTGCTACGTCACTCAATTGTCTGTTAAGACCAGTATACATGAAATCTAGCATGTTAGGTCCTAGAGAATCATCGAAAGAAGTTGCCATGGTTTTGTATAACGCTTTAACGATATTTTGACGAGCTATGCTAAACCTAGGAGGGGAAGTATCATTAGAGGAAAGTGATTCAATAGATGAACGTGAAAGGAAAGAACGTAGGATATGACTATCGCAAATGATGCTGGAAGTGATGAGAGACTATAAAATTAATACATAGTATAAATAGTGAGCGAAGAGTCTAGAAACTCACTTGTAAATACTTTTCCAAACCTATACGACGATTATCGATGAAACTCGTCGACATATTGGCTACTAGTTTCTTTCCTGGTAATTCGCCCACTTTGGTTTTAAACTCTTCTAATATTCTTGGATCACCCGACGTAGCGGCCCATTCTCTGATAGCTCGATCAAGTTCGAAAAACTCATTGTAACGTCTCGCTACCACCCAGTTGAGAAGGACTTTAGCGTCTTCTCCGATTTGACTGACCTCGATGGTATACCTCACAACTTGCTTGCCATGTTCACCTTCCTCGGCGGTGATGACGGATGAGGGGATAACGACTCTAGTTCGTCCAGGAACTAGGCGATTCTCCTCTTCCTGTTGCTCAAATTGTGCCTTTTGGAATAACGCAGTCCGCTGTTCTCTTTTGATAGAGGATTGTGACCGATGTAGGATCTTGAGTTCGGCCGCATTACCTGTCAAATCGGCTTTACGAATAAGGTCCTCCAGTAAACTTTCTTGTCTGGCGAGATAATCGATTTTATCTTGCAACCGGGCGATCTCTAGAGGAAGTTGGAGATCACCGGCAACGGCTGGTTGAACAGCGTCTACACCATCCTCTGTATCCTCTTCTACATCGAAAACGTCATCCTTCAACTCGTCTTCTTCGAATAGTCGCCGCTCTTGGGGTAAAGAGACTTTGGATGACGTTCGACGGTGAAAAGGAGGTCTATCTACGGATGCATCTTGAATCGACGATGGTCTTCTTTCCTGACTCAATATACCGCTGCTCTGGTCTACTACTGGGGACTTCAAGTCTTCAAAGCTGCGTGATCCTAACTTCGCAGCTGGCCCATCCTCATCATTGCGTCGGGGAAGCACCAGTGACGAAGATAGCGCGTCGGCGGGTTCAACCTCTGGCTCTATCGGGGGGAGAATTGACGCGGTCACACTTGATGATAAATCATCGCTACGAATGATCTCATCCAGTGCCGCCTGGATCGCTTTCATACGTTGCAACTGCGCGAAATCGTCTTCCTCATCTTCCTGGGCGACTGGTCCCGAAATATCGTCGTCATCGTCAAATAGCTTCTTCTCTAAGTGATGAGTCGCAACCTCACGATCCGGAGACATGAGTACATCCAAATGACTGGATCGTCGGGTCATAGGTACTGGAGAGACCAAACCGCTAGTCATCCTTCCCTTCTCGTCCGCACTGACGGCTCGGTGCTTCGGCTCAGTCTTGAGTGGTGGGTCAAAAGTGGGCGGAGTGACAGAAACTGATGCTGACGGGCTTGGAACAGCAGGTGTGAAACTACCATTGACAAGTTTAGGGGCTGAGCGAAGTTTAGAGCTAGGTATCGAATTCTGAGAGACAGGGGAGAGAGGGGTTGTGAAACGTCTAAGTGGATGAGCGGGCGGTGAGAGACTGGACGTTGGTTCCTCCGACGATGCTCGTGTGTCTCTAGAAGGAATGGGGACGAGAGAAGAGGGTAATCGAAGATCCGACAATGCTTTGAGGTACAGCTCTGTCTTGGTGAATTCTGGCCAATCATCATCTTCCATCTGCTCGAACACTGCTTGCTGTGCAGCGAACGTTGCTTGTTTCACGCGTTGGACTTCGTTCGTTTCAGGAACATGGTCTGATGAAGTTTGACAGAAGTTCTGAAGTACTGAGCTGTGTCGTACGAGTATTCCAAGGTTGTTGTCGGGGACATTCAAGTACGTTTCCACCAAGAAAGATACGTCATCTTTATTCGCGGCAAACCCTTTGAGATCCCCTTCATCCCACGGACTGGAAACAAGAGGGTCAACGGTGGGATCAATGAGGTCAAGAGGGTTCTTGAAACCTTCGACTGTCAACCAAAATTGAACAAGCCGTGAACGACCTCGTCGGTCCATATATTCCAACCAGTAGGCTAAGGATGATGGATCGGATAAGACCGTCCGCAAGTTGATCAAAGTGGGGTCTGCGGTTGAAACATGTGGAATGTTGGTGTCAGAAGTCTTCAAGTCATTACACATCTTGTCGAAGAGATGATACTCACCTTCCGCTGTTGACCTGTCAAAACTTGAATCCTCGCGTCAACAGATATTCTCGCACGCTCCAGTCTTTGGACAAATTTGATCAAACGTTTGACTTGCTTATCATCTCTAACTCCTTCCGATCTCTCAGAATCCATTTGCATTGATTTCGCATGTCTTGATTCACGTTCGATGTCTGCTCGTAATCTACGCGCCTCGCCTAAAGATTTGACTTTAGCTATTGAACGGATGAAGACGTCAAATTGCTGAGATGTGGAGTTTACCGAGATGGATGAAGTACTGAGAGGGCCTGTGTAACCTCTGTTTGTATTGGGGGACGACGTGTTAGATGGATAAGGTATCGTAGACAGAGCAGAAAGAAATCTGTTCACTTGTTTCCTAAAAACGTAAGATCTCATACTGTCATTTCAAAAATGAGAGGAGACCTACTGTTCATGAAGATATTGACCACCTTTTTCATCAATCTGTCTGTTCCAGAAATCCGGTTCGCTCAACATATCCAACACAGGCATGAGGATAGAACATAAGACGATCTCCCTTGCCATGGTCTTGACCACTTCTGTCTTTTCCTCTGCAGGTAAGACACATTCCAACACACGAATCACCACACCTCGAAGATATTCTTCCACATTCACAGTTGTCGTCTCCCCAGTCAGTTCAGGTTGTAGAGCTAATGCTCTATGAGCGCCTTTTGGTAAAGGGAGTGGTAAAGAGCGTGAAGATAGATGTTCGACGGAACGATAATGATGCATATGGTCCGTGATAATAGGTATGATTTTCGACACCAGGATGGCTGACCAGTCAACATCATTGGACCTTGTCGCTAGATCGATAATGATTGAACGGACGAGGGTTTGTACCGCTTGGGGAAAGATTGGAGAAGGAGAGATCCGAGTGTACCATGGGAGGATGAACGTTTTGGTTATAAGATTGAGTATACGGTCTAATCGGTTGTCTAGAGATTTACGAGAGCCATATGAGCCTTTGAGAGATGAAGGGGAGGAAGGTTTGTTCGAAGTAGTATCTCGAGCTAGGATTGAGGACCATGCGGTAGAAGTGGTGAAAACTAATGACTTGATGGGTCGTCGTCCATTCAAAAAGAGACCCGTTTTGGTGTTGAGCTGGCGTCGGATGAGAAGATAAAGTATGGTGGAGATGAACACGCAGAGGAAGAGTGAGAAGAAAGCGGGGGATAAGAGAAGGGTTTGAAGGAAGGACAGTTGAGGAAAGACGAAGGCAAGGACGAGAGCGGAGAGGGATACGAGTATGGTGAGGGGATGTAAAGATAGCATTCTTCTCACAGGCGTAGCAGATGGGCTATGGTGATAGTATGGGCCTTTTCTGCTACGCCTGGAATGGTCTATGAGGGTGATAACATCAAAGAATGAATTAAGGTGGTCAAAGAATAAAAGGAAGAGAGATGGGAGGACATGGAAGTCACTCGACCTTGTCCTTCTGTCACTCTTTCTCTATCACATCTCTACTTAGCCCCTTCAACGTTTATCATCACGGTACTACTGTACAATAGGTCACGATGACCACCAGGGCTATAAGGAATCTCACCGTATTCGCAGGTACCCATCTCGACCTCCCCTCTCAAGATCACCCACAACTCGTCACAAACGATGGTTTCGAAGTCGATGAAGATACCTTTTTCCGTCCTGTTTCTGACAACCCCACTCAGCTCATTGGAGAGAATGGAACAACTCAAGAAGTTCCCATGATAGAGGATACACAAGTGGAACAAGAAGCTCAAGACGACATAACCCCCCTCCTCACAGCCGCAGACAGTCTTGTACTCTCTTACTCCCTCACTCAATCTCGTCTACATCATATCAACCATCTTCTCCCTCATATATTCTCCCACCCTCTCATACCTTCTCACTCTAGACCTCGTGCTCGTCCACCTCCAAAATCAACTTTCCTCTTCCCCACCCCTCCACCCTTGGTCCAACCCCTTCCCAATCCTGAATATCACGGTCCATCTTCCGGTCCCTCCACTCCGGCTCCAGATGGAGACGACACACCCAAAGTCAAAGGTAAAAACAAGAGGGATAGAGAGAGCGAAGCTCCAGCTCATGAGATTGAATGTATAGCTAGGGTCACTTTGAGTATAGGACCGATATCATATCCCGATACGGAACTTTGGGTTGGGAGGTTCGTTCAGCCGCAGACTGTGATCAAGAAAGTAAGAGCTAAACCTGATAAAGAGAAGAGGGATAGTATAGGAGGTGAAGGATCGAAACGCTCCAAAGTCATTCAAAAGTCTTCTACAATCTCGACCACGCCTCTGACAACTGCGACTCAAGTAGCTCGTCCGAGCCCGATTCAAAATCAGAATCAAACTCCTACTCAGCCAGAAAAACGTAGTATAGTAAGTGTCTCTTCCAAACACGGTGGATTATATGTTGATCAATTCTAGCCTCAGACTTTGATACAAAGGGTCAATGTGGCTGCTTCCAATCGTCCTTGGTTATCGGTCATTATTCACAAAGCCGCTCGACAGCAAGCTTCAAAAGAAGAGTTGGCGACTTTGGGTAGAGTAGTCGCTCGTCTGAAACTGGGACAAGATATCGAAGATGAAATCAGCGGACAAATCCCTGTGCCCGCTACCACCGCTAAAGGGTCAACCTCGCAATCCACCAATGCAACAAAAACGCTACCGCCATCTCATGCTGGCGGTTCTTCTCCTGTCGATTCCGGTAGAAAACCACCCAGTGCCGTCGACAACACTTTGGAAGAGGACGATAGTGATGTCGATATGACTGGTCCTCCTCAAGTAGGTGGTGGCCCCATCCCTCCGTCGCCATCTCCAGCTGCGACCACCAACCCATCTCAGACAAAGACGAATCAGACAAAATCGCCACAATCATCCAAGCTTCAAGAAGCCAGCCTCTCACAGTCGACACCTCTCAGTCGTCCACCAGCTGCACCGACTCACCTAAGTCATTCACAGCAATCATCCAATATACCTCATTACCCACCAGGATCCGTTCCTATTACTTCCACTCGACCTACTACCACACCTACCATCTCTTCGCCCCTTGCCACAACCCATCCCGCCAAACCCACTTATTCCCAACCACCACCCTTCATGCTCATAGCTTTCCGTGAGCTTCCAACGGAGAAATACCTCTTACCCATTGGACTCAACTCTTATATATCTCGTGTGGGAGGCGATCACGTTACGTCACATCCTCCCGTTTCGACGCAGCCAGATCCCACCTTGAGTCGACCTCCACCCAGCGGTATCGAAGGAACTTCAAATACGCCAGAGCCTTCTAGCATTGAGGCACCCACTGTGAGTGGTCGAACACGAGCACGACAATCTATCGGTAAACCACCTAAAACCGTTACTCCTCCAGCGAAAGAACCAACTCCGATTCCTGAACCATCTAAATCTGAGTCTTGCAAATCAAATCTACCTGCTTTACCCGGAATGTCACCTTCTCCTGGTACTGTGTTATTATCGACGTTCTTGCCTGCTGAATGGGTGACTCCGGATTGGGAGAAACTTGGAAAACGTTTGCCTTTCAACAATCCTCATTTGACGTATTTGCCAAGTGCTGTTCAGTCTGTAAAGCAAGAAGTGTTAGAAACTCCTCGAGAGGCTGAAATTGAGGGTGGTGTTGACGGTACTGCCAGCAAATCTCCCAAAGCTTCCAAAGTCTCTCGACCTCTGCGACACCTTCAGGAAATGTTTTCTCAAGAACCTGCTAGAAAATCAACAAAGCCAACCATTCTCAATCTAGGCGCTGAGGATTTCTTACCTCCCAACGGTCCATTGCAAGCTGTGACCATTCGTTTGAGTCAAGTGGACGACAAAACCTGGTTCAAGATGAAAGAGATCATGGGGATTGTGGAAGAACAAGAGCTTCGAGCGATGTTGATCAACGAACCTGAAATAATACCATCACCATCATCACTTACACTATCTTCATCTGTCATCAGTAACGATGTCACACAGTCCTTATCTATACCATCTGCTCACCCTCCTTCTGTATCTTCAAATCCATTCACTGAAGAGAACATCACCAAACTTCGTTCCATTTATCACGAACGCCGAAGAGTTCATTTCACAAATCTGATTAATCGAGTTGCTCCACGTAAATTCCTTCGAACTCGATTATCTTCCCCACCTCCATCAGTGGTAGAAGCTACCACAGACAAATTCGCTCAAAGACCTTATACACTAACTACAAAACCTCTTCATTCGAATTCTCCTCCTCCGGAAGATTACACCCTTGGCTTACCGGTTTCTCCAGAGATGAAAACCAAAAAGAAGGGTCAAGAATCGAACATCACTTTCGAAATGCCTGTATCGTTGGATTACTTGGATGAGAGGGTGGAACATGGTGCAGAGGGTTTATTGAAGAAAGGTTGGAAAAAAGGTCAGAAAGTTGAGGATGATGGGAGAAAAGGTTGGCATGCTGATGGGAGGAAGAAACATGGTAGAAGGTGGGTAGAGGGAAAGGTTTGTGAAGGTTGTGCTGGTGTTGGATTGAGGGTTTGGAGGACTGGACCTGGTGGGAAAGGGACTCGTGAGTTTTGTCATACTTTTCTACACCACCCCATCTTCACCATCTTCACCATCTTCTCCATTTGCTCCTTCTCTGTCTTCTCCGTTTCCACATCTCTGCTTCCAATCCTCCCGCCTCTGACATGTTATAGCTTGCAGGACTTGTTCATGAGAGAAGCTATGGGGCGGATAGACATTCGTAATGTTAAAGCTAACATGCAGTGTGCAACAAATGCGGTATCAAGTACCTCGCAGGGACATTAGGAGAACTCAAAGCGCCTGGTGAGGCGACTGAAGGTGATGACGAACGAGGAAGCACTACTCCCTTGGTCGAAGGCACATCCGAGCCTCCTAATACGGGTCTTACAAACGACGTTGATATGACACCCGCAAAAGCTGTGTCAGGTGACGGACCGATAGATGACTCTGTGTCTGACGTGGATACCTCCACTGTAGGAGCTACTGGAAAGGGAAAGTCGGAAGTACAAGTCGAGCAAGTGACAAAGGTCGAACTCTTCCAGTTGACCGACGTCAACTCTACCAAGGACATGGTAGCACCAACTACCGGGATGACCAACGGGGAGACAGCACCTCTCGTTCCTATGACAGTGCCGGAGGTGGAGGGAGTCTTGGCAGAGGAGTGAAAATGAAGATGCATCCTGTGGGGCTCCATCTTCGGCCGCCGGGGTACTCTACACAATCAGCACTGCTTTCAACCTCCGTCTTTTCCCGGGCGTAGCTCGGTATATAACGGGCTCTTTCCCAGACGTTCCTGGAAAAAAAGGAGCAAACTCCGAGGGATTTTCTAGTGTGGCACTTCCTTCAAACTCATAGTCCTACCTGTTTGCATGCTTGCCTCAAAATCACCAGGTCAGTGGTTCGACTCCCACACCTCGCAGAAGGGACAGACAGGTGGTGAGGATGTTGTAATGGTACTGGAAACACAACAACTCTCTCGCAGGTTGGGTTGAACTCAATAGATCTCATTAGACATGGCAAGATGTGGATGTATGTGGTGTGATGTCCTCCTCTATGAAGATGGCCAAATAGATGTATCAAAAAGTCAGCAAAGTGGATAAAGTACAAGATCCTCAATGACAATTGTTGACGTCCTACTACATAGTAGGTAGTTTCACCTTGAGAATCACACATCCAAGCTCTGTTACGGATCAGTTTGCTATCTCACTGTCACGAGACCCACTAACCAGCATTGGCACAATATAACAGTGCCCAGCGGAACAGTGCTCTAAACCACTGTGATGAAAAAGCTTATTGATCGGCGGTTAACTCTACCGCTGATTGCTGCTTAAATACCCTTTCCCGACTTTTGCTCGACTTGTCACATCCTCACACTCACTGTCACCACTCTGCTGTCACGACTCAGTTGACAGACCTTGGCTAACTTTGTGCTTCCAGGGTGTCACGACTGTTGTACAACTTCTTTCTATCAGACCAATGGTCGACAACCTGAGCTAACATTGTACTTTCAGGAATCATTGTTTCAACCAACAATACAGTGGCACCATCAAAAAGGGTGCTACTACAACATACTTTGGCAACGTTGCTCTGTCTGTGGGTTTTACTGCTGCGGATGTTTTTCAATGTAGGTGTAGCTGTCTCTATCTTTCTTCTACTACTGACAACTATCAAGGATGGCTCAAATTTGTCAGCAATCTTCTCAGCTACTAATATGTACTTCTCCTGGATAATTGTTCTACCCTCTTACGCTCAGGCCTACTTTGACGCATTTTGGCCTACATCCCCAAATGCCCGTCCGTTGTTTGCTTCCTCAAGAACCTAGGGAGTATTAGTAACAACAACCCTGCCTAGCGGAGAAGTGCGGCAAAGTTTGGAGAAGGAGATCAAGCAATGCAGGGTGGAGAGTGGAAGTAAGTGGAAGCAAGGCGAACTGCAGCGAAGTGAGCAGAGGATGCGAGGTATGGCAAAGTTGGATGAAGGAGGACTGTGTCACAGGGTTGATTTGGTTTACTTCTCAAGACCAACGGCCAATAGCTTTGTGGGCTGTGACCTTCAATGGTTTTGCTCTTTGAGATATGAATTAGGTGACAATAACTTCCGGGGTGTAATAACTTCGTGCTTCACCAACTTCTATCACTAAGACAACAACCAGAGATCGTCAAAGATCTCTGGGAACTTTGGCCCTTAAGTACTTTGTTCCTCCCTAACTTTGCCAACGCAGAACTTCGTTCAACCCAAAGCCCCGAGCTTCGTACCTCGCAAACTTTGCCCCTAACAAAGTTTATGCCTCCCTAACTTTGTATCTCCTTAACCTTGCATCTCCCCAACCTTGCATCCTCCTAACTTCCTACATGACTAACTTTGTCAGGCCTCCTAATACCCTCATGGGTGGTGAAGTTCATGAGAACAGGATCGTTGACAGCAAACTGATGTCCAAAGGAACTTTGTTTGATGGGAAAGGAGGAGGTGACACAGCGCTGCGTGACAGACTAAATGCGGGGCAGTGCAGGAGTTGAGAGACATTCTATGAGAGGAGCAGAGAGGTATAGATAGTTCACAAGATTGCTGAACTTCTTTACCAATCCTTGATTGTTGTGAGCAAGAGATATATCCAACAGGTACAACCAACGAGTTAGGGAGAGCTACCACCAAGCAGTTCGACGTACCACGGGGAAGATCATCTTATTGTTAACCACTTGGCACATTACTACGGCGTAGTTAGCCGTGGTTCCCCAACAACTACCCTGTCTCTGTGAGACATTGACACCCCAGTACAACTTAGTTAGCCAAGGTTTGTCGACCATGGGTCAGTAGAGGAGAAGAAACAATGACTGTGACAAACATGTTCTGGTTGATAGGTCTTACGGGGAAACAATGAATCGAGAGAACCCCATCGAGTTTGACGGATTAGGATGGAGGAAAGCGGGAGTTGGAGGCAGGCTGCATTAGGTAGGGACGGGTTTTCCCCTTTTCGAGATTTCCCCACTGGGTTTGCTCAAAAGCGGTTTTTCACCTGTCTGAGTATGTACGTAGACGCTTGCAGCAGGGAGAGGACAAGGACAAGGATACCATAGACAGTATATAGTACAATCAGCAAAGTACCAACTTTGCTGATTCTTCAATATCATTCTTTGGCTACATCGATTGCAGAGGAGACACGATCCATTAGCACCAGAGACCCCTAGACTTCTACGAGACTTCCATCAAGTTCTACCAAACCTGCGACTTAGTCATCGTGTTTCCAGTACCGTTACAATAGGCGCGCGACCGGTCACATCGACATCTCTTCTGTCGATCTACCTAGTCCGCTAGTAACATTCCTCTAGTATCCCTCTGCTTTGCTTTACTTTGCTCGGTCTTTGAAAGATCTGTCTATATTCCGAGAGATCAGTCCGTTCGAATATCCAAGAAGAGGGAAGAATATCGAAGATGTCGGTAGTTTTGCGTTCGGTTGAATGGTTGATAGCGAGGGACGATGATTATATCTGTCCTGATCCTTTTGTGAGTTTGAGTCTTCCTCTCCCCTCTTCTGTGACGCATGTCTGATGGGATGAGAAGTGTCTATCTCACCGATGAAACGTGGGATTTACGATCATGGAATAGAAGAGGCTGATAAACAGTTGGATCCATCGACTGATCTGTGAGTCCTTATATTGTGCTTGATTACCACCCGCACTGTCCACTGCTCCACTCCCAAGTAATCGTATGGAATCAAAACGTCGAGTATTGATTTTCAATCCTGGATATGAGAAGTGGTGAAGAGTCAGGATGAGGAGGCTCATTAAACAGGTGTAATCCATTACGATACATACCTAGTAAAACGTATAATATGATAGCTCTTGAATTATATTTCTTCGTCGCTACTTTACTCGCATGGAGTGAGTCGAACACCTACCTACCTATAATTCCAATTCCTCAACCTTTTTGTTTTACAACATTACATTCCCTTCCTTCATACTTGTATCGCAGCTTCAATTGTTTCACTCGTCAATTTATTCTCACTTCAATATTCCCATAAGACTCAAACAGCCCGAACGAAACGCAAGTACTATACTTAGTGGACAAAACCACGATAGGAAAGGATTGATCAGAAAAGCAAGTAATGGACCAAGAGAAGTTTAACAAGTATACAAATGGTTGAACTGATAAAATAGGAGCATGGAAATGGCCTGCTAGATATATGTTATGTTTAGTGATTGGTTGTTTTTGCCAAGGAATCGGTCTTTTGTTACGTGTTCTATTACGTATAAACCCACATAACATAGGGTTGTTCATCGTCATGGATTGTTTTGTAGTTTTGTCCGTGAGTCCTATTTTCTTAAGCTATATCGCGAGAAAGATATGATGGGATGACAGAGAGAGAGAGAGAGAGGAAAAGGGGAGTTGACTGATGTATTGTAGCCTTGCGCTTTTTTAGCTGCTGATTATATTTTATTAGGAAAGATGGTAGATTATTTAGAAGGTGGGAAACATTTGAGACCTTTAACATTACGTTGGTTATCTCGTGGATTCATAATATCAGATAGTGAGTTTTTTCTTTCCTTTCTTTCTTTCTTTGTTGGTTCTCACATTCCCATCTTCCCCTTCTTTTGAATACAACTTCTTCACGTCGTTGTGGAAATACTAGGCCTATTAATAAATCATAGCTTTCCGTTTGTTTTCAAGGAAGGGAGAACTCATCATCCACACCTTACATCTTGACAAATTGTTCAGATGGACGAAAAATGTTTCTATGATTCTTGGAAATTATTCAGAAAATATGATTAACTATCAGTCGTGACATTCTGCATCCAAGGTGGTGGTGGTGGTTTCTCATCAGCTAAAAATATCACTTTACTCAAAATCGGTGCAGATATCTTTTTGGCTGGTCTGGTAGCTCAATTGATATCTTTCACTTTGTTCATTGTGGTTTATATCGTCTTTTTCTATCGAGTGTGAGTTTGACCTGTCATTCACCAAACCTTTTCACATTCATCCTTATACGTTTATCTCAAATTTCATAATTAACTTTACAAATATCACTCAAATCCTTTTTTTTTCAGAGGAGATAAGATCATGTGAAACCTATTAAATCTTCGTCCGGTCTAGAAACCTTCACAAGATCACCTCTTAAGGATCCAACTTTGTCTTCACTAATATCGAGAGATAATCATACCAATCCTCTCATACTCACTCTTTCAGAGTGATATGTATGTCTAATATTGTTAGATGCTGATGAAAAGATGGAAGAATGATCCAGTGATATGGAATAAAAAACGATGGAAACCTCTTTATTTAGCAATGGGATTTACCTGTATTTGTTTTGAGATTAGATCTATTTATCGTACTGCGGAATTAGGACAAGGGTTAGTGTTTGTTTCTCATCATTCATCACTCGTCCCTCAGTCTTTTCTTTTACTCCCCTCTCCCCTCTCGTCTATCCTCTTCTACTCATTTCCTCTCTTCCCACATCTTCTCTTCTCTCTACCACTCTGACCTCACACAGGCTCATCTCAATCGGTATCCATGTCATGTTGTCTTATCGGTATCACAAGACAATACGGGACTGTCAAATCCTACTCACTGATCGCTTATCAGAAAGGGTCTCGAGAGAAAAGACCGGAAGGGATTGAAGGATGAATCAACAAAAAGACAGAATTAACGATCCAGGTTCAACGGTTATATCACCACCCACGAAAGTTTTTTCCTCGCTCTTGATACTCTACCATTATTTCTAGGAATATCGACATATTTCTTTTTCTGGCCTGGATGTTATATCTCACCACCACCTCGACCGAAAGTGATCAATGGACCTGAATCTGATATCCCTTTGGTGGAAAGGTTACCTTCTGCTGAAGGAGTTTCTTCGGTGGAGATACGTTCTCCTGTTGAGGAACAGCCTACAGGTCAAGGTCGAATCCCCAGGTCATCGAAGGAAGATCTTGTGTGATTTTGTTCAAGTCGTCTTCTTCAGATTCGTAATATCTGAGAACAGGTATTCTCGATGTGATTACAATTGTTTTGTTTCATGATTTCGTGGTATAGAAGTTCAGATGTCTTTTTTGGAAGGAGGGACATATCTAGAAAATTTCCTCTTATTTTATATGCAATTTGAAGGTTTCATTTGATATTCAAGAACCAAGTACTGTACATTCGCATATACGACGACTTGAACATTTAAGATTATACAACCTTGATTTAATCACCAGGTTCTTCTTTACCTAAAACTGCACTTTCTTCCCCTTCTAACATTTCTTCCCAACCACCTTGTACTCTCAAAACATCTTGTTCAATCATACTATTTCTCATCAACCTATCCCCTATTCTCTCCATTCCATCCGGTATGTCTTCCTCCTCCTCTTCTTCCTCATCATATCTTTCATATAATCTTTTCTTCCCTTTCCCTTTCCCTTTCCCTGGTTCACTCCCAGCTGGTCTATTGACACTTGGTAATCTCATTCTACCTTCTCTCAAAGCAACTTCATAAGCTTCATGTTCCTCTTCATCCTCTTCATCATCCTCAAATGGAGTATCACGTGAAATGAACAAAGGTGTTCTTCCATCTCTCCCTTGAACATTTTCATAAATTTGTTCATTCCCAAAAGGTGTTGATGATTGTCTTCCAAATGGTTCCTTTGAAGATTCTCTCAAAGGTGTCAAAGATGCATTCCTATTATTAGGAAAGGCCGAAACGGATCGAGAAGCATTACGAAGATTACGTTCTGGTTCAATATTTGTATCTGGAGGTAAAGATGGGGATTGTCTAATATGACTTTGTGCAGTTCTTGAAGCTTTCGTACGAGATCTTGAATAAGATGAAACGATTGATGATGATCTAGAAGATAATCGAGAAGTAGGTGGAGCATAAGAAGAAGGAGGTAAAGGTGGAAAAGGTTCAATTATTAATACTAATTGTAACGAAGAAGTACCAAAACCTTGATATTCAACTTCAACATCAGGTTTCCAATCTTTTATATTGCTTTGGTTTCCCTCTTCTTCTTCTTCTTCATCATCCTTATTGGTGTTGTTTGTTTCTGTTATTGTGGAATCTGAAGATGATTGGACATCTTGAAACAGACTCAGAGGAGTTTCAGAACGGTCTTTAGTTTTCTTACTTCGAGATCGTTTAGAAGATTTGGTAGGTCTTTGAGGAGTTACGGGTGGAGGAAGTTCGGGAGTTGGAGCTCGAAGAGAAAATGTTTTTTTCTAAAGGGGAAATTTAGTTGATGTACTGTATAATATTGATAAGAGGGGAGTATTCACTTTAAGAAGGATAACTTCTGTTCGAGTTGTTGAACGGAGAAAATAACAATATTGATAACCGTCTATTTTGTCAATCCATATCTAGATACAGTGAGTCGAAATGAAGTTCAGTAAGAATCAGAAAATGCCTTGCTTCGAGGGCTGGTGAACGGGAGAGAGAGAGAGAGGGGGGAGGAGGGGGTGAAAACTAACCACCACGTTCAACATAAACTTTATGTTTCTTCTCCGTCCTAGCTGATTGAAGTAAATCAAGCATTCTGATGATTAGACAACACGGCAGAAGATAGGAAAAGAAATACTTTGATTGAAGGGCAGCTATGACTAATTGAAGATATCGGTCGGTCATCCAATCGACCTAATCGTCAATTATCATCGTCACCAATTCATCAAGACAGGAGAGGTTCGACCGTGGTGGTATGCTCGATTGATATCTGGAAGGATGATGAAGAGGATTGTTATACGTAAGAGTAGAATCAAGGATAAGAAACAAGGACTTACATGTCTCTCGTCGAGGTAGAGGAAGAGTGGGATGACACGGTAGTTTGAAACACGTAGGTAATAAGCGTTCCTGGTGGAGAAGGTCATTTTGAGTGGATGTTCCTTGATACTTTCTTTTCGACTGAAGGATGATCTGAGCAGTCAACTTGATACGTGGGACCACTCGACTTGGATAGCTTTCAACCCCAGAGCTGTGTAGTAATGATGTTTAAAAACAACTCTCAATTGTTCAAGATGGTTCTGCCGATTTGTACTTGAGTGTCTTGGTGGAAGATAGTCACGTGACGTCACTTTGACCAGCTTACGATGCGACCAACTGCTCTCTCTCTCTCTCTCAACTTTACCCCTCTATCTTTCTCATTCCTCTCCTCCTCTCCATCTCATCAAACATCATATCATGTCCGCACCAGCTGCAGACCCACCCGTACCCCCTCCAGGGAACGATGCTGTCAAACCTGAGTCCTCCCCTCCTGTCGTACCAGTAACAGAAGACGCGACTCAACAGTCACAACCAGATGTAGGCATGGAAGAAACTCCTCCCGTTCAAATAGACGATCTGTCAGATATCCCAGAAAGTATCAGATCTGTCAGTTCTATCTCTAAAACCCTTTCTTTCACCTTCCCTCACATTGTCGATTGCCTGATCGTGTGTGAGGAGGAAAACGTGAGAGGGGGATGATGGAGACATGTGTTATTCACGGTGGCAAGAACTGACGTGCTTAGGCTGGAGTACAAGAAATCGTCATGCACACTCGAATGATAGATTCTGAACTTCGAATGATGCGACAGGAGAATTTGAGATTGTCACATGAACGAGATCAAATGCTTGAGAGAATAAAAGACAATACGACAAAGATTAAGCAGAACAAGGTTTTACCATATCTCGTTTCCAAGGTGGTCGAGGTGGGTCTTCCTCTTTTCCACCGCATCGTACGATCTTCGATAAAACTTCAATTTGATACTCTATCCTTGAAGATTCGTGTTGCAGCAAGAATTCTTGGAAAAGGAGAGAGATCATGCTAACAAATGAGATCCTCGACGTGGATTCTGAAGTACAGGAAGGTGCTACACATAACGAACATAACGCTAAGAAGTCGAAATGCGCAGTGATCAAAACTACAACAAGACAAGTGAGTCCTACTTTAAATCTGACTTATCTCAACATATCATTTTCTGAACTTGCGCTGAGTGATGAATGAGGAGAATCTGTGCTGATCTTCAAGACTGTCTTCCTCCCCATTATCGGTCTCGTCCCTCATAACGAACTTCGTCCTGGTGATCTTATTGGTGTAAACAAAGATTCTTATCTCATATTGGATAAACTTCCTGCCGAATACGACGCTAGAGTTAAAGCTATGGAAGTTGACGAACGACCCACCGAAGCATATACCGATATTGGTGGATTGGATAAACAGATCGAAGAATTGGTGGAAGCTATGTGAGTATCACAGCTTTTGTTTCATCTACAGTTCAAGAGCTGATCAGTCAGTGTACTTCCCATGCAACAAGCTGACAGGTTCAAAACGTTAGGTATCACACCTCCAAAAGGATGTTTGATGTATGGTCCTCCTGGTGAGTAGACCTGAATCCATCTCAGCAATCCACAACATCCACGTGTCCTCTAAACCCGAAGTTAGTAGCATCAGCTGTGATGGTGACGGGTCAATAAGCTTGTCCAGATCTGACCTCGCAGGGACTGGTAAAACCCTGTTAGCTCGAGCTTGTGCAGCACAGACCAAAGCTTGTTATCTCAAACTCGCTGGTCCAGCTCTGGTGCAGATGTACATTGGTGACGGTGCCAAATTAGTCCGTGACGCTTTCGAACTGGCCAAAGAGAAAGCTCCCGCCATCATTTTCATTGACGAGTTGGACGCGGTGGGGACTAAAAGATTTGATTCCAACAAGTCGGGTGATAGGGAAGTTCAGAGGACCATGTTGGAATTGTTAAATCAACTTGATGGATTTTCGAGTGATGCTCGGATCAAGGTGAGTAGTCTGTTGTCTTCTCGTGTATTGGATCCTATAATGAGTAACTGGAGAATTTTACGCCCCTCCTCTCTTCGCATTTCATAAGCCGCTCCACCACCCATCCCGCCTCTCCCTTTGAGTGACTGGTCTCAGGCAAAGGTGTTTTTTCATATGTGTATCTGCAATGTGTCTGCGTCAGTTGTATCGCGGATTCATATGATAAAAGACTGAAAAACGAAAAGGAGAGACAGTGGGATCAAAAATAAGTAGGATCAAAGCTTACAGAGTAGGTGATAGCAGCCACTAACCGGATTGACATTCTCGATCCTGCCTTGCTGCGATCAGGTCGACTGGATAGGAAGATAGAATTCCCTCTTCCAAACGAATCTGCTCGTGAACATATTCTTCAGATTCATTCTAGAAAATTGAATCATATCAATGTTAAGTGAGTCACATCATCTTTCTTTTCACTTGTCTTGATCTCATATCCTCGATCTTCCCTTATTTACATTCTCATCACCCTAGGCACAACTTACTACTCAATGACATGTCGCTCCACCAGCCCCCAATCACTCGTCCGTTTCTTCTGATCTTTGGAATGTCCCGTCGATCCGTCGGTGGAGTGTCGTTACAAGCGGAAGACTAGTAGACATCTATCTGAGACAGACGTGTATCAAGAGTAGTTCTAATGATCAGTTTCGAAGAATTAGCTCGTTCGACTGAAGATATGAATGGTGCTCAACTCAAAGCCGTTTGTGTAGAAGCAGGCATGGTGAGGTTTTTCTTATTCAGTGACTGAGAACTTGGAAATTGACAAAATCAAGTTGGCATTACGTCAAGGTGCTTCTCAATTAACTCATGAACATTTCCACGGTGGTATACTTGAAGTGCAAGCTCGTAAAGCGAAAGAATACCAGGTCAGTCTCTTGTTTTCTTTTCTTTTCGTCATGTGTATAGACGCTGAAGATGTCAGTACTTTGCTTAGATTATGCATGTATCTGTTTCGTATACATCTTGTCACTGATGGTCTTTTGGTCTTTTCACTGATATCTGACAGAAAGAAAAAAAGCAATGCGGGCGGTCAGGGTTACGATACTCTCGTTACCCACAAATAAGAGCATTTTCCCAGTATAAATTGAGGTTATCAACTCGCTGTGCATTTCTGATGCGTCGTCGATTTGTCGTTCAATGATCAATGATCAATAGATCTGATTGTCTGATTGTCTGATGTTCGTTTCGAACTTGTCCATTTTTCAAAGTAGAATGAAGTAAGCGTAATCGTCCGAATGATTGCACCATCCAAATGTGGGATCATGGGTATGTTAACGCAGTGAGAGACGAGTTAGATCATCTGATCGTCTCGCTGGTCGTGGCGATGTCATTGAGGTGACTTCACGAATCGAGATAAAACAGATTTAACAATTGCATTGGAAAATGTACTTTTTTGTATTCTTTGTTTCAAACTCTATAACACCACCTCGAAAAAGTCCATAGATCGACCAGCGATTCTATCCATTCCCATCTTTACCTCCTGGCAACAGGAGCAGAAGTCATTTCTATCGATCCATCCGTGACTTGAACAGGAGGTAATCTCTGTCTCATACCTGAATCCGTAACAGGGGTATTAGGACCCGGTGTTCCTGGACGTGAAGCACTACCAAGTTCGTCCTCTTCGTCCCATATATCCTGAGAAGGATCATTGATGACTTCTCGTCGACCGGTTAGGGATGTGGCGTGATGTGCCGCGGTGGCAGTTTGGAATGTTGGTGGTGGACTTTCAGGTTGAACGGAAGGTTGAGTAGGTTCGTATGGTACCACTGATGATCAACGTTGGTCTTGTTGAAGCGACTTGGATTCGAGTGGAGTGTCATAAATTTGATAAGAGTCATGGGAAAGGTGGTAGAAGATTGACACTGCTTGAAACACGACCGATGGGAAGGAGGGAAGAAGATGAAGAAGAGAATGATGGGAGAGGGTGGAAGAGGAAGAGAAAGTAGACATGTCATTGGTGCGTGTGAGGGTATACGAGTGTGATCTAGGGAGGTGGACACGACATATACTCACATGTGTATTTGACCGGGTCAGGGGGAGGAGGTGAAGGATCACCAGCACCACCAGGTCCCCAAATCTTCAAGTCTTTCAATCTGCACCGTCAACTGTTGTCTCTGGAATCCGAATGGTCTCGCTACCGCTGGTGCATACAAATCACCAAATTCGACCTGCTCATCCATACATTTGGGAGGACCCTCACAACACAGGGCAAAGAAACCAACGGAATCAAAGTAGACAGATCAAACCAAATCGGGGAGCCGACAGAGTTCTTCTTTGTGTGTGAGGAAAGGTTGGTGGAGATACAACAAAGTCCGACTGGGGGGAGACAAGCAACACTCACGTCATCTTCAACGCACACACCCATTTATTCCTCCTCTGAACTTTCAAAGCCCCTTGTTGCCAATTACTCTTATACCTGATATCCGCTTTCAATACCATCTTGCCTTGAGCGGGTATATCATCGACAGTCACGTCGAAGACATGTTGGAAATCACGCGAGTTGTCCTTTACGAATCGGAGCATACGACCACGAAGTTCTTGAAGAGTTTCGAAAGAAGTCTCAAAGTCAACTTCAAATCTGTTCATCAGTGAGACGGTCCCCATGACTGTCGAGCACGAGAATCTTGTAGAATTCAAAGGTCTCTTTTGCAATCATGACTGGAATAAGAGTATTAAGCAGTCTCGGAGCGGTCGTTTGGGCCAAGTTTGGAGGTAAATCGAGAATGACCAAGAAACTGAGATAGTATCGAGTTGGACGTTCCGCTGGAAATCGATGCCGACTCGAGTGAACAAAGACGTTGGTAGCTTTCAGATGTGTAAAGAAAACGAGTTTCAAGTGAAAGAAGTATGTGGTTTGGTGGGAAGGGCAGATCGGGGTTTCACTCACATAAAGCTTTCCGAAGTCGCCCCAGATCGTCGTACTGTTCATCAGCTTGACCCATTCACCCATCGGAAGAACCTCACCATTTTCAATGACTTTCGTAGTAAGGATGTTGTGTCCTATCCATACATACTTCCCATCAACCCGTTTGAAAGAAGTTGACATCAAGTTCATCTTGACCACCGTATATGCCGACCCATCAATGTCCACCCTATCACCTACGTCGTATGGATGTTTCACAAAGAGGAAGATACAAGCACCTAGGATTTCTTGCATTGTAGATCCGATAAGCCAAGAGAGACCAAGGATGAAGGTACCGGCGGAAGTTACGAGGGTGGTGAGTTTCGTCGTCTATGATTCAGTCATTTGCCCAAGTGTGAATTTGTAGATGGGGACTCACGATAGTTGCAGCTAAAATGAGGATGGAAATGGCAACTACTACGACCATGAAGATGTCGTCTAGGCTGACTGCGTCAGTCACTAGTCAGATTCTGCGTATGAAAGCAGACTTACCGTCGAACAGCACCGTCAAGATCTCTCATACTTGCTTCAAGACTCAAGCGTTCCCGATGCATGCCAAGAACCGAAGCGTCGATTTCATCCCTGGTAGCGTCGCCATTCCCATCTTTGTCGAAGATGGAAAATGCAGCCTGGGCAGTTTCCAGATCAGGAAAGCTATTTGATCAGTCAACGTTGAGAGAACATGAGAGACACACTATCTGGCAATGTCGGAAATGTCCAGGTGGTCGGCGCCTCCTTGACGATAAGAATAAAAGATCCTACGAGCGAGCTTGACATTAGTAAAAATGTCCTCATATCTGAGAGACAAACACTCACAGCTCTGCTCTTGTTCGCTGAAGATAAAGCTGCGGTAACCTTGTTGGCAGGTGAATTGGTCTGCAACACACTCTGTCCTGCCATTTCACTGGCAACGTTCCCTAGGGCTGTGGTGGTGTTCTGAGCGGCCGACTTGAGACCTCTGAGAGCTTTGCGAATAGCGATCTGAGGAATTTTCGTAGCGCGAGTCCTGCCGGTGCTGCCTGATGCGCCATCTGTCAGGGTATCCATCCGTCCCGGGATCTGCCAGTCAGCTCGAAAAATATAGTAAAACCATAAACTCACATCGTGCGAGTTGATATACAGGGTGGTAAGACATCTGACGTTCATCTTTTGTTCCTTGAGTCGATCTTCGTACGAGTCACGATGAAATTGGAGGGCGATGAGTTGAATGATGAGCTTCTCCACAGCTAATACAATGGTGCAGAGGAAGATTCCGAAAAGGACATTGGCAAATGTGGTCAGGTCGTTACGCGAGGTAGCGGATTGGTCTCCAATATAATGGTTGATGAGCAGGGGGGTGAAAGAAATCCAGTTGGCTAATGTCCACGCTATGAGCTTTGCATAGCTGACATGTCAGCAAATGTCTGAGGAGATATGTAGAGACTTACAAGCCGAGGTTACGGACGACATCGGTATATGCACGAGCTGTGGGAATGATTGAACCGACCGTGTTACGCCAGATCGAAGGGAGCATGAGGAACACCGCGGTGGAGACCCAGAAACCGACCCAAACGACAGTGGCCCAGATGGACCACCATATCTGGTAAAGTCAGTAGTGATCCGCCTGCAACTGATCTGGCTCGGGAGACAAGAGAAAGACTTCTTTCTGTTTCTCTTACTCTCTCCTTGCCATGCTTAAAGAGATGGGCGTGGGAGGGAAGTTAACGTACCAATTTGATATGCCAAATAGTCGCGTTCTTCTCCGCAGTCACACCAAGGATTCCAGGTAGCCAAAGCAAAGCCAAGATCGGAAGGATGTACAACGCCCAACGAACCACGATACCTCTGTTGAGGGCCCAATAATACAGTCTACTCAACTGTTTCATCAGTAACAACTCTGTTTCCAAAGAACTCGACATACCTTATTGGTCCCCACATCACCTTCTGCATAACGCAAATTCTCCACACTCGCTTGAGCAGGATTGAATTCATCCCATTCAGCTCTATCACCCAAAAGATCCCAACTGTTGTTTCTACTGCTCTTAGGACGTTTCTTTTGTTTCTCATTAATGTTTTCCCCGGCCTCAAGAGACGACGGTGTGGAATGCATAGGTAAAAATGACCAATGTTTCTTTTTGTTACCTGTCCCATTAGGTGTCGATTGTCCAGATACGGGAGTGGGCATGGGTGAGGATCGTCCAGAGATGGGGGTTTGATCGTTGAGAGGGATGGTAGAGTATTCTTGATGTTTGGCCATGTAGGGCGAAGGTGGATAATGTACCCTATTGCCTGCAGCGTTAAGACCGGTGGTTGGGAGTGGTTGAGGAGGTGAGAGATATTGTTGTGTAGGACCTTGGGGAGCGATAGGGAGAAGGTGATCTGGAGCCATCAGTGACTGACGAGGTTTGTACGAATGGAGAATACGACGTATGGTTACGTATGTGTGAAGATGACGGTGTGAGACGGTGTGGGGGAGGTCGGGGGGTATGACGAAACGGCAATGCTGCCAGGTAGAATTCTGATTCTGGAAGATGGGGAGAGAGCATGCAACCAAAATCCAGAGAACCAGCACTCCGACCGGGTTTAGATCAAACGGGGAGGCTGAGGAAATATGAACAAGAGACAAGATCAATGTTAGTCAATGAGACAAAACGAATCAGTCGACGATCCACGATCCACGATCCACGATCCAGTATTGACAAGGGAGGAATGCCGTAACCTGGCACTTCTCATTGTCTTAAGAATGAAGAGAAAACTCACTAGTATCATGCGGAGGAGTGAGTGGAGTCCTAGAATCGCTCCTACCTATCTGATGAGGTTCATAATCATCATCTACAACATCGACCGATTCAGCTCTTTCCATCAGTCCTTTCCCCTCTTTCCCTCTTTTCCCTCTGAAGAAAGATGAAAACATACCTGAAATGACCTTGATAACTTTGGTTCGGTGGAGTTGGTATAGGTTGAGATTGAAAATAATCCGTTCTTTTCACTCTTTCTTCTGGCATTTTTGTATTGCTATCTTATCTAGTATGTCTAAATGATAGAGGATGTTACTCGAGAAAGTAGAATACGTGTGGAGGACGATCGTTTGCCCAACGTCGTTTGGTGGAGAAGGTCGAAAAGCGGGGTTTGAATCGGAGTGAAAATGCTTTGTCTAAGGAAAGAACTTTGGTCCTATATGTGTGTGACAGTAAGAAAGAACAGATAACAAAGAGTAAATGTCAAGTACTCGCACTGTTGAGATGATGTTGTTCCTCGGAGGAAATTTAGGGTGCAAAAGTGCAAGGGTAAAAGTCCGAGTTTAAGGGAAAGGAAAGGTTATTTATTTCCCCCCCTTTGGAAAATCTGAAACGCGAGATTGGATCTATGACGTATATGGAAGAAACGCGGTTTTGTCGGGTTTTCTTTTTGGGGAGTGAAAGTGAGACTGCGGTGACACTGTTTTTCTCTTCTCGATGCTGTACTTGTACCCCTATTTCTGTGATCACCAGCCAAGAAGTGGGATCGAACATAGTGATTGATCTGAGGGCAGTCATAGTGTTACAGCAAAGATGAAGCGTGGAGGGAGTGAGTGGGTTACGTGGGAATCAAAGAAGGAGGGGGAAAGACGGGTGATTATGAAACAACCTCAAAGGGCTGATTTTCTCTTTTTTCTAGCGTCTAGCGTGGATCAATCTGACGCGTTTCTTCCTTTTTCTTCTCTTCCCTCATCATTTGTGACTTCTAGCGGGAACACATACGGTGCTTCAACAATAACACTAGTACTAGTGACTGACTGCTCACATATCACAGATCACAGTGAGGTGGGGAAAGATTGTCGGGAGTCACAAGAAAGGCACAACAGCACAGAGCCCACGGGTGACATTCATCATCAACTAGCACAACTGACCAAATTTCAAATATTTCAAATCCTCAACCAACCAGGTTTCTCCACTGCGGAAGAAAGTCTTTCCGTCCCTGTACGAGGTTCCAACATTACTGATTACTCATCAGCGTGGTCTTGGCTGAGAAGAAGAAAACTCACAGCTTTTACGATACAATGCGTCGAGTGAAGAACTACCTCTTTCTGCCAAAACCCGTCGGAGGAATGTTTGAACAGCTGGTAATTCGTGAAAGTTGAATGGCTATTTGTTAGAGATCATTTGTCTTATTACTTGTATGGATTCCATCCTACTACAATGATAGTACATATTGAGTTGATATGGCGGCGAGTGATGACAAGAAAGGATTGATTTTGTAAGAGGGGAAGAAAAGGAGAATGGGGATGATGACTCACCTCTTGATACCGCTTGAAATCGATAGCGATCTTACCCAATTTCGCATATTTATCATGGTTGATCAGGGTCAAATCAGGTTCCAACACGCTCGGCCGGGTATCGGGATTACCTTCAGAAGTGAATGTTATGCTGGGGTGTGAGCTTGAGCCCTGCTTTCTTCGGAAGCAACAGAAGGTTTGGTGCTGAACACTGAGTACGGAATACCAATACCGAACACTGGGTAATGGAAAATAGAATATGGATAATGGATACTGGATACACCTTTAATGGATTTCAGTGAGGAATAACAAGTCTTCGGCCATATGTGACCATCACGAAGGAACGTCAACCGAAGTGATTCGTGAGGAGTGTCAGAAAGGTAGAGTAGGGATCTGAGGTACCACATTGCACACCCGAAAAGAAGTGTCTAGTGAAGATATCACCATTGAATGATGAGGAACAACATATCAATCAGTTGAAACCCATCAAGACTCACTCGGTCAAGATCAATCCCAAAAACGGTAAACAAGGTCCCACCGCATCCCTCAACCTGGCTCTGTAGGCTTGATGGTTTTTAGTATGTTCTATCACTCCTCTAAGACGTTCCATCATCAATCGATATTTAGCTGGAAGAGCCTGACTAATCAGCACGTCTACTCTGTATTCGTTATTCGTTTGAAAGGTTGTGACTTGTGTCCTTTATTCATCCAAAATGTTGTTTAGATGGGTTTTACAACTTGCGTCAGGTCGTGATGGGTACAAACGGGTTGTACATTCATCGGATCAACTTGATAGAGGGGAGTAGGAATGGGAAGGAGATGTTTCAATAAAACTTACATCCCAAGTTTTCTTAAGACGAAGGATAGTACTACTGTTCAATCCTGCCAAAACGGCAAACATGGTTGAGAAATTTTGTAATGTGAGACATTTCTAACAAGTATCAGTTATGCTCGTTCTCCTTCCACTCTTTCTTCACAATATCCAAGAAACCCTTTCCCAGAGGAACCTTCACGGTAGCTATGAAATATCCACTTGGATCAACACGAGTGAAGATTGTCTCATTTCTGTGAAAGGTGACAAAACATAAGGGACAAAGGGATACACGGTTTTTCGTAGGGTGGAGTATGAATTGAGTTTATAGATTCAAGGAAAAGTATAGATATGGAAAGGCAAAGAAGAATTGAAGATAGAAATAGAGGTTGAAGGAAGGGAAAAGGGAAAACTCACATCAGCTAATTTAATATAAAATTTCAATAGACTAGCTCTTTTCTTAGCATCCATTTCATCCAAAATATTATCCGCCACCCAACCCGTGATTTGGTTACTCATAGTACTTAAATCTTTTAATTCTTTAACACTTTTACTTTTCCTACCTTTCCCACCTGCAGTCTGTAGCAAATCTTCAGGTGCGACAAAACAGAATAATCTACTTTCCATAATCGTCAATTGTCTTGCTAATTCCAAAGTATCAAATTCCGTTATTGGTACTTTATTCAAACTGGTCCCTTGAGTGGAAGCTTTTTGTAATAAAGAATGTAATGATTTAGAAATTATAGGTGTTGGTGGTAATGCTGAATTTGGTGCTGAAGTTATTGGTGAATTTTTCATTCTGATTAAATCCATTGATGATTGTCTTTTCAATTTTGAACTTGAAGGATTTGTCATTCTTCTATTTATAGAATCTAATAATCTTGGTGCCATAGCTGGTAATGTTCTGGTGACTCTTTCATTTGCGAAATTCTTTAACGGTTCTAATATTGAAACATCTTCAGATCTCCAATGTGTTTCTAACCATAATTTCAAAAGATTGAATATCCTGAATCGAACAGGGACGACTTTTTTCTCCAACCATATAGCTCTTTCACGATCCCCTAAATACATTCCGGGTGGTGGAGGTACTTCGTATCGTGTCAAAAGAGCATCGAGGAGAGTTTGTGGAGATGTGAAAATACGAAATGTATAGAAAAAAGTAGTGAAAAATGTTGGATCGGCAGGTCCATCATGAGGAGTCATTTTTTCAACTAAAACTTGTAATGAAGCACCGATGATAGCACCATCTGAATTGAACGCAATTTCTCTAGGATCGTAATCGTGTGAAACCACCCAAAATCGGATGTCGGGTTGTTGATCGTTGTTTATTGTAGGTATAGCGAAAGAAGCCGTCATACTTCTTCCCACGGAAGGTCGACGGACAGGTGTTCTATCATCTACTGTCATAGATCCTAGACTTGTATCTATATTTTCTTCAGTTTTGTCGTCCGCATCATCGGGTAGATCAAATGACTCGTCGTGCGGTGTCTGAGGAGCAGCACCTGTGGAAACGCTCAGAGTGGTGTCGGCCGAAGTCATCGATTGCATCGTACCGATGGACCCTCTTGACACTGGTGACAACTTGCGAATGGGTATATCATAATCGTTTGTGAACTTATCAAGGTCGACCGATCTTGATGGAGATCTTCTTTGCAATCGAGGAGGCATAGGGGAAGATAATGACGATGAACGACTTCTAGATGGAGGTGGACCAGTATCTGAAAAACTCTTCATCATATCTGGCCGTTTACCGGACAAATCTTCAGGATGAAGTGAGACAGAAGTGATAGCTTCAGCTCTACCAGATATGATACGTTCCATAGGACGAACGGTAAGATCTTCGCTATCTTGAACAAATTCTTCGTCTTCTTCTTCGGGTTCATCATAAACATCTTCAAAGCTTTTTTCCTCCATGACTCCCTTCACTTGAAATCGAGCTCGTAGTTGAGACAAGCTGTTTGCTTTTCGATGAAGACCAGAGAGTGTATGAACTCCCCGTGCACCGACAGGTTTCGGACGAGCCACCACCGCAGCAGCCTGTAAGGGTCTAGGAGAATTCTGCCTGAAATCAAGCTTGGGTGTATTTGAAGGAATAGCTGTAGTTTCGTCTTCTGGCAGACAACCTCTTACCAACCTCACGCATTCCGTACCCGCTCTCAGAGTGCCAGTAGCACATTGGAGTAATCTGGCTTTCTCCGCGTCATACAATTCCTCGCCGGCTTCTTCAAATGGGGCATTAGCCACAGCTTCAGCTCCTTCTACCAATCGACTGGCAATGTCGTACAAGTTGTCTTTACTGATTCTGAGTGATTCAATTTCCCTTGGACGGTTGAGTCTGATTGCCGTGTTACGTCCGACTGCTTCGACGATGGTTAAGAGTTGACGCACACTGTCTACCGTTTCACGTGTCATCTCGATCAAATTGGCATGGGAGGAAGGATGAGAACCGAGATGATGACTGTGTATATGACCGATAAAAGCAGCGATTATTGATAAAAGTGCTTCTTCGGCTACTCCGATGGCATCGAGAACATCTGCCACCGAAGCGAAGTCACGTCTCTGTGGGACTACCATCATTGTCGATATGGGAGGTGTAGGAACGGGGGTTATATCTTCGGAGGGACCCATCCCATCTGACGAAGCAATACTTCCACTATCGATACTTCCTTGAGTCCTGCTCAAAGATCTTGATGACATTTGGGAAGTCCGACCTGAAGCTACGGAGAACGTAGCGGAAATGGGCGTTGCTGCAGAGGGTGAACGAGGTCTACCTGGGAAAGATCCCGAGGCTGATCCTGGACCAGAACCTGACCCGGAAGAATTTGTCGACTTTAGAGAAGCAGTAGGTAAAGGTGGTTGTTCCGGTTCCATCTTCTTCGTTTGTCGTAAATCTCCAATACTTTTCGCACGTCTTTGAAATGCTTCTCTCATTCGATCCTGTCCACTCAATTGGCCTTCTGCATCGATCTTGTTCTGTGTTATAGTGTCGGAGATTGATGGTGGAGAAGCTAACATTTCCTCCTGCTTCAACTTTTCCCTCGGCGCAGGTTTGAGTCCAATTTCAGCTGCTAAAACGAGAAATTTTTGTAAGTTAACTAATACCGCTCTAGCAGCACGTAATATGGCTTCAAAATCATTCGTATCCTCCGGTGTGCCTTCGCCTTGGATTCTCTCGCTGGCTGTCCGAGCGGTGGAAACGAGTTTGGACAATTCCACCAAGACATGTTTTCGAGCATTGCCCAGGACTGGATAAGTACGAAGAGAAGGGGAATCACGATTCAACGAGTCGAGCTGGAGGAGTGTGAGACGGACTTCAGAAATGATGTATCCCGTGGAAGGTTGGAGATGGGCGCGTTTTTGACTGTTGATACTTTCTTCTAACAACGCGACAGCCCGGTAGTTGGGTTCTAACATGAGTTGAAATTCCGAAGACAGTGGTCGTTTGGCGGGTGAGACATGTATGGTGGAAGAGTTCATTGAGGTTTGAGATCGATGCGAGGTGGTGGATGTTTGACGAATGTGGGAAGTATGAGATTGAACGGATTGTACAGATTGTGATCTGACATGAGAGTTTTGTTGAGTTTTCTTATTCTCTGGTGAATCGGATGTCTACTTGGTCAATCTTCAATCCCAGATTTATAACACTCGCCATGAAACCTCCAATGCACATGATCAACACACCTCACAAATCGGATCATACAAGACGGCCAACGGAATCCCCAGGTTAAAGGTAGTATGAAGGATAGCTAATGATTGCCCCCCCCCAACCAGAAAAAACAATCCAGTGACGCGATAACAGACAAACTCTAAAGAGGGTTGATGTTATGATCATCCAGACAAAATAGAATCAGTCAAACCAAACTCACATCAACAATTTTCCTCGCATAATTATTCGGAAACCATCCTCTCCTAGGTCCCCTAACATCCTCTCGATCCGAGACGATCTCCCCATCCCACCAACCCGTATGAGCTTTCCTATGAACACGTATAATTTCACCAGCGGTAAAATGTAAATACGTATGACCATCGTCGGGTAGAGGAGTTGGGACCATGGCAGGTTCGAAATCATGTATAGCTTGTACTAATCCATGAGGTGCTGGAGAAGTAGGTGTTGGTGGTCCTCGTGAATAATTCGATGGACCTGGTTGGGTATTTAGATAAGGTTGAGCGAGCATTTTTTTTTGGTATTATTCTCCTTGTTTATCTGAGCTTGATTAGACGAAATTTACTCTTGGATTAATTGATCGATTACTAGTACTGTAGAATAATCGAGTTGGGTTTCTTGGGGGAAAGAGAGATAGAGATAAGAGTTGTTGATATGTTTATAACATCTTGGTCGTGATTGAATATTTGAAAGAGGAAGATTATGAGCTTAGGTTGACTTTGTATTTGGTAGAAGGTGATATACAAGAGTTGTTTGTTCTTGGTGATAATGAGTAGAGAGAGAGAGAGTGGGAGAGACCTTTGTATCCTGGTCACCCAATCATCAAAAAAGTGTAATCGTCCGATTCAAATCCCACTTTCCAAACTTTCAACTCCACTCTTCAAGCCAAATGTTTCTCTCTTTGCCTTACTCGTAGTGTGTGATGTCTGATGTGTGATGTTTGATCGTCGTCTGGAAAAAGTCAAGACGACAAGGCGCGTGCTAAGATACGATATGGTCGATGTACGCGGATAGGTAGTCAAGACGCGTTTCCCACCTTGTATCTTCTCCAACTTGATAATGATGGAGTGTACGTACGCGTGATAGTTTGAGAAATGGAAAGGTATGAGAATCACGGTGAGTCGAAAGTGAAGTGAGAGGGATGACCGAAGGGTGTGAACTGTGAATCGAAGAAGGGGGGGAAATGCGGGGTTGAGTGATTTTTGTATCAAGAAATCTAAGTGGATGCAACTTGACGACGAGGTGACTTTCCAGGATGATATATGACGTCAAGTCTAAAGTTTTCTTCTGAAGGATGAAACTAGATATAAAGTATGTACGATTACGAGTCAAGAGACGAGTAATGTTCTCGTCGATATAGGAAGATGTTAACTTATTCAATTGCTGTTGTATGTTGCAGGGAGAGGGATGGTTTTGACTTTGTGAAAGTAGGAAATTAGATTCCGTTCCTGACTTTTGTCCACCAAACATTGTGGATTAATTTCCCATCCTCGTCATTCACTTTCTTCTCCTTTGAAATGGCATTGCAACTTGAACAGCATTTTGGTTGGGACAAAGTCTGAACAATGACAATGGTATGATATTCATCTACAGAAACAGAAACAGAAACAGAAACAAATACAGAAACAAATAGATGAAATCAAATACGTGGAAGACCAAAATCCGATCCGTCAAACATCAACTCTGATGAGAAAAATTGACCCAATGATTCTGGATCAAAAGAAAAACTACTGATATCCCATCCTATGGCTTCATTTCCTTCTCCACCTGCAGTCGGATCAAAAGTCCATGCTGAGGTACCTGTCGATAAGTAAGAAGGTATAGAATCTTTTTGATTATTAAGGTTCGGTATGGTCGAAGTCTTCGTACCCCCCATTCCACCACCAGATCCCATTTCGAGTCCAGAGGAATAACCAGATCCAGAGGTCGGATCTGTTGAAGTGCTCATTCCGGAGATTGGTACAGATCCAGATCCAGAAGCAGAAGTACCGTCCATATTCCAAGCTTTCGAATATGTAGAACTGGAAGGTCGATCACTTGAAGTAGTAGATTTTGGAGTGGATTTTGAACACGAATCGCCGCCATGGGTAGAGCCCGGTTGAAAATCGAAATCGAATAAATAACCAACGTCACATGACATGAAATCAAGTGGGACAACTCCAAGTTTATCACTTTCGGTGATGGAAAGATCGACTAAAGCTTTATGTCGTAGACCGACGGGGTACCGTTCACCATATCGAGCCAACGTGAGACTTGAGGTCAGTATACTGAACATACCAAGAGATTTGATTGTATAGTCAAGAGATCCTAAGAGGTGAAGGGAGAGAGGCTTTGTGATATGGTTGAGGAGCCTGAAAGGACTATTGGGGACATTCAGACTTGGCGAGAGAGTTTGGAAGTGGACTGTAGGATGAAACAAGATAAGAGTGATCAAGGATGAGAGGGAGAAACCAGCAACAAGAAACTCACCGGAAAACATCAATCTCAGAACGGAACACCGAAGCGGATACCATATCTCCTGATCTGACCGCCGCATCCATGAATCTTCCCAGACATCTACAGCACATACACCAAATATAGGAACAACACATCGGTAGAAGAGTTACTATCTAATCAGCTCTCTCTTCAATACATGTAATCCAGTACCACGTGATAACTCACTATCGTAACTGGTAGCGTTGACTGAAGTCAGCAGGAATTATCATCACCATTAGAGAACCAACTCACGGTCATACACCATGGATAGTATCGCTCGAATAGCTGCCAAAGATAATCGACCCAGTTCATGAGTCCAAGTCTCCTTCGCCACCAGTGGTTCTCCCAATGTAATCACGGCCCTGGACGTTAGACAAATGGGATGTTATCAAAGTACAACATACCCGTGAAGATAAAAGATACAAGCTATGAGCTCCCCGTCAAATGGTTCTCTGACTGTCGGACGTCTCATTTGGACCGGAAGACTGAGACGGAACGCGTTAAGTTGAGATAATAAAAGTCGGACACGAGAGTCGGTCACAAATTTCCTATGTGATATTAACAACTATTGGGGTATCGAAATAGAATGAAGGGCTCACAATACAGAATGAGATCCACGGCAATATGAACGGAAAAAGGCATTGACATCGGAAAACAACTTGACTGCTTTGATCAATAGACAAAAACTCTGAAAGGATCAGCCAAGTGTGTCTGCAGGAGTGACGTCCACGTACATCTAAATGACCCGGAGGATCTGGGTGATCAGCTTTACGTGACCGTGATGTGAAGCATACTTACGATTTGAAAAGAGATCAGGTGATCTGATGGTCAGCTCATGCTGACAGACAAAATTCAAACATACTGTAAAGATTGTGTACCCGTCAACTCCCCAATGCCTCTATCGAAAGTATCTTGCGCGACGGGCAACTCTACTGTAATGTCGACTTCGTGTATAGCCTAAACATATATCAATCCTTCAGCTGAGAGGGTATCAGGAGTGACCTACCAGAGGCCAACTTGTCGAAGCTACCACGTTCATCTCGAAAAGGTAGATCTGCCTACTTGTCAGAGAACCCTCTTGCGACGAAATTACACTCACCACCAAGTCCTATCCCGCTCTGCCTGCTCTAATGCAGACTTGGCAGGTGCCATCACTACATGTTCAAACCGCTTCAATGAATCGTGGGGAATAACTGATGACTTTTAGTTTCAACATCTTTGATTGGACGTTCAACTCACCAGGAGATTCGTGTAGTCTCATGGGAATAGCCATCCGTACATTGCTTGCCGCAATTAGCCACAGATCCACCCACCTGAGATCAGCACTGACCTTCTCTCATCGTAGATGTCAAGTCTCACCAAGCATTGAAGGCATCTACGGCACTGGCGATGAGATGACCTTGCATGCCTTGTAAGAACTTCTCGGCATGGTCAAAATGATGAGTGAACATCTCAAACGTCTTCCTCCTATGCCACAGCTGAAAACGCGACATAGGATTGCCATCCTCTCCAGGTGCACCGTCGTTATAATGCATGGCGCCAGTGTTCATATACCGAGATACACTGTCCGGGCGCATGTCGAAGACCGGATGGATCGTCTGTCCGGCGGGCGTCCCTACTGGGAAGTACGCACGGGAAGCCAGTTCGGTCATCGGGATGTGGAATGCTGTGACAGCTAGGATGGCGTGAAGAAGACCAAGGCTCTGAGGACTGAGCATTCGTGGATGTTCATCATACGATAAAAACTCACGGGAAAATTCGAGTGTGAAGGAGGTAGCTGTAGAGTTGGCAAGAATGTCGCTTTGTGTATCATCTTTGGTAATGTGGGTACTCTTTCGAAGAAAACATTGACTACATGCTGATGATCAGTCAGTGAGCTTCGGTTCCTCGAGACGACTCACTTCCACAACTTCAAGAGTGGGCAATGATTTAGGCCAACTTCGACGTTTAGCGATGATCTTGTTGAGGTTGATGGGGACTCACTCTGGCCAGGTCATCTCAGACATGAAACCGCTCAGATTGTTCAGATGCATTTGATCAATCAGCGGATTAGGGATCGCATCCGGTATAGGCAACGAGAATGGATCCATCTCCTTCGATCCTCGTGGCTCGGTAGCAGTGGACGAACTAGCATGGGCGCCAGCATGTAATCCTGGACCACCAAAATCTTCCATCCGAGCGGCAGACTGAGGTAAAGACATGACGGTCTGGGAATAACGAGCGGTGAAAGCTGGATAGTCTTTGAGAATATCGTATGACTTCTCCCACGGTCTAAAGGCTGTACTTGGAGTATCAGGTACTTTCGATGCCGGTTCTTGAGGGATTGATGGAGCATTTTCTGTAGGTCGAGGTAGAGGATTGATTTGAGACTTTACTGTTTTCTCAAAATCGACTTTGACTCATCAGCTCATGATTATATATGGAATGTTGGACATACCGATTCTTTGCTCTAGTTCTTCGATACGAGTTCGCTTTGCAGCAGCGGAAAGATCCTGACCTGATTCTTCTTCACCGGAATCTTGCGCTGAAAACCGTCGTTGTTCCCTTCTCCGTCTTGTACGGGCGCTGGGCTCTTTCGGTTCATCCCAAGTACATGATACTTTTTCCGTGATCGAGGCGGGAACTCCTCGGACACGTGGTTTTTGACAGTTGGAGCATACGGGACGAATTGCATCACATTTCTACTGGGATCAGTTATACTTTTAAAGGTGAAAGCAGCTGCATGCTGCACAAGGGTGAATGAGGGTCCTGATGACTTGAATCGCACTGACCAGTTTACGTTTTCTGTCATGGATCAGCATCGACCGGGAGTATAAGATCAAGTACCTACCGGCACTGATGACAAGCGGAGTTGCGTGTGAGGACCTTTGGTTGAAGAGACACTTGTTCTTGTCCCACCACCTGGTTGTCCATGTCTGTGGGCAGTAGTGTGGGTGACAGCGTTGACGGAAGATGGTGGTGATTCGGAACAGTGAGCCTTCTCCATCTGCAACGGTACAGCAGGCGGCCTCGGCGATGACCGCCAAACTCCGCGAGCCGGATGGCCGAGTAACCAAAGGGAGGGGATCGATTAAAGAGCAGAGTCCTGGTCATGTGTGATCAACCGTGAGAAAACTACTACCTCCATCTGAGGTCTGGTGGCTCGTGGAACTTTCTAGTCAAATCGCTCACTCAACCGAGTCCCTTCCTCCTCCAACGCCCATAAATTTTGACCTCGTGCTCACAAAGTTATCACTTCTTCATCTCTCGCATACATACATACATACAGCAACCGAATCATCATCCATCTATAGCATCTCTTCGTCACAAATGTGAGTACCTTTGTTCACTTTGACTCACTCCGACCGCTGGCAGAGGTTCTTTCCATTCACAGACTCATTCGGCTGACGCTCAGTCCTTTGATCACCATGTCTGTCCAACCAGAAACGTTTGGTTTCCAAGCCGAAATTTCTCAACTTCTCGACCTGATCATCAATACCTTCTACTCTAACAAGGAGATCTTCCTTCGTGAACTCATCTCTAACGCTTCCGATGCCCTCGACAAAATCCGTTATCAGGCCCTCACGGACCCTTCTCAACTTGACAGTGAGAAGGAGCTTTACATCCGTATCATCCCCAACAAGGAAGAGGGTACCTTGTCTATCATCGATACAGGTATCGGTATGACAAAAGCTGATCTCGTCAACAACCTCGGTACCATTGCGAAATCTGGTACCAAAGGTTTCATGGAGGCTCTTTCTTCCGGTGCTGATATTTCTATGATTGGTGAGTTAATCTCAGTGCCCGTCAAATGATAGCAGTCACTAACTCTTTCAGGTCAGTTCGGTGTCGGTTTCTACTCGTCATATCTCGTCGCCGAGCGTGTGCAGGTCACCACAAAACACAATGACGACGAACAGTACATCTGGGAGTCAGCCGCTGGTGGTACTTTCACCATCACTGAGGACCTCAATGGACCTCGTCTTGGTCGTGGAACGGCGATCAAGTTGTTCCTCAAAGACGATTTGAAAGAGTATCTCGAGGAGAAGAGAATTCGAGAGATCGTCAAGAAACATGTGAGTGATTCTGATGACAAGCATAGTGGAATGGGCGCTGACGTGGCAGTCCGAATTCATCTCTTACCCCATCCAACTGGTCGTGACCAAAGAAGTTGAGAAGGAAGTGGAGGAAGATGAGGAGGAGGCAAAAGACGGTTCTAAGATTGAGGAGGTTGAAGATGAAGACTCTGGAAAGGAAAAGAAAAAGAACAAGAAGATGGTTAAACAAACTGAAACTTCTAACGAGGAGTTGAACAAACAGAAACCCATCTGGACTCGGTCAGTAGTTTTTCTTTTCTATTCAGAGACGATTGGCTAACGATCAGTAACCCATCCGATGTAACTCAAGAAGAGTACGCTAGCTTTTACAAATCCATCTCGAATGATTGGGAAGATCATCTCGCCGTCAAACACTTCTCCGTCGAAGGACAACTCGAATTCAAAGCCATGCTTTTCATTCCAAAGCGTGCGCCTTTCGATTTGTTCGAAAACAAGAAGAAACGTGGTGGTGCTTTCAAACTCTACGTTCGACGTGTTTTCATCACCGAAGACAGTGAGGAACTCATGCCTGAATACCTCAACTTTGTCGTCGGTATCGTCGATTCTGAAGATCTTCCTCTCAATATTTCTCGTGAGACATTGCAGCAAAACAAAATCCTCAGGGTCATCCGTAAAAGTTTAGTGAAGAAAGCTCTCGAGCTCATTCAAGAGATTGCGGAAGATAAAGAAAACTTTGATAAATTCTATTCTGCTTTCTCGAAAAACCTAAAATTGGGTATTCACGAAGATGCTGCCAACCGATCTAAAATCGCCGAATTCTTGAGATTCCACTCTACCAAGAGTGTCGATGAACAAACTTCTTTCAAAGATTATATCACTCGTATGCCCGAGGTTCAAAAATCCATCTATTACCTCACTGGTGAATCTCTCGAAGCTGTCAAAGATTCTCCTTTCCTCGAAGTACTCAAGAAGAAAGGATTCGAAGTTCTTCTACTTGTCGACCCCATCGACGAATACGCAGTTACTCAATTGAAAGAATTCGATGGTAAATCCTTGGTTTGCGTTTCTAAAGAAGGTCTCGAACTTGAAGAAACGGAAGAAGAGAAAAAAGCTCGTGAAACCGAAGCTAAAGAATTCGAATCTCTTTGTTCTGCAATCAAAGAGAACTTGGGTGATAAAGTCGAAAAAGTAGTAGTATCAAACCGTATCTCTGACTCTCCTTGCGTTCTCGTCACTGGTCAATTCGGTTGGTCATCGAATATGGAAAGAATCATGAAAGCTCAAGCTCTTCGTGATTCTTCAATGTCAACTTATATGGCAAGTAAGAAAACGATGGAACTCAATCCTCATCATCCAATCATCAAAGAACTCAAGAACCGTATTTCGGAAGATAAATCCGATAAAACAGTCAGAGATCTTACTTTACTCTTGTTCGAAACCGCACTTCTTACTTCGGGTTTCACCCTTACCGCACCTCAAGACTTTGCTCAACGTATCAATAGGATGATCGCCCTCGGTTTGAGTATCGATTCTGAACCAGAGGCAGAACCCATCTCCGCTGCTGGAGCTGACGAGACTGTTATTGAAGAAGTTGGTGGATCTATGGAAGAGGTTGATTAAATGTAAGATTAATTCAATGATCATGTGTGAAAGTGGGATGGTAGAGGAAGAAAAGGTTAGCATGAATGAAGATGGGTTATATGGAGTTGGGAATGAGAGTTTATATGCATTGTGACATTCATGACAGTTCTATCTCTAATAAAACCTTGCACATATCCTGTTTGATCTGATCAACTTTGCACATATCCGTCTAGATTTATGTCGCTTGCACATAAACTCATTTGATCTATCTCAATATTCCACATATCCTATTTGATCTGATAAACCCACATAGCCTATTTGATCTAACCACCTCGTATCCTCTTAACTCAGAAAAAGCGCAGAGCAGAGCTACCTATGGCGCGAGACGTAATCTATAGCCATGAAGACAATCCGTCAGAAATCGAAATCTGCATCTTTGAGCAATTCATCCCAATGTTCATCCTCCGCTTGTTCCTGTTCGAAAGGTGCCGCCCAAGCTATGACCCTTTGGTGTGCCATGACTCTGCGGTGTTAACTAGACTCATTCACACTCGCCCCTTCTTCTTTCGACATATACCAAAATTCCTCCCTGGTACATGGTACATCTACCGTCATCAAGACGACTGGGATGAGAAGTGGTCTAAGCAATGATGACTTTGCAAGTGTATGACTCTCGAGACAGTGGGAGGAAATATCATTTCGTGAATGATTGTGTGAGGCTATGAGGAGAGATATGAAAAGGTCAAAAGGACTCACTTATGAGCAGCAAAATTACGTATTTCTAAATTCTCTAAACTGACAGCTCGGGATATGGCAACATAAGTTTGACCTTGCAACTCAGCATTCTCATCTACTTGCCAAAACCTCTTTTTCGTCGTTCTCCCAGGCGCGTATCTAGGGGTAATGAAAGGACGAGATAAGAAAACGAACTCATGACAAGGAGAAAGAGGAGAAGAGGAGCAGTAAAACAAGGAAGAGAAGAGATAAGATAGGACATAGAACAAACCTTGTACGAATATCTTATTCAAATCAATTTTGACCCTCTCCATAGTTTGACCTTGAGACTTATGTATCGTCAAAGCCCTTTATAGTCAATTACCATTCAAACTAATCCCCACTAAATGTCTATACATACTTCAATCAAAATCCGAACCCATCCGTTTTCGTCGAGTTTGGATGACGTTGGAGAAATGTAATGAGTGAGAAGATATCACTCACCAGGCCAAAATCAATGGGATTTGATGTCTTTCCGCTTCCACAGTTCCCATTGCGTTCAATACGTCCACACACATTTGTGGTATTATCGTCTTTGTTGCAATTCTGTTGGTTGCGTATTTTGATGGGACAAACTCTACTACTGGCCATTTTACATGAGGAGCAGCGTTAACTTGAGATGCTCGAGGAGGAAGGTAAACACCAGAGGAAGAAGCTTCGGAGAGAGTCATAAAGTCTGTAATCTTTCCTATGGAGTTAGTGATCATTTCTGTGTGGTGTGATACTTTGATGAGAATGGAGAAGAAAGAGGGGAGGCGGAAGGCGGGAAGAGTGAGGACTGACCTGTGGATCCGTTGACTAATGCTCCATCCTGTCATGTCAGACCTTACCCATCACATGATGAAGAGGCGATAGGTGACAGCGCTCCTCACGTGGCCAGGGCGAGGAGGGCGGATGGATAAAACTTACACTCATGTTCTACACTTTAGCGAGTATTTGAAAGATGATCAAAAGAAAACATACAGTGACAAGCATCACCAAAGCTCCGACTTTCAACGATAATTCTTTCACCCAGATCGTGTTTTTATCCAATGTCGCCGTAGCGTCAGCTTGGGAGATATCATAACCTTTCGAATTGATACCTGGGGCGTCATGTGCCAGGTATTCTTGTAAAGGAGTATTTAGAGCGGCTAATCTTTGTCGATTTATAGTTTCCACTTCATTCTTCGAGGGATACCTTCCCATCAGCATCATACCTGTCATGTCGATCCTCATACTTGACGAGATATATGGGTGGATACTGATTATGGCCGACGATGAAAGTGGGGTAAGGGTGGAACTTACAAACCAACAGCTTCGACTCCATCTGTATACTCAACAACCCTATTGCACGTTCTCAACAATTTTGTATCTTCCATCGAGACATGACCCTTTCGCATAGATTCCAACAATCTCACAAAAACATCTTCTTTTTGTCTGAAAACACGAGTCAAAGCCATCATATTCTCCCTCGGGAAACATTTAGACCATGATTTTGCTTCAAAGGCAAATTTGAATGGTGGATCTTCAGGTTTGGCAACGGGAGGTAATTGGAAGAAATCACCAGAAACGATAAGTTGTAAACCTCCAAAAGGTTTATTATTGTTTCGTACTTTCCGAGCGATTTCTTCTAGTTTATCGAATAACTTGCCATCTATCATTGAGACTGATGCCTATGTCAGAGAATATCCATGCTAGATATTTATAGTGATAACTCACTTTCGTCAATGACTAAAGCATGGGTGGATTGCCAACGATCCCGAGTGACATTGTTACTTCGAATATTGTTGACCAATCGATCTACTGGGAATTGACCCAATCCGATTCCTGCCCAAGAATGTACCGTTGACCCGCCGATATTGCTGAAATATCAGCATCACCCTTGCTGCTCTGAATCCCTCGTGGCAAGAGTTGAGAGATAGGAGAGAGGAAACTGACATTGCAGCCATGCCGGTACTTGCTGTAACCCCTAAAGTCCAACGATCTTCCCCCTCAGTAGGCTTACCACCATTAGCCACGTAATTCCTCCATTTCTCTTCCACTCTTTCTTCCGGAGTCTGTTTCAGATTCCCTTTCGTCCGACGTTTGTTGAACTCGCGTATGATAGCTCGTAATAAAACCGATTTACCCGTACCTGCTGAACCAGTGAAAAAGAAGTTTTCTCCTGCCAGAATCCTTTCCAGGATCTGTTGTTGTTGAAATGACAGGACGGGTTCTGATCCTAATGCTGGAGCTGACTCGACAGTGATCGTAGTAACGGATTCGGAAACATCGGTCCGTGCTTTGTTCTTAGATGTGACTTTTCTAGGTTTTTTATCCGGAGACTGTCTCCTATCACGGTCGACATCGACAAAAGGAGCGTATGGCTTCACGTCAGGTTTGAGAAAGTCGGAATGTGGGTCTAACTCTACTTTAATAAAGTCAGCGGAAAAGTCAAAATCCTCGTCAAGATCTTGATCGACTACCAAGGAACGTCCCTTGAGCAGTTTCCGCGAGGCAGAGGTGTGCACTTGAGCTTTACCGACAAATTTCTGTCTGATCAGCCACCCTCTAGAGGAGAAACACGGCAGCTTGACGAACCCAAGCAAGTCCTGGGTTCGAGAAAGATTTATGCACTGCACCAGGAAAGTTCTTGACCTGAACACCCAAGTCAGCACTTAGCACCGTAGATCCCGTAGACGCGTGATGCGAAATTTACTCACTTGAATCTCTGCTTCTTCCCATGTTTTGTACACACCTGGAATACGACCTATCTTGACCCCATAGTATTTCGTCTTCTTCCCAGACAGTTTGGTCGTCGGCTTGGAGCTGTGAGGGCGAGAGGGAGGCGAGGGAACTCTGGAGATGCGTTTGGACTTGGGCATGAGTTGGACCGACATGACGCGTTCACCATGAGCATTCTGCCAGACGTCAATGAGGTTTCCACTTGATGTGGGCAACACGTGGACACTCACAAATCCTCGACCATGCCCTCTGCTTGCTTGAGGGCTGGGATGGAATGACTGGGAGCGGGAGGTGAGACGGAGCAAGTGGCTATCGCTGGAATTCAGGGGGTGGAAGTAGTAGGAAAGGGTAAGAAAGCAGGCTACCAGGCTGCTTCAGTGACCGGTTGCGGGTATGACGTAGTTGTTTGCGGGCGTCAGCCCCGCAAATCTACTGGGGGTGATTCAGGGTTTTTCTGCGTAAATTCTACGTAAGTGCCTGGAAGGGTTTCCCAGCTGATCATCAAGGGAAATCACAGGGAAATCGAACCGAACTTCGCGCACGACACGAAATCTCTTCACGCACGACAAAATCACGTGACTAGCCGTTAGGCATGCCGCAAAATCAAGTTAGGCGTCTCAAACCACGTGGCTTCTTGTGCACAGATCGCCCTTCCACTTTTCTCATACTTTCAAGTAATATCAATTAACTTCATCACTTTCTGCAACTTACAGGAGATAAGCTATGATATTGAGACACTGACCATCGTTCTCAGGACCCTCGATAATCCCCATTGAATACCTTCCAGTCAGTATAGGCTCTGAGGCGGCCGGAAATTCATGGGGAGAAGGGGTGGAAGGGAGATCAGTTTATCTCGGTCAGTTCTTGACCTTTGAGCCTGAAACTTTTACTGACCAATAGAGGGGGACGATCTCTACATGTCCGTGTAAAAACCAGGATCTTTCTATGCATAGATCATGGAGTAGGTTAGCAACTCTGGCCACAGGACAATTGGGGAGGGGGGGAGGACGGAAGGGTGTCCCTGCGTGCGCCTAACGTCTCTGTGCTGCATGCCTAACGCTTTATCACGTGATTTTGTCGTGCGTGAAGAGATTTCGTGTCGTGCGCGAAGTTCGGTTCGGGAAATCAGTGATTTCCACATGGCAGACACATGGTTGACATGCGAGATCCATGCATTCCTTCCATAAGCTACCCCTCTCCCCTCTACAGGTAACCCAACCCTTCTATGCAGTTATAACAGGCAATATTCTAGATGCACTGCTTCTAAGCTATGGGGGCAAAATCTATCCCTCGCAGCTAGGCAACAATCCAGGAGAACTGACCAGGAAGTCACCAGAATACATCTCCTCATACCTCTCTCCTCACAGGTCAAGTGTGTACCACCTTAAGCTGTGGGTGAGGTTTTACCTGCAAGCTAATTGGCTGTACATAGTCAGTGATTTGGTGCATGTTTAACTATTCATGCAGCTGTCAGTGATGTCCCATTACCTGCAGGGGACAATGATTGAGAGGTTTTAATGGGCTTGACCGGATTGGATCCAGGATATGAGAAGTGTTGCCAACTTGTTGTTTCTCAGGCCTAACATGCTTCCATTCGGATCCGTTGCATACCTACCTGTCAAATAGGCACGTGGCAGCCATCGCCCGTTTTCCATCGCCTCTCGAAGTCGATAAACCTAGTACTTAAACACCCACTTTTGGTCTACTTTCCTTCCATTCTCCTTTCACATCTTTATCTCGCAGATCCATCCTCACTTTCCTCTTACGTCCTTCATGACCCACTCTCATGTCTAATCTTGTATAATCTCACATCCATCATCTGTGACGACGTACGGAAAGCTCCTATTGTAAGAACTGAGGATCGACAAAGAGACGAGACCTCGCCATTATTGTACCCCAAACACCCCAGTCAGGTATCACCTCCTCATGGCCGACTTACCCCAACGTACCAATTACACCGCGGCTTACTCTGGCTTGCTCGACAACTTGTATCTTACCCTCGCCATCGCCGGTGCTTGTTTGGGCGGATATGAACTCCTCGTTCATATGCCTCGGCGGCGAGGAAAGCAAGGTCGATTTCAGAGAGTTCCCGTCAGGGCGTTCTTCGCCCTGAAGCGGTTCTGGACGAATCGGAAACGAGGCAGAATAAGAAACAACAGCTCCAGTTATCCTTCGGATCATAAGCGACAGACGACAGAGGATACCGCTCAGACCAAGACGAGTAAGGAAGAATTCGAAAGAGCGAGACTTGGATCGCAGGAAGATTGGGAGTTTGGCTAGTAAGTGGGCTTGCTTTTTGGGAGGCATCATGCTGATCAGCAGTATCTATCAACCGAAAGCATGGGCAGTGTGGGTCATGTTCCATGACTTGAGAGAGAGAGAGAGCTGACAGGACAGCAATGCTTCCCCTCCCTTACCGTCGGTTCTCTTATCGCTTCCCACGAGGTCTTTGCTGATCCTCAGACGATGGCCGTTAGCTTGGATAGCTACCGCTCTCAAAGTTAAGGAAAGAGATATGCCAGACAAATGCGGTTTGGATCACACTCTCCATGCACGATTCCTCAGAGGTTGCTGTGAGTGCATGGACGAAGGAACGAGAATGGTCACTGATTCATTAGTGTTCTACACCATCCTTCAGGCTTTCGTGGTACTACCGTCAGTCGCCTGTATCGGTAATTCAAGTCAGCTGACTCTCAAGAATCCTCCTCCCCCTTCACGTCCTCTACTCCCCTCATGATCTCTCAAATAGCTCCATGGTCAAGGCATCGATCTCATCCCTTGTCGAAACTTCGGGAGCGCGGTGGCTGTGGGTGCACGCCGTCTTGATCTGGTGGGTTACTCTCACATGGATCGCTACCACCTTGTGGATAGCATGGGGAGGTTTGGGATATCGTCGCCGTCAGATCAAGCAGTTGCGCCGTCGGATAGAGACTGGCCAATATGCACGACGACAGTTGACCGGAGGAGAAGATGGGAACGCTGCTGCGGTACATGGTGACGATTGTGAGGGGATCAAACGGTTCAAAACCATCATGGTGACCAACGTACCTCCCGATAGTGAGTCCACATGTGACTGTTCCTCGCTGACGTCCAGTGAGGAACGAACAAACAATACGTGACTACTTTGAACACCATATTCATCGCTACCGAGCGCGGTTCGGCGATGGCGCTCAGCAACCTAAATCTTCACCCATCTTTGGCAGAAAGAAATCCGAGAAAGGCCGCCTAGCCCGACATAGTAGTGTCTTTCGTAAGAACAACGAGAAAGGAGAGACACCACACTCCTCCCCGGTGCCGGAAGAGGAGTTGTCCGCCAATGATTGCGCCAGTGCCGACGATGAGCATGAAGCGCGAGAAGTGGACGAGGTCATCTTTGTCAGAAAGCTGGGTCCGCTAGAGAATCTCCGGGCAAGGCGACATGCTGTCCTGAGGCAATTGGAAGCGGTGAGTCCTCCTTCTTTGTCCGTAGCATGTGGCTGAAGTGAAGGCGCACGTCAAGTTGGCTCAAAGAATCTTGCGGGCGGTGGCAAGTCACAAAGCGAGCCCAGAGTACACTCCATCTACAATATCGACCGACTTTACCCATTTGACGATACCTCCTGGAATCAGTAAGAAGGAGCGTTTAGACCTCCTGACCGATGCCTTGGGCGCGTTTGTGGACGGAGGTCCGGTAGAAAGAGGAGAGAGCAAACAGACTGTTTGGGAAGTGAGTTATGAATCAATCCAAGTTGCTTAGCTGATGTCAGGTTCTGCACTCTCTACCTCGAGAATTGCTTGACCCGTATCAAGCGTTGACGCATCTCAGTTCTCTCTTTCGAAAAGAAAACGCCCCACTAATCGATTACCTCACTACAAAGCTCAATTATCTCACTCTCCTTGTTGATGAAGCACGTTCCAAGTCTCTGGATGCCTATCCTCCATCTTCGACCGCCTTCGTAACTTTCAAAGACGCTTCGACAGCTCGTGTAGCGCTTTCCATCCTTCCTGGACATCCAAAACGTAGTCTAGCATGTCACACTTGTTCCGCTCCGGACTGGACAGACCTTCTTTGGAGTCGACTGGCCAAGTCCACCTATCGTGCTTCTTTCGTCCGTGGCTGGATTGTTTTCCTGGGTGTATGGCTGTTCACTCTGATCTGGGTACGTCAAAACATCTTATCGCAAGTCATTACTCATGTCAGATCTTCCCTGTGTCGGTCTTCTGTACTTTGACGTCTCTATCGAACATTGCGCAATTCATCAAGCCTCTGGCCAAATGGTTGGCGGACAATCCTAAGGCTTCATCTGCCATCACCTCGCTTGCTCCTGTCATTTTGGTGGCACTTCTCACTCTGGCCATCTGTCCGATCTTGTTGGTCATCTCCAACAAGGCGGAGACGATCGTGACAAGATATGGAATTCATCAGTCTGTCATGGAGCGATTCTGGAAGTTCTGTACGTGTGATTTTGTGGACCGAGGAGTGTCTGCTGACTCTTTCAGTGATAGTGAACGGTGTTGTCTTCTTCGCGGTTAGCCCTTTCGACTACCTCTCATTGAAGACGCTGATTCGTTAGATTGGCCAGTCAGCCATTGAGGCATATCTGGCAGCATTCCAAGAGAGCAACTTTGACCCCTTACCGATCGTAGCCTCAGCATTTGTAAGTCGGATCGTCGAGTATTGACTGGTCGATGACAAGATAGCCATCTGCTGCCCCGTACTTTGCGTCGTATATCCTGCTACAAGTCGCAATTCAGCCGTTCTTCGAGATTTTCCGCTTTGGCGTCAGTTCATCTTTTCCATTGCGGTGACCAAGTTGACGTCTAGTTACCAACTATCCTATATGTCTTCGGAACTCGGGTCTCCATTATTCCGCGTCAAAGGGCCTCACGAACAAATTAGTCAGTCGAGCAAGCTTGTCAAGATCGTTGCTGACGAAACAGTCCAACGTTCAGTCACTTCTCTCAAGTACCCCAGCAGCGTGAGTCAACTCGCAAGACATTGAGCAGGGTACTCATCATCAGTGTTGGCCGGTGCGATCATGCACCTGTTCATGCTGCTAAAGTGAGTTTAATACTTTTCTGCAACGTCAATGCTGACGCGAGCCAGTCCTCTGGTCATACCTTTCAGTATGCATTCTCAACTTACTCAGTAAATGTCAACTGATTGATACAGCCTTGATATACTATGCTTCTTGTTACGGTATGTTCTTCGTCCGAAGTGTGCAGTTGAAAGTCTTACAATCAGTCGTATGGAAACGCCAATTCACCTACGTGTACGGACGACTGTACGAAAGCAACGGACGAAGAACCGCCATCAGGGCCATGCGTTATAGTATCGATGGACTAGCTCGTGAGTGGTAATCATCGACTGTTGAAAGCCACTGACGCTCCTAGTTGCTCAAGTATGTTCCCTCGGTCTGTGAGATGATCAAGCTGATGTCACAGTTTGCCCTCTTTGCGTTCTTTATCTTGAGTGAGTCGTACCTACTGTGAAAATGGATATCAGACTAACCGGTCAGACAAAGCCAAAGGAAACGCGATAGCTACTGGTATCCTATTTTTCTTGACACTTATAGCCAAGCTCATGTGAGTGGCTGCGTCTTCCTTGCATCAGCGCTGACCGAGTTCAGAATCACTCGGGCAATCCGGCGACGTTTCGAAGCGTGAGTCAACTCTTGCATCTTGAAATCCCACGGCTGATCGATAAGTTTGGACATTGAAGAGGCCGACCTTTTATGTCCACCCCTTGACACGCCTGGGAGCTCTGATGCCGCTCACAAGGGATCGGAAAACCTGAAGCAACCTCCACCCTCTAACCCGGTTCCTTTCCACGCTGGGGTTTTCACCGCCATCAAGGAATGGATAGAGAAATGGCGGTACGCCGAGAGATCTCTTCGGAAAGCCACGCCAGCTTCCTATCGTCGGCCTCTTCCCTTTGACAACACACTCTTCTGCACGCTTGACAAGTTTTTCACCTACGACATATCGGAAGGGGGTGAGGCAAATGACACGCTTGAGAAACCCATGGAAGTTGGGGTGACGTTGAAACAAGAATCAGAAGAAACATATATCCAACTTGTGACTCCACATCCCCCTTTCCCTCCATGGGAAGATATACCCCCATATTATCGATCTCGTGGATATAACGATCAACCAGCTTATACAGATGGCTACGATGATTTTCTATGGCTCCAACGACATCCTTGGTCCACCCTAGATCTGGACGATACGATCGAACTTCGTCTTTCCTTGACTTCGTCAGCTGGGGGCGATGGTAGATTCGGTTCATGGCCGTTGTTAGAATGTGAAGAGAAGGAGTCCAGGGAATGGCAAGAAGTTCTGCTACCTGAAGGACAAGGTGACACTTCTCCCACTGGTTTACGAGCTTCGTTATCTCTCACTCCGATCCCATCGAACGATCAACAAGCACTCATCGGTCATCTGGAAGTTCCAGCGGAGATCGGTTCCGAAGTCGATGATGAAGGTGTCACTCGAGATCTCTTCCGTCAAACAGCACGTAAAGTGGGCATGCTTTCCAACCTATTCAAACCTCATGGATCTCAATTTCTCTCTGGACCTCCTATACCTTTAGGACGTCTTTCAGAGGAAAGTATGACATTCGAACACCGTGTTGATACGGACGAAGCTTTGGTCAATGCTGAAGCTGGTATGAGTCCGAGACCAATAGCAAGAAGAGAGGCCTCAAGTCGATCTTCTTACATCTTGCCAACACGTACTTCGACACCTCGACCAATCTCTTTGGTGAGGGAAGATTCCGATACTTCAAGACCGAGTATCATCGTCACTTCACATCCTCATCAATCTTCTGAAACAGATTCCGATCCTTCTCCCACTTCTCATCCTATCACAGGTTCTGTATCAGCTCCAGCTTCTGCTTTCTTACCTCACTCTCTTGGACGTTCCATCTCGAGTAGACATCCACATAGATCGAGATCGAATTCTCGTCCTTTGGAAAAGAAACTTTCATCCCCTGCTAGACCTCGTACGGCTGGAGGAACACCTTCTATCATATCACATGACCGACTCGCATCAGGACGTTCAGCCACGACACTACAACAACAGGCATTACTGAGGGAAGTGATGGAAGAAGAACGTAAGAGAAAGAAAGATGAAGCGGAAGAATTGGATGGTTTAAAGGAAAGAGAAGAGAGGGAATTGAAAAAAGAGAGAAGAATAAGTCAAGGGTTAGGTGATCATGGTGAACAAACTTTAGGTGTTTCACATACTCCCAGACGATTAAGTTTTAGAACAGCAGCCGTAGCTGTGGGTGCGTTTTCGAGAGATAGATCAAGTAGTAGGATCGTTGTTCCTGCTGAACAGAGAGATAGGTCAGGTAGTAAGACGGCTATACCAGAAGCTCCCAGAAATAGATCAGGAAGTAGAGGAGCGATAACGTTGATGAATATTCCAGTTGGGGTTGAAGCCGGATTAGGATTAGGAGTTGATACTCAAGGTGAAACTTTGATATCTCCTAGGAATGAAGGAGAAACAGAAGAAGGAACAGTAGAAAATAATTTACCTGTACCTACCACGCAAAGATTAAGAGGGAGAAGTTTACAAGGTGGTACTAGAGAAACACCGGCAAGTAGGGGACAGAATATGACGGGTGGACAAGATCTCGGATGGGGAGCTATCATTTAGAATTTGGGTCTTTTTCTGGATTGCACTTATTTCTTTGAACAAACTATACGGGGAATTGTTGCTTGATTGTAGTTTATACTTCTCATGTATCGATTGGTTGTGGTCGTGGTTTTCTTACCAGGTAGAGACAGCTCAATACAATTTGCGAAAGATGAATGCTATTCAAGGTGAATACCATCTGTGATGAGAGGATCATCCTTACGAACGAAGGTACAGTAAGCACTCATGTAATTGGATCGGAAAAAAGAAAAATGCAACTTGTCAGAGGGAGGAGGGAAGTGCCTGAGGAGACATTCAGTAGCTTGTGGGCAATTGTGAGTCTCATTACGAGATTACGAGCTTGAGGTATGATAGGCAGAGAGTTTGGACAATGGGAAGGAGGTATATGAAGAGAAACATGTGTGATTCAAGAAGAAACAGGAGGTTTACTTGGGTGAATAGACTCGGTTTTGATGAGATAGTAACTTGTACTCTACTGTATATGGAGAAAAGTGTAAGATGTTTGTAAGGGGATCTGGCCGAGCAAGGCAGGCTAGTCTGGTATGATCCCATTGTGTATACTGATCAATATTGACTAAAAAGAGTAATGCATATATACATTGTAAATATACCTACATATCAATGCAATGATTTTGACTAAAGATACAACAACTACTCATAGTGTACTAATACGCTTGATTTCCTTTTTCGTATCATTCATCACTTCCCTCCACTCACTTTCCGATTCTTCCTTATTGGCCGTCCACCAACTGTCAACTTCTTCCTCATAGTATTTGACATATCTATCTTCTGCAACTTGCCCCTCTCTCCCTTCCCCTCTTTCGTATTTGGAAGATGCCGTTGAGTTTGTTTTGATGGTATGTTTATGGAAGACGAATTAGACTTGATAATCTGAGAAAAATGTTCGTTCTTCCTTGCCCTTACTCCCTTTGCTGATATATCCATACGGAGATGATCTACCCAACTATAGTGTGTACCACGTAACCAATTCCGAGATCTTTGTTCATACCCCTCTCCACTCTCCCGAGCCAGTTTACGCATATGAAGAGCTAGTGAAGTGGGTTTTGTCCAGCGGATGGCTATACCTTCTGTTTCCTCGGAAGGTGTACTGGGAGATGTACCAGGAGAGGAAGTTTTGAGATTGACAGGAGGGGATGGTCCGGGGATGGGGGAAGAGTCGGTGGAATTGGTGTGAATATCAGAGATGGGTACGTTGGATGAATGGGAAAGGGGTGAGTTGTCAGGGGTGGTTGATTGAGATGGGTCGGCAGCTTGAGAAGGGATGGAGGATATGGATGGATCTGAAGGTATGGACAGCTTGGTTGGATTGGTGGGAATAGATTTAGTTTTGGATGAGTTGGAAGAGGGTGTGGATGGACTGGAGGAGGCAGCGGATGGAGGTGCCGGGGAAGAAACACCAGAACGATTCAGTCTACGAGCAGCATCAAGCTTCGTCATTTGTTCTGGTGTGGCGAATTCTGGAGTCGAAACTGAAGCCATGGCTTTGAGACGATTAGTAGCTACACGTAATTCTTCCTTAGCCTCTTCAGAGGCTTCGGGATGGAAAGCAGAAATGGTATATTGTACATCCCCTGGGATCAGCTCATCGTTTGACAGAAACATGAGCTGATTCCTGATAGATTTTACCTTAGACACAACGAAGAATGAATGTGAGGATGTGACAAGGAACCTGAGACGGATAGAGATACTCGGTGACCTTTCAGAAACCCGGACAAGACTCACACACTGGTAGGGAGTTCGACTTTCTGATTTCAGGAAACTCTTTCATTTCTGGCATGCTTTCACCTGCTATGACATTTGTGACTGAAAGTCTGAGTCCTCGAACGATATCTTTTGTACCCGTCGTGTCGGTCGAATGACGGGGTTGTACTAATGCCAACAAACCCCGTCGACTCCCATGTGGTTTGCTCCTCAGAGTCAAGTACACTTCCTATCGCCTTAGCCCCGACTATTGGGGAATAAAACACCTACCTGCTCAGGAGAGATCTCCACCACACGTTTCAACAGTGACTCGAGAAGGGCGACACAAAGACGGAAGGCGGCTTCGGCGAGGGCAGTGGAGCCGAATAGACGTTCATCAAGGTCCGCTCTGAGGGTCAAAAAGTGTTCTCTGATTGTGAACAGGTCACGCGGATGGATTTAATGGATTTGGACGTCCGAAGAGACTAAGAAAGATGGGTCACGCACAAGGAGAGATATTGAAAACCGTAGATCCTCTTCGTGTTGTGATACGCGATAAAGATACCGTCCATATTACCGATACGAGCTTGCATGCTGTATTTTGTCAGTCAACGTGATCTACGTGATGAAAGCGAAGACTTACCTGTATTTCAACATGGCCGTCCGTGACAGGTCATATAGCCTTATCACATTAGCAGTATGCCGCGCCTCGGGAGCAGAAATATTGACTTACTCTCGTTCAAACGACTCCAACATGCCCTTCTCCTGATGAATGTCGTAAGCGCTGTTTGCCTGATAATGAGCAACATCCTCTGGGGCAGAGAGAGCTGTGAAGACCTCACTCACCTCGTAGTTTGCTCGGTCATACCGGATAGGTAAACATGCACGGGTTTTGATATCAAATGTCCCATCCCCCGGTAATCGTAGATCATGACAGTCAAGTTGACTCCTCATGAGAAGACTTCCATACTTCCGTTCAGCTATGACAAATTTGCCTCAATTCAATCAATACTGACCTTCCTATAACGATAAGCCTCTCGTTCTGTGCGTTCTTCCACTGAGACGGCGGATTCCGGCGAAGCTCGCATGAAACGCCGAAAGTCCGTGTTTGATGACACCAGCTGTTTTTCCAAGATCCGACCCTACCTATCAGTGGCAGAATGAATATGAAGAACGAACCACGAACGTATTCACTGAGCACGTTATCGGTATCCCATCGTTTATCTGAATCAACTGTGTATACACCCGTTGGCATTCGACTCAGTACGAGACTTGCAGGTAAAAGAGCTCCGGTGGTAAATTCTGTTCTCTACCCATGAGCAACCTGACAATCATTATCATGATCATTCACAAACATACCTCCTGAGAAAACGCTTGGCTTAAACCAGAAAGCTCCACACCCTTATTCGCTGTGATGGCGAAATATATTTGGCTCAAAGCTCGAGTCAAGGTCGACGTTGAGCCCACAAACTGACAGTCATTCTCCTGTGCTAAACTCTGCAGTTCCTGGTGGTTGTCAGCGAGAACAGATGCTTGTGCTAGATGAACTGACTGGATCTTGGGAAGGTTTTATGTATTGAGGTAAACGGGCAAAATCGAACTCGCTAGCATTGGGAATGATACCCAAATCAGAGGGGAAGTTCCAGACTCCCGTCCTGGGATCCCTAACGGTCTGCACTCCTGGTCTGATGTTTAGCTTGTTGATTTCAGGGCATGATTGACGTACGAGAAGAGAACTCTTGAGAGAACTGGTCGTAGGGAAGCTATCTTCATAGGACGCGAGGCGATCACCTCTGAGAGTTAGACTGAACGTATCTAATGAGGGTGAGCTGACCTGGGATACTGATTCTAGAAGCAGAGACGGAACCCTCCTCCAACACGATGGAAGGTTTTTTTAGTGGTTTCACTCTAGCAGTTGATCTACCTTCGTGGGGGAGTGCATCTGAATCTCAGTAAGCATCGAGAGCCCGGGTATCTGGGGAAGAAACTCACCATCCTCCATATCTACAACCAGAGTGTCGTCCACGAGCTCGGAATCGAGCGCATCATTACTGCTGTCCACGATCAGATTCAGCGATTGTGGGTCTTGTTTCACCAATTGGCCGTCAGGTATAGGGAGATCGACAGGGACATGATACTGGACGTCAGTCTTACTCTCTCTGATGAGCGAAACACGTACCGTGGAGCTACTGCTGACCTGTCGTTTGCCAGCGACCTGAGAGACAGAGGGAGACTTCGCACTGAATATAATAACACTGCTGGATGGGATAGCACGGATAGACAAGTGGCGGCGAGATAGTATACTGCACCGTACAGTGCGGTTCAGCAGACGTATACAGACAAGCATGAGAGGGCAGAGAGTGTGATTATTTGAATGCTTGTACTCGTCACTACTACTACAGTATGAATGTAAATTTGTGGGTTGTAGTTAGAAATTCAGAAGTCTTCATGATGGTGCCTGATTCTTGGGTGGTGTGTGATAAGTGAAATGCCACGTCACTGATTTCCACTTTTCAAATGTTCAACTCCGTCGCACAAAGGTACAGTATCTTTGAACGTGTACCAAAAAACCTACTCTTCTCACTCTTTACCTTTCTTCTCCTTGTTAACCCTCATTAAAAGACATCCCTGCCGCCCGTTATGTTGTTGTATATCGATGTCATCTCCGGTGATGAAATGCTTTCCGATGCTTATGATCTGTGCGTTGTTCACTTTGTTTCTCTCCCACTCTCAGTGGCGTCAATTCTCAAGCTGATGGGAATAGGAAAGAGGTCGATGGTATAGTATACGAAGTCGATACGGCTTTGATCATTGTCAAAGAGGGTGATGTTGATATTGGTGAGTTTAATCCTTGACGATAGATGTACAAGATGACAATGAATGCTGATTCTTTCAGGAGCTAATCCTTCTGCCGAGGAAGCCGAGGAGGCCTTGGAACAAGGTGCAGAGCAAAAGAACAATCTTGTTCATTCCATGCGTCTTCAAGCTACTACTTTCGACAAGAAAGTGAGTTTTAATCAATTCTCTCTCATCTTTCTTTCACTCCAGATCATCTTCTCGTTTTCTAGAGCTCAAGATATGTGAAAGGGGAGGACAAGTAGTTGACACACAGTCTTACCTCGCCTACCTTAAAGGTTACATGAAAGCCATCAAGAGTCATCTTCAAAAGACCAACCCTGAGCGTGTTGAAGGTTTCGAAAAGGGTGCGCAGGAGTTTGCCAAGAAGATCGTGGCGAATTTCAAAGATTTCGAATTTTACGTTGGAGAAGGTATGAACCCAGAGGGTATGGTGGCACTTTTGGTAAGTCAGAAGGGATATATCTCATTCTCCCACCTCTCAGACCAGCTTGTTTTGATCTCTCTAAAATTGAAATATTCCTAGAGCTGATATGTAGAATTATCGTGAGGATGGTGTTACACCTTATTTCATTTTCTGGAAAGACGGTTTGAAGGAAACTAAGATTTGATCTCATCATCCTTTGGTAGTCAGTCATTCGACATCTTCCTTTTACTACTAAGTCACTGTATCGTAGAGGTGCAGAGGAGTTTCCCATTTTTCGTACTTGAATGGGCCCATGTGGTTTCATACAGCTTATGTGACGAATTGCATGCTAAGGGCTATTTGCATATACATTGTTTCGCTTCTTAACTTGGATGTTGCTTCCTCAAAATCCTCGTGTGAAGAAAAATTTTCATTCCGCTCTCCACCCCTTGCTTTGCCTTTCTTTTCACCACAAAACTACCAACATCTAATACCCACCGGTCACCAGCTACGCATTGTCAACCTAAGCCTTTTGATCCTATCTGATGCCCTCTTTGCCAGATATCGACTCTCCTCACACTGCTTTCCGTCGGACAGAGAAACATTTCAAATCCCGGGTTGTCAAATACGCCCTTCCTTCCCTTCGAACTCTTCCCGTGCTGGATCTGTCTCGTCCGGACGAACAGGAAGATGATGAAGTATGGAAGGCTGGCTGGTGGGGTCCCGGAGATGTCATTTCTTTGCAGAAATTGAGAAAGGGGAAAGAACGGGAGAGAGGGGAAAGACCGGATACAGATGTGGGTTTGTTGGAAAGTGTCAGGCAAATTAGATTGGAGGATGGGAAAATAGGATGGGTCATTGCTCCCGGTATGTCCTTCGTGTCTCCTGCTTCTTACGATATACTACCTCATCTCTCCTTTTCCCCATGCTTCTTCTCTTTGAGTCAAAAAGGAGGTGATTGAAATGAACGTGTTCTTTCTCGTAAGGAGGAGAAATACGGTGAATGACCAACCCAGTCCGGGGAGCTGTCAAACGACCCCAAGAGAGCAATGGTCACAGTCCGAGTACTCACAGGAGATGAGGTTTTATAATTGGCCACAAGTAAGAAATCAGCTGATTATATAATCAGGTTGTATCTTAATCCCTCAATACCTTTCCCCATCTCAACAACTTCAATTATCTCAATCAGCTCTTGAACAATACACTCTTCCTCCTAATCCATTATCTCTTTCTGCACACTATGTTCTTCCCCCAAACCTCTTCCATCTTCACTCAATTGATTCTCCTTTACTCATCGAACCGATCTATTCAACATTATCCGAAGAAGAAAAAGAAAGAGCTTTGATAGCTCAAGAAAGAGCAGGAGGAAATAGGACAATGGTGGATACGAGGCCTGAGGTTGTGGTGGATTTTGAAGATGTTTTAGAAGGGAATAGGATAAATGAAGGGATTATACCTAGTTCTAAAGCTGGTTTGAGGACTGCTAAGGAGTTGATGAAGGAGTTGAGGTGGGCGAATTTAGGTTGGGTTTATCAGGTGAATCCTTGCTTCCCTTTGACTTCTGTCCCTCTCCCTTGCCCCTTCTCCCTCCCTACTCCAGCTAACTCAAACACTCTCTTCTATCCTCTCTTTCTCCATTTTCGCTAAGAGAAGCCATATGTACCATACGTACCATACGTACTTTGATAGACAAAGACAGGTCGGCTTCTTTTGTAGGACAGTCATACAAATTTTGAACCAGCAAAAGTCCAACATTGCTACTCGTTTTCAGATATTTGGTAAAGATCGATGGAAGGTGTAGACGCTGATCTCAGTGGTCCACTAAATCATACGATTTCACAAACCCCGAACCTATTCCATTCCCTACCCCTCTAGCTCAACTATGTACGAACATAGTCAAATCTATCCCTTGGTCAGAAGTATACCAAGATTCTAAAGATATCTCTTGGAAAAGTTGGAAAGAAGATTATGTACCAGATACTGGTATCGTCAATTTTTATCAATTGAAAGATACTTTGATGGGACATGTTGATCGTGCCGAGTGAGTTCTGGTCTTTTTTTTTACAATCGTCTTTACCATCATTCTCTCACCTCTTTCATTTACTCTTCTCCGCCTTTTCATCGCCTGCTCACTTACATCCTTCTCACACCATCCTTTTCCCGTTCACCGTCTTCCTTCTCGTCTTTCTCCTTCTCGTCTTTCTTTTTATCGTCTTTTTTTTTATCGTGATTCAATTCTCCTCTCATCACCTCCTACTCTCTCTCTCTACCATCTATCCTTAGACTATTTTTGCCTCCATATATGCCGTATCCTAAAAATATCGAGAATGTATATAAAGTGAGAGGTTGAAAAATGATTTTGACTCCAGACTGGACCCAAGTCGTCCACTTGTATCTATCTCTCTTGGACATTCAACCATCTTCTTACTCGGTTCTTCAACCCGAAACGATCAACCCATTCCTCTCATACTCCGTTCAGGTGATATTCTCATCATGTCCGGTCCTGGTCGAAAAGCTTATCATGGAGTACCTAGGATTATGGAAGGTACTCTTCCATCTTATTTTACCCCTTCGTCGGATGATTCATTAAGTATGAAAACTACCAAAGAATTTTTACAAACTGCAAGGATCAACATAAATGCTAGACAAGTGTTTCCACCTGGATTCGTACGACCTAATCCTACTCCTTCTCCTGTTGTGCATTCCGAGTCGATATCTACTTCTTCAACTTTAACTCCCACTAGTAGTGTTAGTATCGATGATATGATAACACGATGCATGAATGTTTCTTCGTACTGGTCGTGATCGTCAAACTCTATCAATGCCACAATAATGATGATTGTCATACTCTACATATGGTCGTGATTGTCAAACTCTACGACTGAGACTAGTTGGGATCGCATGAAGAATGCCAACATACCCATCTCCCATCTTCCCTCTTTTCTCGTGATCTCTCTTCCCTCATCGCCATTTGGTCAACATCCTCTTTAGCGTGATCTGTATAGGGATGAGAGACCGATTCGTCCATCTCTATGTCATGTGGTATGTCAATTTGTAAAGTTTTATCAAAACGAGATTTTTTCTTTGGAAGTAGATAACCCGTGCGTTGAAAAGGAAGACCATCAGGAGGTCTGAAGGTTTTTTTACAGTAATAACAAGTTTGTTTAAGAATATGAGGGACGGAAGGTATTCTCCACTGATTATCAGTTTGATCATTTTATTGTTGATAATCGTCACGATGAGAATTTCTGTCAGAGTGGTGATCAAGAGGGTGGAAAGATGTTTTGAATCAAGAGGGTGGAAGGGTGTTTGGAGCAAGAGAGAAGATAGAAACTTTGTATCAAGACAGAAGATAGAAACTTGGGTCAAGACAGAAGATAGATACTTTGGTCAAGGTAATGGGAAGAAAAGAGAAGGAAGAGAGAAAAAGAACTTACGAGTAGTTCTGGTAGAGTCAGATGAAGGTTGGTGAGATGATGACTGAGAGTTGCGTGGGGTGCGGAGGTAGGTGTTGTATGTATAGCTGGAATCTAACGTTTCAGTCACACGATCTATCATGCCACTTCAATGTATGTGTGTCATATGTCATCACAGCCACTAAGAACGACGTGTTTCAGATGAAGATAACTTCCACATTCCAAGCGTGACAAAACAAAGAAGTAAAAAAACCTTGGAGAAAGAGTTTATATAAGCCCCGTGTCGAAGATGAAGAGGGTTTAGGTATGAGATAAATCCCCACAACTCACATGATCAGACAAAGGATATAAAGTAAATCTCTCCACTCTAACATCCAACGCATAACCTTTTCCCCATAAACAAATCCAAGCGTGACCCATAGGATAATCCACCCGAATGGCCTTTAGAGATTTCTTATATGTGGCATGACATCCTTCGTACAGATCGTTAAAGACCCCTATGCAATCATCGATGGATTGTTCCCTTGCTAGTGGGTGCGATGAGGGTAGTTTAGGTCGAGAGTCAGGACGAGAAGAAGGGGTGATAGTTGGTGGTCGGACGGTTTGAGGTGATGGAATGGGTGGAAGGGGGGTTAGAGTATTGGGAGATGTTGATGGTAAGTCTAACCGTCAATCATCACTGGATTTATTCTCTCTTCGACCAGGAAGATAAAGATGTTTACTGGATTGGGTTTGAGTGGATTAGATGTGAGAATGACAGTGGAGTCAGTAGTGCTTTGAGGGCTTACCGATCTGGTCGGAAAGAAGTGCTCGTCTGAAAGCACTTTGATGTTCAAATGCCAATCGACTTTCTTGTGCCACCAGATGAGGTGAAGCTGTGAGAAGTTGAGAAGGATGAGGTAGAGCAGGTAATTGTGTGAGATGTTGCATGTTTTCCATATCTTTTGTCGGACCAGTCGTGACCAATGACACTCTGCCGACACTTGTGCTTGAATATTATAAGAAGTTAGAATTGTGATGTATGGTAGATCGGGTAGGACCGAGAAGAGCAAGTTAGATTGTTCCGGACAATCAACTCCGGACAGGGCAACAAAAACTACTCTCGTTTATCAGAAAAAAGACGACCTCCCTTTCCTCCACATCAACCCCGAGTTCAGAGTTCAAACCCACACTTACTCTCCTTAGAACCTTCTCAGTCCACCACCCCAGCAGGTATAGACTTTGTTTCTTTGACATAATTCAAAGATCCGGAGAGTGTAAAGTGACGACGTAATCAGTAGTCGATCAAGAAGCTCAACAACACGACACGATGTCCACCGCCTCGGCCACTGATGTCGATATTGGCGCAAGGGTAAAATCTACCATTCGAACTACTGCCGATACTTTATACACTTCTGTCAAACCTGCAGAGAATGAGTTGGCTAGGTGGAGAAGAACTTTCGAGGGTTGTGCAAAGGAAGAGGTAGAGGGAAAAAAGTGAGTCAAACTACATTATATCCTTGTAATCCCCACTTACCTTCTTTGTACATTAACAGAATCGCTGGTCTCGTTGGCGTCAGTGAACATCAAGATGACAAGTTCACATTGTATGGTAACACCTTTAATCTGACTGATGATTTTATGGAGAAAAATCAACTTGCGTGTAGTGCTTATACTCAAGATACCTCAACCCCACCCAATTCATCGATGCCATAGCGCCCACAGACGAGGGTTTTAATCGTATCAAAAGAGAACAATATGCCGTTTGTGAGTAATCCTCATACTCCTCACATATATCTGAAAGACTCTACCTATGCTGATCCAAAGTATTTCGCGTAGCAGATGTATCAAAAAGAGGGTTGGTATCCTTTGAAGATTTTGTGGTTTTCGAGACACGTAAGTGACCTTTCGTTCGTGTTCAACAGAACTAATGGCCAGTGTTGAAAAGGGTACCTACACATTTGCTTAATGGAAAAGACGTGTTGCTGATATATAGCCTGATGCAGATTATCAATTAGCCTTCTCGGTCTTTGACGTGTACGTTTTTCAGGATGATGAAGTTGAATGTGCTAACAAAAAGAGACGCATCAGGTTCAATAGATTTTGACGAGTTTAAAAATGTTCTTCAGGCAAATCTGGCAACTTCGGGTATACGTTCGTCCCCTCAAATTCGATGTGAAAGGGTGAATAGCTGAGAAATAGCCTTTGATTTCGATTGCGATTGGATGAAATTATATCTTGGCAAACGTGGAGGAAGACATGTCGTGGCTTGTGAGTTATTCTTTGAAACCCTCATTTTTGTATGGTTCCTGGGTATGGCGAAACCTTTTAATTATACTCCTCAGGAGCTGGTGGAAGGGGGTAGAACTAAAGGTTGTGCGCAAAGAAGTGATGGGACTTTTAAGGTGGAATGCTAATTCGCAGACCAAGAGTTTACTCAACTCATGAAAGGCTTTCAGGGTGAACGTCTCCGACAAGCATTCCATTATTTCGACAAGGATGACGATGGCTACATTGCTCCAGATGAATTCCAGAGGATCATCATTGTGAGTCATTCACCATTCTTGGCAGCTTTAGCTGTGCAATATTGACAGAGAAGGAAGTGGCAGGACACAAGCTATCCGACTCGGTCTTGGAACGTCTACCAACATTATGTTTGATGAACCAAGGAAGGAAAATCAGCTATTCTGAAGTATTCGCATTTCACAATAGTATGTCATCTCAACTCTTCCTGCACAGTCACATTCCACCTGCTCAAATTGTCACACTACAATGCCCAGGAAACTGTTCCTTGGACCCCATCATGTCCTACGCCATCAACGGAAGTCTTCGCCGGGGCGATAGAGCGATTGTTCACGCCAATATCTGTGTGTAGAGTTGAGACTGACTACCAGTCATCCGTGAAATGGACGCAGTCGAACGTGTCATCCAACATGCCATCCGTAAATCAAAAGACGGTCGTATTTCCGTATCAGACTTCCTCGACCAAGCTGCCAATACCATGCGATATGGTATTTTCACTCCTTTAGAAGTAAACATCATCTGGCATTTCGCTTCACGAGGAGCTGCGACCGGTTCATCCGATCAACGTCTCACTCTTGCCGATTTCGAAGCTCTTCTGGATGCGAAATGGCAACCTCCCGCATTGACCTCAACTCCCGAGACGAGTAAATCGGAACATTTCATTCATGATGTTTTAGAACCTATTTACGATTTCGCACAAGGTGGTGTTGCTGGTGGTTTGGGTGCATATGCTGTATATCCCATCGATTTGGTTAAAACGAGATTACAAAACCAACGGTCGACGGTAGTGGGTGAGGTTTTATATAGAAACGCATTTGATTGTGTGAAAAAGGTCTATACGAATGAAGGTGGGGTTAGGGCTTTTTATAGAGGTGTCATGCCACAGTTAGTTGGTGTCGCTCCGGAGAAGGCTATCAAGATTACAAGTGAGTTTCTTGCATCACTTCATTCCACTGCTCTTGTATTGATGACACTGCCACCTGTGTTCATCATCAACCCCCTGCAAATCGATCTTGGCAGATATCAGTTCAAGAGTATATGAGGATTGACAACTAGTGAACAACATCGTACGACAAAGAGCTACTGATCCCGAGACGGGTGCCATTTCCTTACCTTGGGAAATTATGGCGGGTGGTACAGCCGGTGCTTGTCAAGTGGTACGTGGAACATGATAGAGGCTATCCTTCGTTTCTCACTCCTTCCCCCTACTCCTACTTCCATCGCGATACACACACCATCACGTCATCCTTTTCCTATCTCATCTGACAGATCGATGTCACTCTATCACCAACGGTTTTTGCAACACTTCCATGTCAAGTCAGACTAGCCAGATTCAAGCTCACACACAGGTCGTCACCAATCCCCTCGAAATCGTAAAGATCAGACTACAAATGGCAGGTGAAATCACTCGTGCAGAAGGTAGCGGTGCCGTTCCTAGAGGTGCTGTTCATGTTATCAGACAATTAGGTCTTGTGGGTTTGTACAAAGGTGCTACTGCTTGTTTATGTCGGTCAGTACGAATTATCACTCTGGAAGGTGTCACGCTGACTGAATAGAGACGTTCCATTTGTTCGTCCTTTTCATTATCATCACAAACTGAAAGCTGATTGATAGTCCATGATTTACTTTACTGCCTATGCGCATTTGAAAGTGAGATTTCTTATTCCTCCTCCATCGTTTCTTGAGAACCGTCCCTCACATGAAATTTCCAAGGCTGAGATATTCTCCATGACTCATTTCTATCCGTCCCCTCTATCCTCTTCATCTGGTCTCATGGTCAATACAAAAGCTACTCTGATGACCGGCCCATCAGCCGGCGTTAACGGACTCCCTCGAGGGTAGTGAGGAAAGGTCATGTCCGCGACAAATGCTTACGTAGTAGAAAGACGTATTTCACGAAGGTAGACGAGGAAAAGTACTTTCTTTCGGTGAACTTCTCATTTCAGCAGGAGTAGCAGGAATGCCAGCTGCATACTTTACCACTCCCGCCGATGTGGTGAAGACGAGGTTACAATCACAAGCTCGAGCGGGTCAGACTGTATATAAAGGTGTGGTAGATGGTTTCAGTAAGATTTTGACTGAAGAAGGGCCAAAGGGTGAGTAATAGGATATCCCTCATCTTTCCATATCTCCCCTGTATGCTATGTTCTCTATTTTCTCGCATATGTCCTATCCTTGAAGAAGAGGAGGAAAGAAGCGGGGCACAGATCGGGTCATGAAATGGAGAGTAGGATTAGGGGATTGAGGTATAGGCTGATGATGATAGCTTTGTTCAAAGGTGGGATCGCTAGGATTATTCGTTCTTCACCACAATTTTCAGTAACTTTAACTGCGTTTGAGCTCTTGGTGAGTTTATCTTTCCTCTTCATCACGTAAGATCTCTTTTCATCTCATAACCTTTTCATCCTTCAGTCCTCTTGTTAGCATTCTTCATTTCCTTGCTATTCCCCGGAACTCGAGCCATCGATATTGTTCCTTCTTTCAAACTCAATCCTGACCTCCTTCAAGATACATCTACCTCACTCCTGATCCATATCTATGACTCCTTTCCTTGGACTAACCCCCTTCCTTGGACTAACCAATGGAAAGAAGGATAGAGATTGTATGATGAAAAAGGGTGGATATCGCACTGTGAAGCGAAGTATACAACCCTTGTGTCAGCGTCGTAGAGATCAAGTGTCAGAAATGCAGTGATTGACGTTCAGAACAAATACTTTCCATATCCATTCGCGAACCAACCTGTCCCCACACGTCCTACACGTCAACCCACAGATATTTCTCGTATTCGCGCTCGGAACGCTCTCCGTATCCTACTCGATTGCAGTAGCGGTTTCGGTATGGTTGATCAGAAAGCTGCTGCTAAAGGGGTTCAGCAGTATTTACCTAAAAGTCTTGGAATGTGATCAAGTACCAGGGTGGGGGTGATAGATATATATATGGAAAACCCTTATGGCTTATCATTGCATGCAAACACTTGGTCAATGAATCACTTTGTCACATGTTACATGTTACATGGATGTTTATTGCCTAATTTGAAATGCACTCATACTCATACTCATACTCATACTCATACTCATACTCATACTCATACTCATACTCATACTCATACTCATACTCATACTCATACTCATACTCATACTCATACTCTACTCTAGCATGTAGCATCAAATGTTCATAACTGACATGCATCCCTCTTGTACAGTACGTGGTTAGGCTTTGGTACGTGTGAGACGTTACATATGAAAACTGACCCCTAATTGACTTTGCTTCCGAAGAGAGGACCACTTGATGCAAAGTTGCAAATTCAACAGAAATGTATACATTTCACCAAGAGCATTTCAACCTGTATACACTATAGAACCATGAATTAGACATTGTTTATGATATTTCCCTTGATCCTTGAACACACGTCGCAGATACACAAGATTAAATCACAATCCCTCCACAACTTTCCAACTAACATTGATCACTCACAGCTGAGGTGCTGTCGATTCAGAAGTAAGAGGAGCGTTCGTAGCGTCCGAACTTGTTCCAACAGTCGACACCGGTTCTTCGTGTCTTGTCTTCCTACCAAACAACCCTCTCTTTCCCGTCCCTGTTGCGGTCGTCCCAGTCGTTGCAGGACCTGCTGACCTTCCGAATCCTACTCCAGCACCTGTTCCCGTCCCCGCTCCTACTCCATTATCATGTCCAACCCCACCCATTCCGGTATGATGTCCAACCCCGCCTACCCCAGTCCCAGGTCCAACTCCGCCTGCACCAGTCCCATGTCCAACTCCACCTACACCAGTCCCATACTTCTCCCTATCTCCCACAAACGTAGCACCCGAAGACCATTTCCCACTTTGCAATTGCAAAAGTGATAAATCCAACTTGGACAACATTCCCAAATGAAGGAAGATGAAAACTGGTTTAGCGAGTAAATCGAGTATACCATAAAATACCATTTCACCATTTGGTGAAATTACATTACCACCATCTGCCAATCCCCAAGCTATAGGATAGAGTAACCAAAGGAACGAAAGTAATATTGCCGAAGTGGTGAAAGTTCTCCCGTATGCTGGACCGAGAAGTCTTGCTGATACTCTTGCAGGACCGACGAGAACGTACCAGATATATACTAAAGCAACCATTCCAAATAAAAAGAAGCCCCATTTATAAGAAGAGGCAGTGAGAGAACCGATGAGTCCAGTGACGATCATGACCAAGTCGAAGAAGACGAGAGCGAAAATGTCGGAAAGTGGAAGACCGGAAGCGAGTACGAGAGTGAGTAAAAGACATGGAGTGGTGATTACCCAATCAATGTATCGTGCATACCAGACTTGTCGAGAGACGCCTTGTGGATAATTACTGTAATGGCTGAATTCGGTGCCGACCGGTGTGGCACCGAGATCAGAGGCCATGGCAAAATAGGCTATGGCAGCGGTGGTGAGGATGAACATGGATAGATGATGGAAGACTCTTTGACCTCGAGGAATGGTTAGATGATGGAAGAAGACGATAAGATCGGCCAAAAGCATGAGGGCGAAGACTGCCCATAGCCTGGGAGTTAGCTAGTTCCCTCCACTCTTCCTTCTTCGACGGTCTTTCTGGAGATGGTTCTTTTTACATTCTAGCCGCACAAACTTGAATGGGAAGGGCATGAAAGGGGGAGGGGGGGGGATCGAGACGAAAGAGACGGGGAATAGAAATGAAAGGGCAAAGAGGATTTGTAGGTGACTCACCAATCAGAACCATGAGTGGTGATGTGTATAAGAGCGTTGGGAGGGTTTGAGGTCAAAGCGTGGTTTGCCATTTCTAAAAGTTGTTACCGTCAAACGTCAAAAGAAGAGGGGCAAGGGTCTGGAAGAGCAGATTATAGGTGGCGAGTAAGAAGGATACTTGTGTGTTGCAGTATCGCTGGTAGATGCCATCCCAACCCATGACGGTGCACGTCGTACGCCCTTATTCTTTGCCCTTCCCCACGGCCCACGGCCCACGGCATCGTGCCATCATAGAGTATAGTATATAAACACGTCATGAGTGGGGGAATACACGTCAAACACCGATCTTCGTAGATTGGCACTACCGCCTGGATCAAAATGTCTCGCAAGCGAAGTGTAAGCCCATGTGGTCCATGGTCCAGGCTCGATCAACTGAAGCGAGATGTCAGTACCGTGGGCGACGATCGGGGACCGTGCGACCTTGAGATTTATTCGTGTCATGCCGAAGGGAAGGTTACGTACTTCGCGGCCAGGCCGTCACGTGAGAGTAAGCGGCATCTTGAGATGTCGGGTTTACCGCCTGAAGCGCTATCGACTAAAGCTAAGTCAGAAGAGCTGTCCAAGATGGTGAGACCGCATTGTCAGACGGCAAGGCAATTGTGAGTGTCAGGATCCAAGATTTTTGATGTGCATCGGAAATTGTCCAAATTCTCATACAACCCTCGCACATACCGGAAATAGATTATACACTTAATCGCCAGGAATAGGCGGGACGAACCCATCCACCGGTATTCTCCCGTCCGCCGCGGTAGATGGTATTGCTGGCGTTCCCGTTGACGTAAGTCCATCGGCAGGTAAACCCAACATGAACCCGAGATCTAGGCCTGAGCCGTCAAACTGGAGGAAAGCTTCGAGATCAAAATCTCCCCCTGCACCATCGGACGAGGCGAATGGTATGCCTAGGTTATCTTGAGGACCGAGGTGTCTGACCGTCAGTAAGGTCCGCGGATGGGAAGAGAGACTCACTCTTCCAACATTCCTTCCCGAGGGGGAATGTCGACATTGCCCACTCTACACAGATCTCTACAAACTTGGGATAGATAGGTAGAGATCTTCGTCTCGGACAGATCGGTGTCTTCAAGAAGAACAATTGCCATTCGGAGATAGTGAGCAAGTACCGCACGATCAACCGGGATTTGATCACGAGCTATGTGAAGTCGGATGAGGAAGACAGCTGCTTGACCCAGTGTTATGGTGATATACTGCGATGGTCAGCCTGTTTACCATCTACCGTTCTTCGTGTCAGGTAATCGAGGTGGGGCGTATCTGAGTAGTAGCTGAGATATAAATGATGGATGTGTTGCAGGGGAGTCTGGACGCTTGAAGTAAACGTGTAACTCACATCCACTGAATAGCTCAAGATCATATCCGAATTAGACACGTCAAAGTGAGTTTGAATCGTATTGAGCGCCGCCTCAGTGGCCTGCTTGATGCAATTCTGCATCAACATCGCGTCGTCACCAGTCACATTCTCTTGTAGTCCTGGTTTGAGTGCTAGAGAGTTGAGACATAATCGAACGTGTTCGCTTTGTAATTTGGCCAGGCGAGAACAGGGACCTAGTTGAAGGGCGTGAAAGGAGCCTTCATGTCAATCGTCGCTCTCCTATCACAAAATAGATGCAATATGCAGTGTCGGACGAGGACTCACCATTCCACACCCACATGTTTGTCCAATCGTCCAACCGTTTGTTGAGAACACGCAACATGCTGCAAATGGAAAAGTCTTCTCCGTCACGTATCAAAGGTCCACGTAAACCTTCCGCATGCCAATCGGTCAACATCTGCAACCAGCTGATGAGGTCCCTCCCGATCTTGGTGAGTTGTACCAAACTGGCAATGTACACATCGTGCGCCAATTCAGGGGAATGCGGTCGACTTTGTAATGCTTGAAGATAGGCATGCTCGTTGACTGCATCGAGTTGAGTTGTTTGAGGTCTACCAAAACCAAGACTCAAAAAACCGTCAAAACTGTTCATAAGCGTGTGAAAAAAAAAAACAATGAGAATTATGACTCACTGATACCAGCACAACCAGGTTTTCCATTGGGTCAACAATTTATCCCTCGCCTCATCGTCAAGTCCTTCGAAACTGACCGAGGGATTGTTGCCCACTCGATGTAGACCCAGTCGATGGGCCAGTCGGAGGGCGTGCCCAGTCAATAACCAAGGATCTGGCCCTCGACCGCCAGCGTGAAGTCCCCATCCGGCGAGAAGGATAGTGGCTTGTACGTCGAGAAGTTGGTGTTGTTTCCTGAACAGACTGGCTGCGAGGTGAGAGTAGGCTAATCTGGCCATGACGTGCGGAGCTTCGGCATCCAGAGGAGGTAAGTGGTGAGAAGGAAATCTCTCCCGATGAGGTCGATAGAAGCGAGCGGCGATGGCCAGAATGGTTGTAAGGAGGAAAGAGCATCGCCTTCGAATTTCGAGAAAGCGGGGAAGATTAGACCTGGAAAAATGTACGACAGGGAGGTATTGATGACATTTATCGAAAAAGCTAACTGTCAGCTTATTGGAATATGGGTAATAGCAGGGACTTACAAGTTGAACAACACCTCTGCTATCCCCAGATCAATAACATTGGTGGTGATAGGATCATCTTTCGGACCTGCCCTAGCCTCAAAGACCATCCAACCCTCATCTCGACTGGGTGGACCACCAGGTATTGGAGAAGCTCGCCGACTTTGTTCTCTGTTATCCCACTGGGCAGGTTGATACGTTAACGCTTGGAATGGGGCGGCAAATCCTTGTCCCACTTGTGAAGCAATACCTAATCTACTCTCCGGCGTATCTTTTCGCCCACCAGATGAAGCAGATACTGCTGCTGTAGCCGAGTCGGTTGGGGACGGTCCAAATTGAACCATTCTAGTAGGATGACCATCACTATGTGAAGTATTGCTATTCTGGGCAAAAGGCGAATGAAAAGGATCTGGAAAAGATTGAGAGTACATGGAGTCGTCATTGGATAGAGTACTTGCCGACAGAGGGGGGTGGGGAGGGAGAGGAGGAGGAGGCGGCGGTGGTGCTGATACTGGTGCTGGTGGGAGGATCATAGGTACATCAGGTTGTGATCCATGTCCCATTGCATTTATCATCTGAGCGGCATCGGGTGTAATGTGAGAAAGACTATTGACGAGATTCGCAACGGCTTTTTCGAGTTGTGCTAATCGGATACTGGGGTCGAGTCCAGCAGGCTGATCTTCACCTTCATGAAATCTTGGACCAAAATCGCATTTCGATTTTGACCTTTGACATCTGATACAAGGACAACCTCCAACGCATCGAAGTTTCTTGCTCCTACATCTCTCACAGGCTTGAGGAGCTCTCTGAGGTTTTTGATCATCGAGCTGACTGTCCCTCCGTCGAGAAGAAGATTGAGAGCCATTGGTATTATTGTTGGTGGTGGAGTGGGAGGAAGAAGATAAAACGGAAGGGGGCATGGATCTAATTGAAGAGGTAGGGACCGAGTTGATTTTGGAAAGAATTCTAGGTTGTACCGTGTCCTGGTCCGAGTCGGTGGATCCCGACACCGGAGTGGGTGGTCTCATAGGTAAAGCTGGGGGTAAAACTAGCAAATTACCAGGGAAGGAGTGAGCATGTCAGCGGCAGCATGGCAGCATGAGCAACTAGCAACAGCCACCGAGTTACCCGGTTATTGGCGGTGTGATACATCCCTTTATTAATGCCCTCCGGTTTGTGGTCAATGGAATGACTGAGTCGTACTACTACTGTAGCTGCTCGTAGCCCACTCTGTCTTTGCTGTCTGGAACAACATGTTCTCTGTCTCACTACCTGACTTTTTATCCCCATTGCCAAGGTTTGGTCGAGAGTCGTCTCCCTTATACATAGATGGCCTTGATCCTACCTTGAAGGACCGAAGGGTTGGGTTGGGTTGGAGTTACGGCTTTTGTCTCAAGTCACGGGTCGATGTCCGCCTGGCAACGGGAACCCGTGGCCCGTGGCCCGTGGCGGTCTGCCGGATGAGGTTCGGGTAGCCCGATATTGCCGGACCGGTCAACCATTTCCTTAACCCTTCTCATAACCTCTCAAAAGATGGCCAAGCAAAAGCATATCCTTCTCCGAGCACTTCATACCATAGCTTTCTAAATCATAGCATCATCGTATTAGCTTCCAAACATGGTCAGTCTCCAGCTTTGAGTAGTATTGTTGAAGATGCTGATATGTCCAGTCCGACATTATCATCACCGGTTATAAAGTCCGCGATTTGCGGTTCCCCACTTCCCTCGACCAAATTGGGACTGATCCCATGAATCTGGCAGGTGAAAATGCTCTTGGTGTTGTAATCTTCTCGTGAGTCCATTCTATCTCTTTTGTCATCTCACAGCGCTGATTAGTCTAGTACCAACAAGGGTTTAGTCGGTAGTGGTTTCTCCTTCTCCAATGGTCAAGGTAACGAGTAAGTCATTTCACAACCTTCTTTGCGATATTTTTTTCGGAAAGATGACTTATGAACAGAGTTCTGTGTGCCGGTATCAACGCTCTCGCACCTCGATATGTTGGTCGTACACTTTCCTCTTTGACCGAAAACATGGCTGTCACTCAACGTGAGATAGTATCTGGACAAATTCGATTCATGTCTCCCGAACGTGGTGTCATGCAACTTGCCTGCAATGCCATCCTCAATGCTTTATGGGATTTGTGGGCAAAATCTGAGGGTAAACCTCTTTGGCGTTTGGTGGTCGATTTCACCCCAGAGGAATTCGTCAGATGTATCGATTTCCGTTATCTCAGCGATGTTATCACTCCTGAATCCGCTATCGAACTTCTCAAATCTATGGAGCCCGGAAAGAAAGAACGTTTGGAGAAAGCACTCAAGAATCAGGCTGTACCGGGGTATAACACCTCTGTTGGCTGGTTAGGGTTCTCAGATGAAGAAGTAGAAGCCAAATTGCGTCAAGCTTTGGATGCCGGTTTCAAACATTTCAAACTCAAGGTCGGTTTGGGTCTCGAATCCGATCGTAGGAGGTTGGGAATGATCAGAAAAGTCGCAGGTGACAAGGCGATTTTGATGACCGATGTCAATCAACTTTGGGATGTGGATCAAGCTATCGAGTATATGCCACATTTGGCGGATCTCGGACTTTGGTGAGTTCTTCTCCCGTCCCCTTCTGTCTATATTAGTACTCGTACCTTGTTGGTCAAGTAAGAGATTATAATGAGAGATGTAAGTGCTGACAAAAAAAGGTTCATCGAAGAACCAACTTCTCCCGATGATATTCTCGGTCACGCCAAAATCCGCAAGGCACTCAAGCCATACGGAATTGGAGTAGCTACCGGTGAACATGTGAACAACCGTGTCATGTTCAAACAACTTCTCCAGGCCGAGGCTCTCGATGCTGTACAACTTGACGCTATGCGTTTGTGTGGTATCAACGAGATCCTCGCTGTCCTTCTCATGTCGGCCAAATATGGTATTCCCGTCATTCCCCACTCTGGGTGAGTGATTATACATTCGTGCTTCCCAAATCGTCCCCCAACTCTATCACTCCCAATCAAATTTCCCCTCTTCTTCCTCTCCACCACATTCACGTCCAGCCACTTCTCTCCCTTAATACTTGCGTGACTATAAAATATTAATTCCCTTTGTGATAATAGAAGAAAGAAACAGAGGAGCGAGAGGAAGAAAAGGATGCTGACGACTTAGTGGAGCCGGTATGACCGAACTCTGCGCTCACGTCTCCACCCTAGACTTCGTTTCCATCTCTGGTAAAGCTTTGCTCGAATACGTGGACCATTTACACGAGAAATTCGAACAACCAGCTTCTATGACCCCAGAAGGTTTCTATACTTCTCCTACCATTCCTGGTTACTCGGGAGATATCAAAGAAGAAGCCTTTACGGAATTCGAATATCCCAACGGATCGTTCTGGAAGACGGAACAGGGGTTGAAGATGGTTAATGATAAGTGGAGGGGTGTTCTCGGTCGTCAAACCAGCTAGGTGTTTGTGTGCAAATTGGCAAGAAGTATCTAGGATGTATGCATGGAGAATGTTCAGATTAATATCTGACTTGAGTACTCGTACTCGTAGAAACGAGTCAAGCGGATTCGCCAACGAAAGAGGGGAATTATCCTTCTGGACAATCCTCTCTTATCAGATAACGTTAGTGATGGCAACCCATACTCCCATCTTGATCATCTGATGAGAACAGATGGAAATGATTCGATTAGGGTCATACAGATGAAGCCATAGATATCACTCATTCATCGCATAAGACTATCAAAAGTCAGAAAAGAAACTAGTACAACTGTTCGCTCTCTAAGGCATTCCAACACGCCAATCGGCACCTTCACCATTGAGACCATACTTTGTGCTTGACATATCCTTGACGGTAGTCCTACGCATATCACGTTTGTATTTTCCTACGAAGGGACCACCAGTAGCACGATGCATGACTGAGGTGCTGTTTTGATCAGCTTTTATTCATTCTTCTCTCCCTCCTCCCTCCATCTCTCATTCTTTCTCACTCGCTTTCATACTGTCTCGCTTGCTCTCACGCTGTCTCACTCCCTTCATCATAAGTCAAAAGATAGGAAAGTCTCAACATCGAGATGACTATGGATAGATTTTAAAAAAACTCACTTGTCCCAAATGATCAAATCACCAGGTTCTTCCCAATCGATCATAAGTCTGTATTTGGGATTATAAACATGTTCACGAAGTTCTTTGATAATAGCATCACTTTCTTCACGAGGGATATCATCAAGATGATGAACGTAAGAAGCGAAATAAAGATTTTTACGTCCACTGGATTCATGAACCTGAACGAGTTTATGTTTACTCATTGGAAGTTTCTCAACATCCATGTCTTTGAAATATTCGGGCATGGCGGTTTTACGAGAGTGAAAGAGAGAATGATTGGCGATGAGATCTTCGATTTTTTCTTTCATCTCTGGAGAAAGATCGTCGTAAGCGGTACGAGAATCGGAAAATTCCGTAGCACCTCCGAGTTCTTTAGGAGGGATTTCCCATGCGAGTAGAAGAGAATGACCAGCACGACGAGCGTTGAAAGAAGAATCGACGTGGAAAAGTTCATTACCCTTATTACCGATGACGGTAGCGTCGGTCAAAGGTGCAACATCTCCTGTGCGTCTGAATTGTCAGTCTCTCCACCTAGTATATCATGTCATAACTCCCCCCCCCCCCCCCCCCTCTTCCCCTTACCCTTAAACCATGGGGAATGCCTCACAACAGACTCAAACTTCCCTACGTGTCCGGAGGATGGGTAGGAGAAGAATTGAAGATTAAAAGTGAGGGGAGCGGGAAGTGGACACAACTCACGGGTCAATGTTACCAGCATCAAATAATTCGAGATATTTAAGACGATGTGTACGTCCAGCTTGTTGGTAAGGCGTCACATCATCAAGATCCCCAAAATATTTGGAAAATTCAATATGAGCCTCATCGGTCAAACCTGTTTTACGAACTACCAAAACACCGTACTATATTATCAACACCTCTCCTTCAACAAGTCTTTCATCAACATCTAAACTCACCTTGTCAATGGCTTTACGGATCTCGGCGTATGTCTCAGGACTGATAGGTTTGGTAAAGTCTACACCGGACAACTCGGCACCAAAGGTAGGGTGAAGGGGTTTGACCTCTACGGTATTTTGAGTGGCGTTGACCATGGTTGAGCTGATTCAGTCAAAGAAGCGTGGGTTGTTCAGGAAAGATAGATCGAGAAGTTGTGGCAATGTCAATGTCGCAATGTCAGAATATCAATATGGAGCTCACGCTTTTGTGCCCCATGGATTCGTGGATTCATGACTGGTCGGGTAAGAAGTCGGTCCGAGGTTTGAGGAGGATTTATCGGCTTTTCCGGGTTAAATGGTTTGATTTCAACAGATTCCTGAAATAGTAAGACAGATTTGCAGAAACCTCCTCCTGCTCCTCCTGCGCCTCGGCGCGCGGCGCCGCGCAGCGCCCAAGCAATCAACGGTACATTAAGTAGTCTCATGCGTTGAAGAGACGACGATACGTGGGCTTATAGATGCAGTCATGTCTTCCAGCGGACGGTACAGACCAGTCTTCAACGAGACTTCTGTCAGTATGCTGCCCAGATCCGGGTGTGATGAGTGACGATGAAGACGATGAAGATTGAGTCACCGTGAGATTTCCACGCGTCGCGTGAGGGACGAAACTCCTGGAATTGCGGATGAAGTTTCAACGTTTGATCGGATCTTCACGGATCACGAGGCACGGGGTACCCCATTCCATTCCACGTGGATCGCCCTACAGTGTGGGGAACAGAAGAATTCGACACCTTGAGGCGTATGGTAGCCCACGTTGACAAGTTCCTTGCCATCTATGACCACCAGCAAGCTATTTCAAGTCAAGCAGCAAGCAGACCAGTGTCTCTGAAATGACTAAAAACCCCTCCAGATTGAAGCAGTCGAAAACCAGTGCGGGACGCCCCCTCAAGTGCCACATTCGATTCGCTCTGTGTGCTTCTCCACTTCGATCAAGCTCCGACCGAGAGTGAGTCATGATTTGCGTGCGGCCCCCAATCAGTCAATGTCAGTTTCTCCCACCCGGATTTCCCGAGCCTTCCGAAAGAGGCGGGAAACACCATCCGGGCATTCGGTGCCGAAACTATGAGGCCCCGCGCGCGCACGCGGGCCCCATCGGGGAATATCATGGGGTCCTTCAACGATCAGGGCGGGGTAAGTGGAATGACGAAAGGGCGTGGGGGGGAAAGGGAGCCAAGCCATGTCCGCGTCTTTGAACCTTCCTTCCTCGCGGCTCGCGCGCCGACATCTTTCTCAAGACAGTCAGCCATGCCCAAACGCCAGCCCGCCAACAAAACCTCCACTCAGTTTTTTTTTACACTCTTTCCGGCCCGATAATCACCTATAGGGGAACGAGAAAAGACAAAGGGGGGGGGGGGGGGGGATGAACGGTTCGTCAGCCTACATAACCGGTTCTGAACTCGTCCAAACGTTTTTCTTGTTTTTCATCCCCCTTTTCCTTGAATTGATATATCTTCAACAAGCCGACAAATCGGTGTTTATATCAACTCAAGATGCACTTTACCTTCGACAATATCCCTAGTGAGTATGATCAAAGGAATGTGTCGTAAGCAAGGTCGATCATGCTGATGTCGATCAGACAATACCAACCCGAAATGGTGGAAGGACCGTGGTCTACGATTGAACGTGCTTTACTGGTGTGTCACTTTTGTCACCTGGAACACGTTGCTCGGATACGTGCTGATTTTCAAAGTCTTGGTTGTTGTCTTTGTCCTTGGTATCTCGGATGTGAGTAACGAAATTTCTACTTAGTTTTCCTCATCTTGATCATCAACCTTTCTTTCCGTCTGTGATCACCCCCGTTCTCCTATCAGTTCTCTCTGTCAAACACCCGCTGACTTTTGCCAGATGACCAGTCTCTTCTCACCGGTCTCCAGGCCGTCCCTTCTTGGGGTGTCTACTTCAACCACCCGTCAGGAAACATGCTTGGTCTCATTACGGCTTCTATCTTCTTGCCCGCCATCATTTTCTGTTTCGTCGGTGGTTACCTCGGTAACTTGATCGGTCGTCGACCCACTATTCTCATCGGTAACGTCTTCATGGTCGCTGGAGCTCTTCTCAATGCTCTCGCAAAAAACAGAGGCCAATTCTCCGGTGGTCGTGTGCTTATCGGTATCGGTGGTTCAATGATCAAGGTCGTCGCTCCTGCTCTCAACCAGGAACTTGCCCACCCTCGTTTGCGACCTGTCTTGGGTGCCATGTAAGTGTTTTCCTTACCAAAGAACTCGGGCCATGCCTGATATATCAGGTACTACGGTTTCTACTACACCGGTAGTACTATGTCATCATGGCTGTGTGTCGCCGGTCTATACATCGACAGAGGTGGCGAGTGGGGTTGGCGTTTCCCTTGTCTTTTCCAGATCGTCGGACCTATCGTCATCGCTTCCATCACTCTTGCCTCACCTGAATCTCCTAGAGTGAGTGAACACAAGATATTTCAAGTACCAACGCTGACTTGTCCCTAGTACTACATTAAGAAAGGTAACCCCGAAAGAGCTCTTCAGGTTTTGGCTCGACTCCACGCCAACGGTGATATGGACGACGAACTTATCCACTACGAGGTCCGAGAAATCCGTACAGCTATCGACGCTGAGAACGAAGGCGCCAACACTTCTTACAAGGACTTCTTCCGCACTCCAGGTAACAGGAGACGTTTGATCTGTGCTATCACTCTCGGTCTCGGAACCAACTGGGTTGGTAATGGTCTGGTGTCTTAGTGAGTTTGATCCTCTCACATGAAGTGATCGAAGACTGACGACTTTCAGCTACCTCTCTCCCGTACTTAAATCCGTCGGTATCAAAAGTCCTCTCCAGATCACCTGTATCAACGCCGGTCTTGCCATGTGGAATTTGGTTCTTGCTTGGGGAGGTGCATGGGCCGTCGAACGATTTGGTCGTCGTCCATTATTCTTTATCTCCACTTGGGGAATGTTCTTCTCGTATGCTGTCGTCATGGGACTTTCTGCTGGGTTCGCACAGACTGCAAGTTCTAGGATGGGAACAGCTGTCATTCCATTCCTCTTCTTGTACGTTTACCTCTTATTTCCTCACTGAGCCACAAACTGATAAAGCAGCTTCTACGGTTTCTACGATATCGCATGGACTCCACTTCCTTACCACTACACTACAGAGATTATGCCTTATGGTCTTCGAACCAAGGGTCTTGCCATCTTCACAATGTTCAATCAATTGGGAAACGCCTTCAACCAATTCGCCAACCCAGTCGCACTCAAAGCTATTGCTTGGAAATACTACGCTGTCTATCTTGCCCTTCTCATCGTCTTCTTCGTCTTGGAATACCTCTTCTTCCCTGGTACGTGTCACATCTTCTCAGACCAGGGATGTATACTGATAAACCAGAGACCAAGGGCTTGTCACTCGAAGAAATCACTCAAGTCTTCGACTACGGTGTCAAAGGACGAAAAGCTGCCATCGAGGATGTCAAAGCTCACATTGTGGAAGAAAAGGGACACGACGCCGGTTCTCTCCGCAAAGAAGACATTCAGCATGTCGAGGAACGTCCCACCGTCTAAGGTGTTTTTCCATCTATCATGGCTTTTGCGTAAGTATAAGAAGAAGAAAAGATCTACGGGGTTTTATCACGCCAGGCATGGCGCGCGTCTTTTTGGGGGAAAGCATTATATCATGGAAGGAAATTATTACCAGGGGATTTGTACGAGTTATGTTTGTTTTGCATGCAAGGTTATTGCGTGCTTGTCTGTATGCTCTCCGTTGTAATCTAAACTAATGGAGATTTCACTTGCTCTTACTGCTCCACTCTGCTCATGTTGTCTGCTTCGAAGTCGAGTAGGGAAGAGAAGGAGGAAGGGAAAGTGCCACTTTCCACTCGCCACATCGGGGATCGGAGGTTGTTCCGACAGATCCGATATTTGCCTGGTATTAAGTTCGCTTGATGTTGCCAGTTGGCACGCATAAATGCATAATTGTATGAAGCGCCAATGTTGTAGCATGTAGCACTTCCATTGTGAACAGATACGTGTAAAGAGTAGAAGGAAGCACAGGTCTTGACGTTCCAATAGGATTGAACCATCAACGACTTTGTTCACAAAATCACACGCGTCCACATGTGCTTGTCCATGTCATCCTTGTACTCTCACTCACATATTGAACCAGACACCGGTTCTGCTGTATCGACCAGAGATGACACCACGACTTGACATTGGTGCATATGACGGTAGTATAGATAATGTCGAGCCTTTTGAGATAAATGTACCTACCCATCGTCGTGAATCAGGAAAGAGACGGGTAGAAGAGTTGAACGAGGATCTCGACCGGTTAGTTCGTCCATTTCTCCCTCACCCCGACAGACCTACACCCGTATAGCTTCATGCTCGCACGCCTGATCGCTAACAATTGGTTCACCAGAGGATGGTGAGTATGGTGAAATCAGAGCTGACTGAGATAGGGCAGGTCCGTCGGATGATTGGAGCTTGAAAGACTTTGATATTGGTCGTCCGTTGGGAAAAGGTGAGTTTCTCAGTTGTATGTGGGTCTCCCAGTCATCATTATCATCTTGATACCAACTGGCACATGGCACATCTTCTCACACAGGCGGTGCATCAGTTCCATTCGTCATATATGATTCATTATCTCCTACCGTTAAACACGTTTCTCTTCCATTGACAATTACCGTTCGTACTCTCACCAAATACGAATGATGACCAGATTTGAAGTAGTCGCTGAATATTCAGGACATTTTGGAAAAGTATACCTTGCAAGAGTACGAAAACCAGGGGCAGAATCATTTGTGCTCGTTTTGAAATGTCTTGCCAAGGACGAGGTAGCAAGCAAGGGCGTTCAAACGCAAGTGAGGAGGGAAATCGAGGTGAGTTTATCGTTTGAAATTCAGAGACGATACTGATATTAGGTCATGCAACAACTAAGGCATCCTAACATCATTCGACTTTACGGCTGGTTTCATGATTCACAGCGTATCTATCTCATGCTAGAATATGCCGGTCAGTCTGCTCCTTTTTTTCTTACCCAGTAACATGGCAGAACTGATCAAGCAGGACAAGGTGAATTGTTCAAACATCTTCGTAAAGCCGGTCGTTTCTCTGAATCACGATCAGCTCGAGTAAGTAACCTCATTCAGTACATCAAATCGTAATCATTGAAAATTAGTATATATCTCAAGTCTCAGATGGACTGGCATACCTTCATACAAAAAATATCATACACAGGGATATCAAACCAGAAAATTTACTCTTAGGTTCGTCATACCTGCCTACATTGAGGTTCTATAGTGCTAAGAGGTTCAAGCTGATAATCAGGGATGCAAGGGGAGGTGAAAGTTGGGGATTTTGGATGGAGTGTTTACGCCCCTTCAGAAGACAGGTTATTTTCTCTTCTGATGTCAGTATCAGTGCAATGTTCTGACGAACACAGTCAAAGGACTATAGCTGGTACTTTGTCTTATGTTGCACCTGAGATGATCCTCGGTCAGGCATATGGACGTGCAGTAGATATTTGGGTGCGTACGTCCATCCTAGACTATAGCAACACTGTTGATATCTTTAGGCGTTGGGTGTTCTCACATATGAACTTGTTTGTGGTGCAGAACCCTTCGGAGCGGATAATCCAAGAAGTATGTTCCCTTTTCCCCCGTTATTAACTGTGATATGGGGATCTTTGTTCATGGTGCAGCTGTTCAAGCTCGGATTTGCCGTTGCGAGCTTTCGTTCCCCGATTTTGTTTCTATCAACGCGAGATCATTCATGCACAAGGTGAGTAATTTTTCAATTCTCGAGTGTGATACCTTCTGAAATGATAGCTATTATGCCTGACTCCCAATGAGCGACTACCTCTCGATAGGATACGAGACGAAGAGTGGATAGTCGAGAGTGTCAGATGACATGTGAATGGAAAGGTGACTACACGTACGGGCCGTCGATGAGAGTGGCCAAAGTCGACGTCATTGTTGACTGTATCTTTCCACTGGCCACTTCTCTTCCAAACTTGCCACACTTATTTCCTCAAAGTCCTCTCTGTATACTCCTCGCTGGTGGACTAGTCTCGACAGTGTCAGTTCTGGACATGAAGGCGGTTGGACTTGAGGCCTTGGGTGGGAAACTCTGGAGTCACTCGAAATTTCCGGGCATGGATTAAGCAGGGGTGAGGACCTGTTCAATTGATTTGAATTGACTAGGCTGATAGTCAGGCCAAGAACCCTGCCATACATCTGCAACTGGTCGCTCAAAGTTCCAACTCCCGCCCTCTCACTCGTCTGTCACTCTCGACCCAATTCATAGACCTGAACCTTCTCACCGAGATCGATAAACCCGGCTCGTTGGGTGAAAGTCAAGCATCAGCTTTTCGGATCATCTCTCCCTCAGAGAGAACACCGGATGACTCCTCTGGAAAGAAGATACCAAGCAGGAAGAGGGGCAAAGATACTTCGAGTGACGAAATGAAAAAAGCAGAAACAAGGCGGCTGTTCGGGTGAGTGAGGATTCGAAGTGAATGGTAAAATGATATAATCTACAATACATGCATGAGAGTACGAGTAGTGTACAAATCATGTTTAAACGTCGGATCAACCGCCAAGCATGAAAAAACGTAAATATGTACAAGACGTGTGTCAAAACTGATAACCCTTCATCACCTCCCAGCTAACCACCCTAGATCCGTGATGAACTTTTGTCTGATGGGTTCCATCGCTTCTCTGAACGCTCTCACTGTCGGATGTCCTATACCCGGAACGACAGGAATGGTACCCGCTCCCGAGGACCATGAATTGACAGCATGTTGACCTGCCAAGGTGTCCAAAGTTCCGAGCCAGCCAGAGACGGTGGAATGGGGGAACATGCCTCCTCGTCGATTGACATTTTCGCTCAGGTTCGAAACCCAAGTTGACCAGGCGCGGATGAGAGAGAGACCGAATCGTTCAATTGGGGTTGAAGGTGATTGTGCGTGAGAGGGTGGAGGAGGGGATAGGGAAAGGACCTGAAGGAAAGAGGAAGAGAGTAGAGCAAGGATATCGTATGTCTTTTCGAGACCGGTAGGGGAGTGTTTGGTGAAGATTTCGAGGTAAGTCGTGCACTGGGCGTCAGCGGAGCACGATCTAGGATGAGAACCTGATACAGGAATGAATTGAGCTTGTGGGAAGAAAGCCAGTTGATAGCCGACGGGATCACGATTTGGGGGGCAACATGACCAGAAAGGAGGACAGCAGATCAGCAGGTCAGCAGGACCGGTGGCGAAAAGAAAGAACAAAATGTCGTGTAGGTGTAGTGACAAGAATATGAAAACTCACCATGCGACAGAAATAATCAACTTTATCAATCACCCTACGCCATTCTCGCTCAGAAGCCGAGGTTGCCGACCCGGGAAAAGGTAATAACAATCGTTTGATCCCATCTACAGCGTTCTCCAATTGATCCTCGCAATCTTGTAATTCCGGTAATGGCAGCAGAGGCATAACGGTAGCTGACAATGATGGATCATTTTGAAGTAATTGAAGTAAGATACGAAGATGATAAGGAGGTGGTAAAGAAGCTTTGAGCACATCAGTCCTTCTCATCTTTCACAAAAAGAACTCGAAAGAAAAACTTACCAAGCATGACACCCATATCTACATCTTCTCTATTAACCTCATTGTTTTCAGTGATGGTAGGAATTACATTCGTATTCGTTTGATTTCTTTTGATCATTTTTCTACGAGGTTCTCCGATTCCTAATTTGGCAATACTACCCAATTCGATTTTCTTTGATTCGCCCGTCAATTCTCTCCTTGTCAATGTAGGAGAAGAAGTGGCGGAATTCGAACCTGATGCAGACGAGGCGGATTGTCTTCTCGAACGTTTGAGATTTCGTTTGGAATTTGATCCTATGAATTGTGATGTAGGTGGTAATGAACCTGGATGATCTCGTCGACGGGACAAAGGACTTTTATGAGGACTTGGAGATCTGTGCGTCGAACCGAATGTATAATGAGGTATCGCGGCTGTAGCAGAACAAGATGTGAATGTTTGAGAGGAAGGGGATGAAAGAGCAAAATCAAAACCTAAGGGAGGACCACGGGAGGCAAATCCGAAATTGAGAGCAGAGGATGGATGCTGCGTCAAAGGACGGGCCATGGTGGATAGAAGAAGTGATATTGGTGGACCTCGTTGGAGTGATGGTAGACTTCAAAGTCGATATCGAGGGACGAAGTAGTCACTGATATCAGAGAGATGAAGGTCTCTTGAGATATCCGAAGTAGAATATATGGGTCAAGACAATGGATGACTTTATATGAACAAGTGGGTTGATAGTTGTGGTGATGGGAGGAAAGCAAAGGGTGGCCACGAGTGCGATGAGACAGTTTATAAGGGAAGGGTTGTAAGAATTACGTAATCAATTGAATCACCGCCTTCCAAAATTGGTGAATTGCCAGCCTAGTGCACAACCTCGCTACCTTACTTCACTGACAACTTGGCAGCTTGGCCCCGATACAACTCTTACTTCGAAAAGGGTATCGGGACAACTTTCAACCGTTTCTTATCAAGTATTGACATATAATCAAAATGACGACGGCACAAAAGGTGGGTGAAAGTAAGGTCGGATCCATCGAGCTGACAGTCAGATCAAAGATATCGAGGAGGAGATGTCCAAGACGCAGAAGAATAAAGCGACAGAGTGAGTTCTTGTGACAATCATATAAAAAAAAAAAATGCTAACTCGGCCCAGATATCATCTCGGACAGCTCAAAGGTCTGTCAAATATCATTCATGGTCTTAGAAGAGATGTCTGACATTCAGCAAAATTAGCCAAATTACGAAGAGAGCTCATCAATCCTCCTGGAGGTGGAGGCGGAGGTCCGGGGATAGGTTTCGATGTAGCACGTACTGGTGTAGCAAGTGTTGGATTTGTTGGTTTTCCCAGTGTTGTCAGTTGTTTTCCCTCTTATCCTCTCCCTTGCGAAAATATGAAATGTTGTTCATACCTATAGGGAAAATCAACCCTCATGTCGAAATTAACGTGAGTCCTCATCTCAGCTATAAAGACAAATCCAACTGATGGTTCAGAGGAACATACTCCGAAGCTGCTTCATACGAATTCACAACTCTCACCACTGTACCCGGTACTCTCACTCATAATGGAGCCAGAATACAAATCCTCGATTTACCAGGAATCATAGAAGGTGCAAAAGATGGTAAAGGTAGAGGAAGACAAGTTATAGCCGTTGCTAGGACTTGTAATCTCATCTTTATCGTCCTTGACGTTCTTAAACCTCTTGTCGATCTAGCTATTTTGACAAACGAATTGGAAGGGTTCGGTATACGATTAAATAAAAGACCACCAGCGATAAGTATAAAAAAGAAGGAAAGTGGAGGTGTTGCAATAACGAACACTGTACCATTGACTAAAATCGATGCGAATGAGATAAGAGCTGTTTTGAATGAATATAGAATGAGTAATGCCGCTGTTACTATACATGAACCTGATGCTACGGTTGAGGATTTTATCGATGCTGTTGAGGGAAATAGGTGAGTTTTGTTGGTGAGTGAAGAATGGATTAGCTAATATGAATAGGGTATATGTTCCGGCAATTTGTGTGTTGAATAAAATCGATGCTATCAGTATAGAGGAATTAGATCTCTTATACAAAGTAAGTATCATTGATGTCCGTCACATAAAAAAAGACTGATTATGCAGATTCCAAATTCCGTTCCCATCTCTTCAAAATTATGGCTCAACATAGATGAACTTCTCGATGTTATGTGGGATAAATTAAATTTAGTCAGAATGTAAGTCTTAACTCCTCGATCACACCTCCTGTCGAAAAGGGTTTGGACTGATTGATAGATATACAAAACCAAGAGGACAACAACCAGATTATTCATCACCTGTCGTTCTACGTAGAGGTAGATGTACGGTTGAGGATTTCTGTAATGCTATTCATAAAGAAATCGTCAAACAATTCCGGAATGGTGAGTCGTATCACAGGATCAAAGCTGATAGAAAGCGATGGTATGGGGTACGTCGGCTAAACATTCAAGAGGGCAAAAGGTGGGGTTGGATCATGTGCTAGAGGATGAAGAGTGAGTCGCACTTCTTTTGCTTGGACGAAGACTGACTACTAGTATCATATGCATTTACAAAAAGTAGATTGAGATACACACAATGTAGCTTTAATATACATAAGGTCATGCAGATGATCAATCCGACTTCCATCTTTGAATACCGAAGGCACTCGTACTTTCCGCTGTCTCTCCAAGTATGCCTGGGATATCCAACTTCACTTGTCGATGAGATAATGGGCGACAATATCCTGATGATCATCTTTCATGGATGATCTTGAAGAATGACCACGATTCAGGTCTGTGACCACGACGATCACAACAGGCCTCAGATGTTGAATGAGATGAGCCATAGTCGGCTTAATGATTACCCCGATCCGCTTTCGTTTCACTCCGTTTCGTTTTGTCAACCCTCCGTTTAGCTTTTTCAGCCTTGATCAACCCTCTCACCCTTTCTTTCTGCTTTTCACTAGTGTGACCCATCACAACTTCTCTTCCTGCTTGTAATAAAGTTTGATGAAGTATGTCCAATGCTCGACGGAGGTTCTCACGACGATCCCTGGTTTCTTGAGACGAAATGAGTAGAGAAGGGTTAGATTTAAGATAATGATGCTTTACATCAGCCGGCTTTCTCCTGACTCCTTGTTCAAAATCAACTATCTAACTCGAGACACCGGGTATATATTCCTGTCAGAATGGGTGAAGATATGAAGGAGCAGCGTCCAAGATAAAAGCCAAAATGATATCTTTCAAAAAGGGGAAATCGTCCAGGACAGAGTCAATGACAATATCTAATTTCGAAGATGACTGAATCAAGTTATAAATGGGCTCACCGATTTACTCAATGATGACAAAAGAAAGGCCGGAGTCCAAGGAGATGGTGATAGAGGTACTCGGATAGTAGCTTTCGATTCCGTTTTGTTGACATGCTTCTCGTCAGCCTTTCACATTTCCTTCATTCAAGCTACCTCTAAAAGTCGGCTAAGCTTATATGAAATAACTTTCAGGACTCATGAGTGATACTTACCTGTCCACCTGGACCGGAAGACCGGCTATACTTGATTTCATATGCTCTAATGGGTATATCCTCCAATTTGAACCCATCGAGCCATTGTCGGGCGAGAGAATGGTGAGAAGGAGTCACCAATTTTTCCAAGTTGATCAATTCCGGAGGGGCTTGATCTGACCGAATATCGCTAGAGGAGAATGATCTCACACTTTTCAATACCACTCTGGATGGCGGACGGAATATGAACGGATAATATGTTGTTCTTGGGTGGATCATGTCTGTGATCACTGACCAGATGAAAAAGGTTGACTTTTTGGTCGTTTTTCAAAGACAGAGAGAAGTTCCGTCGGAACTCTATCCAAGAGTCAAGGGTCCTTCCTTTTCCGTCGGAACCCATTTAGCAGCTTTCGAACGCGACTGAACTTACCAGCGACGCGTCTCTCTCGACAAAACTCATCGTGATATTAGACCGACTCCTCGTGAAAGCTTCATACAGAGTGAACTTATCTTCTAAACATGTCAGACCTCACAGAATTTCTCGTCGATCTACCTGTCAAACTACTCTCAGACCGTGGTACCCTCCCTACTCTCGGATCAGACTTAGCGGCTGGATTAGACCTTTATTCGGCAGAGGATAAGGTCATACCTGCTCGAGGAAAAGCTTTGGTGGATCTTCAATTAAGTTTGGCTATACCTATTGGACATTACGGTAGAGTAGCTCCAAGGAGTGGACCTGGTGAGTTTGCTCATTCTTCTAACTCCTCCCCATCCCCCCCTCCCCCCTCTACCTGCCGATGTCCCGGAGCTCTTTGGTAGGGGGTTCCTCAACTTCCTTCTTGCTTATTGTGACAGGGTATTACTTGAGGCCACACAGTTTGAGGAAGAAGACAGATGAAAATGTTTGAATGTTCATTCTGTTTGAATCAAAATACAAATGAGAGAAAGGAGGTGAGAGCTGATGATATAGCTGCTAAACATGGGATACAAACCGGTGCAGGAGTTATAGATTCAGATTATAGAGGACCTTTGATGGTATTACTTTTCAATCACTCGGATGTTGATTTTCAAGGTTAGTCGACCTTTCCTTCTCTCTTGTTTCATCTTCTACTTCCTCCCTGACATCTTTGAACATCTCATCCTCGTCAGTGCATGCAAAACTCCCCGCACGATCGTTCTGTCCTAAATTTTTCATCGGTGTCATGTCGGGAACAGTAAAGGTTCCTCGTCGTCCCTTTTATCATCACATCCTGTATTTAGATGGAAAGAGAACATCAGCATAAAAGAGCGATGAGCTGTTGTATGACGGAAAGACGCTGATCAGAATAGTGAATGCAAAAGATAGAATCGCGCAATTGATTTTGGAACGTATTTCCATTCCTCGTTTGAGACAAGTAGACGTGAGTGGACTTTTCTCTTCTCTCCTCCTCTCCTCTTCCCCCTCCATCCCTTGCCGTATTACTCCTTGATCAGAGCCCCACCTTATTCTCTCATTCCCTTTCCATGTTCTTTCTCCTTTACTCATGACGGAACCTACTCTACCACTCTTTTTGTACTCTCACGTACTCGATGGATCGATCGAGGTTTAAGTGTCAAGTGTGGTAAGGCGAACCGAGCTCATCTCAGTCTCTCGATACCACCACTCGCGGTGCAGGAGGTTTCGGTTCCACGGGAGGATTTGGTCCTTCGAAAAAACAAAAATTGGAAAATGGTCAAGCTCATGAACCTGAACCTGCGGAAGCTGTCAAAACGGATATCTAAACATTCTCGCTATTCAAATTCCCTATCACATCCAGGTGATCAAAAGATCTCACATAGGAAATTTTTTTCCCTAAAAGATGAAAGACGATGCATAATATGGATAAGACATGACAGCTGATATAGTAAGAAGGACCTGGATTTAGGAAGGCGGATGAATATAAGATCACAGACATATGATATGCATCAAATTCTCCAGATCTCACTCCGTGCGCGTTCCCATACATTGTGTTCTCTCATTTCTTCCAATCCACCATCTATAGCCATATCCCTCTCTAACTCTGCTCGAGGAAGAGGATGAACGACGAGTTTAGCGAACGTCCCTCCTGTATGTGGACGAGAGAGATGAGAGGGGTTAATGACGAGTGTTGAGTCTACGATCTGGATTTTAGCGCTGGCGTTTACCATCATCATACCATGTCCATTCGTAAGATTCTGGAGAAATCTCCAACGAGGCGCCGAGTGGAATCTCTTTATTGCACCATCAGATCCACACCGGATACGTTGTGAAAGGATTAGGAGGAAACGAGCGAGAAAGAATGAGGTATAACAAGTTGAATGTCTATGAGGAAACGTTCGACGAACCTTGGAGAAATGTCTCAATTTGCTAGGTAAAATCAAGACATCCGGCGCTGATGACATCTTCAATAAGACATGATGCGTAACGTCTAAATTCACCTCGGTGGCGTGTACTTCAGGAGGTGGGAAAATAGGATAAAAAGTTCTTTGTCCTAAAACATGTCGTACTAATCCTGCCATGGGATCTTTCACCTCTTGTCCCTTTAGTTCTGAATCAGGTTCGGCTTCTTCTGCACGTTGAACTAATTCTTCTCTACGTAAATGGAACAAAACGTCGACGGATGATAGTGAAATTGTGATTTCGTTGATGCTGAATGTGCATGGGTTGGGAATGGTTCGTACGCGCTACTTGTCAAATTTATTCTCACCAACCCTGATTGAGACATCTTGGACTATACACTTTGTCCTAATCGGACACAGGCAGATTCCTGCTCTATATAACAGGGAGTCCCGCCAAGACAGTCAGATGTAAAGCAGGATAGGAGAGGAAGGGGTCATGGTATATGAGTGAGGAGACAAGAGTGAGACTCACCTTCGGAATACCCAATAGCTCCTTATCTAACATAGCCTGCGGGAAAGCCATATGTTTGCTCACTGTATCTCTCACACTGGGAGAAAGGATGATCATAGTTCCCGGTGATCCCTCTATGATCCTCTGTAACCGACTACCGACTTGATCCTTGAAGATCTCCTCCGAAGTTTGCAAGACGGCACCGTTGGCGATGAACGGGTGATTGGCATCGACAAATGGACCGAGCTATCATCAGCCGGTCCCGATAATGCAAGCTGGTCGTGCGACGAAAAGGCAAACTCACGAGGACGAGAACATCTGGACGTTCGGCGATGACCACCTCCACCAGAGCTTCCAGAGGATGATACAACAGATCATCATCCAGCGTGAATGGTCCAGCAGCTGTCATTATGAATATGGGCTGACCAGCTAGCTTGTCACCATGTTGCATAGCCAAAAGATCGGGTACTGTCGTGAGGTGCATCGGACTTGGAGGTGGCTAATAACATCAACATTCTCGAACATCAACATGAGTGAATTGAGGGTTGAACAACTCACCAACAGGACTTCATCAGCGACAAATACCCCACCTCCACCATTTCGTCCCTTCACACAAATCAAACAACCAGGAAACAAACCAAAACTCTTCACTCCAGCCGCCCCACCTCGGACTTTGATACCCGGAGAAAAACGTAACTGTACTCTTCTCCCGCTCCCCAATAATCGACTGGACTCGAGATACAAAGCTTGTGTAGATACCTTACTCGAGTCGGTTGGAGGACTGAGAATCCTGCCAACCGCATATATATCTTCTTCGGAAGCGAAATGTGGATCTCCAAGTTCAGTAATTCCATAAGAGTCTTTGATGATATCCGCAAAATCATCAATCATGTCGTCCAAAGCTTCGGACCGTTGTGAGATCTTTTCGAACATGTACCGATAACCCCAATCTTTGACATCTTCCGAGGTGCTAAGACCAACCCGATATTTCGTTGTGCCTAGCGGGTATCCTAAAGCAGAAGACAAGTGAGGGTTGAGAGTCTCCACCAAAGAATTAGGTTGAGATCGTTGTGAGAAAGGTTGATTAGGTTGGGGAGTAAGAAGGGAAGATTCGTTACCACTGAGAGGACTTGAAGGACGGGAACTTTCGCCGGATTTACCCACAGGAGTGGATAGATGAGTGTCAGAGAGTTTGGATGGACCAGGACGATAACTACTGGCTGTAGTCGGGGTGGCGAATTGTCGTGATGGTGTTAGATAGCTGTCATTGGATAAAGGAGAGGGGACATTGGCGTTGTTGGAAGTATTTGACAATCTGGCAATTCCATTACTGGACTTATTTTTCATGGGTCGTGATGGTGTCGTCAAACCGTCCAAGCTGTAAGTCAGCCTATATCTAACGTATCTACCTCCTACATTCACCTTCATCAACAGATTTAGACAAATGATAGTGATGACGCCCGACGTAATTCCGACGAGTCAGGTCTTGAGTCGTTCTGAGCAAAAGTCAAATACCTCACTCAAGTGAAATGAGATACAGAAACATGTTCGAGAAAAACTCACAATCCCCCTAAATCACTCATATTACCCTTAGCTTTCCTAACCCCGACTCCTACCACAGGTGTATTCTCATTCTGCGCCGGTGACATATTAGCAATAGCTTTTGCCTGTTGTTCTCTTTGTATCTCTTTACGAAGTTCGCGGATCGTATCAAGGCTAAGGATCGATAATCTTGCCCGTAGACCTGAAGGACGAGAAAGAAGAAAGGCTTCGTATTTGTAATACAAAGTTGAAGGAGTGAGATTGTAGAGTCGAAGTATGGAAAGACCTGAAAATCAGTTTTACAGCTAATCCATCGAACTGCTTCGTATGTTCATCCGAGGTTTTCAAATCCAAAAAAAGAACTGACATTCTGCCATGACGTCCGGATGAGTAGTGACGGCTTCGTGAAAGAGTTCACCCAGCTCGTTCCGAGCAGTCTCTTCTGATATAGCCATCTTGTCCTCACTTTCCTACCAACCACCACTTGATCCTCCGATTTATGATTATTCCAACTTGAGTGATTGTTCGTCGGCCAGAAAAAAGATGAGAGAACAGGCGCGTCATGAACGCGTCTCTATTCAAAGTGAAACTTATTCGACCCATCCTCTTGAATATTTGCTTCCGCTCACTGACAGCACTCTTCCAGTCCAGCTACGAGTATCATATCTCCTCTCCTCCCTGTATCGACTGATAACTAGTATCGGTCCAGGTGGGGAAATTGTCAAGCTGAAAACAGTAAGTATCTTGTGGAAGGGAAAGATGGACTCCTTGGGTCTTCCCATAAGCTTTGGAAAGCAATCTTCCCTCCCTTCCAAACCTCCTCAACCCTCTGGGCCGGCAGTTGCACGAAGAGGGGAGAGTTCGTCTCGCGGTCCAAGAGGCGCAGTGGGAGTCAGAACACAGAACAGAGGGCGAGGACGTGAGTCTCATGATGCTCAAAGGAGAGATACAGGATGGCCTTCCAATGCGGAGCATCTGAACGGGAATTTCAAAGTGAGCTCAGCAAGCGTGTTTTTTCGGGCGAACAATGGCTCATGGACAGAGACCGCATCCTTCATCTGATTCACATGGTAGGATGCCATCAGGACTACCGCATAGGCCTGAGAACCAACTGCATTCAGGTGGACGGGGGCACGGGCCTTTCCGTGGAAGAGGACGAGGAGGGAATGGTCCACGAGGAGGAAGAGGAGGACAAAGCGGTTCTCGTGGTGGTCATGATCATCAGGCGGGTGGGAATAATCATCAGGGAGAAGAGCAGGGGTATTTTAAAGAAAGTATGTGTGAGGACCCGTGGAAGGAATTATTGGAGGAAAGGGCTCGGCGAAGGGAACGGCAGGGTTCATGAGTCAGTTCACTGATTATCTCGTGAGTTGTGAGACAAAAATATTCGTATCCCTCTTGAATTACTCTCCGTGATGAAGGTGAATGTTGACAAGATTGCAGGTCAAATGCATCACACCACCACAGCTAGCACATTGCTCAAAGCTGTCCACCACCACCCTCTGTACAAACTCGGCCAACCTTCTTCCTCCACCACTTTCCTCGCGCAGTCCACCAATCCCTCGTATGGCTCTGTCGTTGGTCTTAGTCCGATTACATCCTCATCTGTCCCCGCGTATTGCGCTCCTTCAGGCGTAGCACCTTCCTCCGTGTCGTTTAGTGGAAGATCTCCCTGATTTGGTTGGACAGACAATCGAGTAGAGATGACTTCAAGGGGTGCCAACCAAGCTGTGGCTAAACTTTGGTAGATAAAGTATAGCGCCCACCAGAACCAAGATACGTTATTGTAGACCACATCTGGGGCTTCGGTGGGGTCTGCCGGCAAAGGAGAACCGAGAAGAGTGACTCTGACTGTCCGAGCGAGAAGGGTGACGCAAAGGGAATGAATGAATGTGGCTGCCAAAAGACCAGGGGTTAGATACAAGGCGTAGGGTTTGGAGAGCTCGTATGGTGTCAGAAGGATTCGGAGAGATGTTTGAGGTTTTAGTGGAAGTTTGTATGGTGTGATGATGGATCTGTTCGTCAATCTATGCCAAAAGCTCGAAATCTGTCAGGCTGACCTGTTGATTATGACGGTCATAGGAAGGGTGATGAGAGTCAAGACGATGGTGAAGATGCCCATTCTGAGATGTCAGCTCAGCTCTGACTGGTCATATGGGACGGAGCTCACCGAATGCCACCTGCTTCTGGAACAGAATATGTTCCTCTAGGTCCTTGACTGGAAGATCCTCCTACAAAAATGACCGAAGCGATGGAGACTAATGTGGTAAATATGACCATGGGTATTGAACCTGATCATTAACGACCATCATCAATATAGTACAGTCGCCCACCTTTGTACAGCCCATACCACCCTTCCAGTCTCTTTGTTCTTCTCAACGTTCCGAGCAGAGTTGTCAATGTCGGTCCTACTCTATCCTATCAGCTATATCTCAGAAATGTTCGAAAAATCAGCTAACCTGTTCTCAACTCCCTCCAGACCCACAGCTCGAGGGTTGTAGTTTGCTCGAAGTCGGATCAAAGCTCCATGAAATGGCATGGTCACCCCGACACCTACCGCCATGGCTAGGACCATGATGCCGGCAGCTAGGAGGAGGGTAAGGATGAACTCAAACATGATGTTGCGTCCCCTTATTAAAGCGTGTTTTCTGCTCGACCAATGTCGCTATGAAAGAGAAAGAGGAGAAGAAGTGATGATTGAAGTAGTTGAGAGTAGAAAGGAGAACTGCGGTTGAAAGGGGTGGCGATGCGTCTGTTTTTGCCACGTCATTCCCCACGGGGTACTGTTAGTAACCACGTGGCCATCGGTTACGTTTCTCGGCTCCGGTGCATACGGCATCTTCCCGACAACCTCGAGTATTTCCACTTGCCGTTAGAGTTGGCGTGTAGGGATAATCGCGACGGAGCTCGAATTAATCCCGACGGAAATTTGGCCATTTCACCCAAATCCCTACACTACTCACCCAAATACCTGCACTCTCTCAATATCGAGAATTATTGAGATGTAAGATATGTAAACTGATCCTAGACAGTCCAGGATGCATTTGATGCATAGAGATCATGTGTATCATGCATATTGACAGCTCTAGAGCGGTTTTCGGACCGGTTTTCGGACCTGTTTCGGATTATGTGATCCTCCCCTTTAACCGAAAATTGAACTTTCGGACCACTTTCGGGCGTTTCGGACGCGTTTCGGGTCCGAAAGTGCATTTTCGGAGCTGTCAATATGCATGATACACATGATCCCTATGCATTGAATGCATCCTCAACTCTCTAGGATCAGTTAACATGTCTTACATCTCAATAATTCTAGATAGGAGAGAGTGCAGGTATTTGGGTGAGTAGTGTAGGGATTTGGGTGAGTAGTGTAGGTATTGGGTGAGTTGTGTAGGGCAAATGGGTGAAATGGCCAAATCTCCG